TATGCATGTTTAATGCCAGCCACATGTGCTAGGTTTGCTTAGTAAAACATGTGTGGAATGAATCAGCCATCCATCATGCATTGAGAACAGGGCTTAAATTCTTTAAAATATTGTAAAATTTAAACAGCATCGCATCACTAAAAAGATTGAAACTTTAAAGAAATTCAACATCCCAACAATATTGGTGGATAGTGCTTTGGGTAGGTTGTGTCAATACCATGCAAATGATTCTGTAATCGAACATTTTTTGTTTTATATAATTTAGATGGACAATTGTGGCCGAGAAAATAAAAACAAGATTGTTCTCGGACTACTGTCATTGCTTGTCCATAAAAATTATGTGAAAGAGGTAAATATTTTTATAACTATAATTATAACTGTGAAATATCACAGAAATGTGATGTGTAAAATCAATTTTCAAATATTAGCAAATATTCAATCTAAAGTAAAAAAATGAAACAACGATTGAGTATGATCAAAATATTTCATGTCATAAAAAGAGATGTTAGTGTTAGTCACCTATTTGTCAATTAGAATTCAATCATTTATATTTTAGGTCATCATTAGTTTCCTAATGGTGGGCCATACCCATGAGGACATTGACCAGAGGTTTAGCCTCATCTCAAAACAGCTACGGAGACACAGTGCAATCACAATGGAAGAACTGAAGAAAATAGGAGAGAATAGCATCAAGGGGATGAGGGTCATTGAGACCAATGCAGTATGGGACATTAAGTCCTGGATTGTTCCTTATATCCAAGATATAAAACAACACAGTTTCCCCCATGTGTTTAGGTTAGTTGACATTTTGCTAAAAAAGACCATAAAAAGATTTTGACAATTGCAGGTTACAATTGTACAAAGGTCTAGTTACATTGTTTACTTTCTATACAGTTTTTCTTTTTCAAAATATGCATGTATACTGCCAGTTTTGTCTCTATTAAAAATTTGTATTGCTCTCCTGGCTATTAAAACTTCTTTATAATTTTTATACTTATTTATTCCTATAATTTGTTCAAAAGTGATGTTATCAAAATATTTCCATATATCTCTTATTTCTGTACACTCATGTTATGCTTAACATTGTCAATTACATTACAATTGCAGGTTCAGATATCATTGAAATATATAGGTATCATTTTGGCAGCTATATTCTATTTTCTGATATGTGTACATTTCAGAATATTCAAAGATAAAGAGGACCATGTGGCACTTCAGTACAAAAACTGGAGCACTGACGTTGCCTGGTTACCTTCTCAAGATGAGCAACAACTAGAAATATTTAAACAAGATGCCAATGGAAAGCAAATACTTCCTAATGACATCCCCGACAAAGTTGCACCAGACTATGAAAGAAAAATTCAGTTAAAGGATATCATGCTGAATATTAACAAAGTGAAGGATCATCTCACATATGCTCAGTATACTTGGTGGCAAAATTATACAAAAGACCCAGCCAGTGTATTAAATATTGAGAATGATGAGACGTGGCTGTTAGATTCACTGCCGAAGTACAAAGAGAATATACCAACCACATCCCTTCATCCTCCGTGTAGTGGTTCATCACCACTGGGATTGCACATGGATAAGGAGAGAACATTTCCAAAGGTAATGTACCAAATAATTTTGATATGGGCAAATTAAAGTACACAGTATTCAAGTAGTTTTCTTTATATCTACAATCAGCAAATTTAGGTTAAGAATAAAACACTCATATTACTCTAAATTGTACAGGCCTGTTTTTTTTAATTGGCATAAATGAATTGTTGCTCAAAGCATGAAATTTGGAGTTTCTATGTGAAATAGAACTACCAACTCGTATGTTATGATAATTAGTTGATTATGTATAATGAGGTTCAATGAGGTTAAAAATGATGATTTGAGCTGCTTACACAAAAAGAGGCAGATAAACTTCCATTTTCATAATTATTGTAAAATTTGTTTTTTTGTGAAGTCACTTTCAAAGCCTGTCTAAACTTATATTTCTCTGATGGCCAGTCATAATATATGATCTCTCATTAATTAAAGCTTATGGATTTCAAATCTTTTGAAATGAAACCATTGAACCAGATAAATATTTGTCAGCACAAATGTAAAGAATAAATTAATAGCTTTTAGGAATTATTCATCTTAGCACACTCGGGTATTTCACTGGGTTCATTTCGACAGATGGGAGCCGAGTAAATGAAAATGAGAAGCTTATTACTCAGAGATAAAAAATTTTCATCTTTAAATTTCAGGTTATAACTGGCAAACGTCAATGCAGTCGGGACAAAACAGATGGTCCTCCACAGAAGAGACAAAAGGTGGAGGTAGAATATATGGTAGGGTATCGCATGAGTCCCAATGGAATGGTCAAAATTGGTAAAGTGGTTGAAGTTGGACAACAAAATTTACTTATTGCATTATATAGAGGTGAAATCAGTGGAACATGCTATCCAGTAATATCAAATAATAGCCCCTGTACAATAACTGTCAGCAGAGACCTTATAATTGACGATTTAATATTTACTTTAACTCAATCAAATAGAATTCCACAACAAATCAGAAATCAGCTCAAACTTACAACTAAATCTTAAACAGTGTTGTCTACACATTTCCACACATTTGAATAAGAATCATTATACCACTTTACCAGTTTTGACTATTCCACTCTGGCTCGTTCAATATCTTATCATATATTCTACCTTCAGAATTAAAATCCTTTTTAATTTCAAATGTAGACTGAGCATTTTTAGCAGCATTTTTTATGTATTCTAATTATATATACTTAATGGTGTGAAATAAATCTAAGTATTGTCACAGAGATGCAAATGAGTAATTAAGTGAATACGAGTATATATTAAAATAGTAATACAGAGTGACACATATATATTGCATCTATAATTACTAGAGCTAGAGCAATCACATTTTCCATCCATCTATGCTCTTCCTGAAATTGACAAAAAATGTTCAAAAATTCAATTTTCTACAATCGAGTTTTCTGATTAAGTATTTTTGAGTTTTGAATTTTTGGAGTGCACAGACATTATTAATTATTATGTCATATCTATCTATTATATAATATAAAACTGGAAAATGTTTATAAATACATGTAAGTGAATTAAAAAAAACAGATTTCCTATGTGACATTTTTGCATGATTTGCCGTCATATCATGCATATGTTTTAAGAAAAGGTCGAGAAAAGGTCGAAAAAAGTATATTTGTAAAATTCATCACACATACGTTTTTGTCTGAATTCAGACAAGGTTAAAGAATTGAATCACCATTAAACATATTATTTAGTTCTTGTCTGAATTCAGACAATGAACATGAATGTTAGCTTGGTTTCTTATATTAAAAACCCTGTCTGAATTCAGACAAAGTTGAAAAATGGAATCACTATTATATCATGTTAGAAGTTCTTGTCTGAATTCAGACAATGAATATGAATATTAGCTGGGTTTCTTATATTAAATTAAGCCCTGTCTGAATTCAGACAAAGTTGAAAAATGGAATCACTATTATATCATGTTAGAAGTTCTTGTCTGAATTCAGACAATGAATATGAATATTAGCTGGGTTTCTTATATTAAAAGCCCTGTCTGAATTCAGACAAAGTTGAAAAATGGAATCACTATTATATCATGTTAGAAGTTCTTGTCTGAATTCAGACAATGAATATGAATATTAGCTGGGTTTCTTATATTGAAAGCTCTGTCTGAATTCAGACAGATGATAAAAACAAAATCATCGCTCTGTAATCAGTTTGTGTCTGAATTCAGACACATATAATAGGTACAAAAATGTATGAATTAATATCTAATGGTAAAACTGTTTTATTACAAAATTATGTTACTTAGATTAATAAACATTTCTTTAAAAGTTGCATAAAACTGCATAATGTACTTTCTATTGATGAAAATAATAAATATACAATGAGCAGAAATACACAAAATTTGTTTTGTTAGAAAGTTTTGTCAAAATGGAAAAATGTCAAATCTCACTGGAACCTGTTCAACGCTACATATTGTAACACACACCTTTCTGTACACATAATGCCATACAATAATTTCTTGGTATTTTACAAATGCAGTTCTTTCAACTTTAACGACCAAAACAGCATTAAATTATTGTATGCATACAAATATGAAGAATATGATAATGTTATGAAATATATTCAATTAACTTACATGCATTGATTGGGGAAATGTGAATGGGAAAAAATGGTTTGTGATAGATTGGCATATGAAACTGGGTGATACTCATTACAGTAATAAAGGATTAAACTATTAAACTATTATACTTCATCAAAGTTGGCAAAATGAAGTTCTACAACTTCTATATAGTCGTGGGGTTAAAATTAAGATAGGCAAATGTGCAACAAAGACTAGGGACGATTTGAGAGTATTTGATTTCAAATCTTATACATGTAACTTCAATACTTATTTAATCAAATATCCAAATTCTTTAATTAGGAAATATGATAAGGAGAATAAGGGTTAAGACTAGTGGCATGCTTTTTGAAAGATTGCCTTCAACATGTTATCCTCTCTAGTCTTTGCTGCCACTTGATAGGGGTTTACATTATAATGGATTTTGCTAAATGGTAAGAATATGAAATTAAATATTATGAAAAATATATATCATACAATTCTACTTTTAACCTTTATGTGGTGGTTCATGCATTCAAATTGTCACTTGTATAGGAGAAACTTTATATGTGGTGATTCATGCAGACATTTAGTAATGATTTACCATATTTGACAAGCACAGACATGTCCATACACCATCATACACACATGGACAAAAATCACAGTATTTATTGTGAAAAACAACAGATGACTGTTATAATGAAATTGAATCAGGCAATTTAAAGATAATTTATAAAAGTTTATAAAATTGTTCTAATCATATTCATTTCCATCATTTAAACAATGAATAAAAATGGAATTTACTAATTTGGCAAACTAAAATACTGACATAGTTCCTACTGTAAAATTATAGATAAAGTAATTACCTTGGAAGCATCCGGATCACAGTAGTCAAGCAAGGTGTCAAGAAAATGATACCCCATCATTTCTAAGTCAGAAGAGTGGAAATGGTAGCCTTTCTTCTTGCCCATAGTTGAGCCACAAAATGTTGCCTATATATCCAAAAATAAATAGCATTTTACAAGTGATGCACCTTTATTCTGACACTCTGAAAAGTTGCATCAAGTAGAATAATTTTAGCCTATACATTAGTTGTTACCAAAAATTATTTATGTATGTTATGAAAAAGTCAGAAGGCCCAGATTAAAACTTACTGGCCCAGGGGCCCTTGGCTTTTGTCAACCTGTTTGTGCATACAGGTATAAAGTGCAGACTTGGTCTTTTGTACATACCTCCATTGTGTAGCTATTCATGATGCCCATGTTCCACATAACCACCCTTCCGGTCCCCTCCTTGCTCTTCTGCACCTTGAACTTGCAACTCTCATAGCAAAACTGAAATAAATGTATTTAATGATTACTGTACAAAACATAAATCATACATCATATATTTACAGCTGACTTTTTCACATTTAGTTTGAATTTATATATCAGGAACTTTTTCTATTTCAAATACTGAACATTTTTTTTAAAAAAAGTTAATATATACCGTCATGCCATTACGTTGCTACTATTGAACCTTAATGACTAATTCAAAGTATTTTCTGAAAGATAATTATTCCCAAAATCCTTATTCTATTATTTAATAATATATACCTTATCAGAGGCATTTCTATTGAGCATTACAGGTAATATCCTCTCTCGTAATTTCTTCATGGGGTTCGCCCTGTTCTCACAGCCATATATGAAAACATTCTGTTTACGGCTGTGTCCATGGAGATCACAGTATGTCACCACATGACGCTCCTCCAGTAATCTGAGGTAAAGGATTTGGATAAAAAATTTAAGCCAAGGACTCAGTTAATTGTTGGTGATTGAATGCGAGCCCTCAACTGAGACTGGTAGTTGAGATTGGTCTAAGGTTAGCATATAAGAAACATATGCATTAAATTACCAACAATTCACTGCCTTTTGCACACAATGTTATACATTATGAACAATATCATAAAAAAAATATAGAAAGATGCTGCAAGGAAAGGCAATAGCCAATATACTGAGATAAACAAATCAAAAGCTTAAGATTGCTTAAAGAAAAGTTGGAGTCCTATTTTGTCTTAATTCCCTAAAACCCTGCTGCCTTACTTTTGAAAGCTTTTTAAGTTGTAAATTATTTCATAAAAAGTTAGAGTCAGTGTTTTGTCACATCAATTTTTCAAAAACATAGATTTGCTGTTTGAAACAAAAATTCAAGTCTTTCTACACTTACTTGCGCACCATTGCTTTAGTATGCCACACAGAGGGGAATGAATCCTTGAGGGCTGTCTTATAGTTCCTATTGAGATCTCTACCTGACAAAGAGCACCTGTAGTTTCCTACTATTACACCATCAGGGTTCAACATTGGCACAATCTTGAAGACAAATGTGTCTCGAAGCAACTGAAATAGCAAATCAAATGTGGTTATGGAATCCTATCAATCAATGGATTGTTTGGCTCTACGTTTTAGGTGTTTAGGTCTCATTGAAACAATTGTCAAACTTTAAAATACATGTACAGTAAAACCTGTCTTAGTGAACACCTTTCTCTTCTGAATAACAGTGTTTAGTGAAAACCTTCTCTCTAGTGAAAACATCCTCTCAGCACATACTCCACTGACTTCTGTATGAAATTGCCTCTTTGTTGTGAACACTTACCTATAGTGGACATATTTTTGTGGCTTCATAGGTGTTCACTGTACAAATGTTTTATTGTACCATATTTGTACCATTGATTTAATGGAAGGATTAACACATCCCCTTGACAACACATCTGCTGGATTTTTTCTAAAGCATTTGGATCAATCAATAGTGTCTGACAAAAATTGTTCAATCTAGTGATTATAATTATTAAAAAATTACAGTAAAAACTATAAAGGTAAAACGCAGTTGGTACCTCAAAACGGTGTTCCACCTTCGAGGTGTTCCACTTACAGAGGCTAATTTTACATTAAAATCATGAGTAATGGGACTTTAAAATTGCTAACCTTAGCATCAGCAGTATTGCCAAGGAGACAGTCCAGGAAGCCCTTCATCATCCAGCTAGCATTTGTCTCCCCTGGATGCACCCTTGCTGTAATCACTACACCTTTCTTGTGCTATAACATAATATAACATCATCTTTAGTCTTTGGTGTACCCCTTGCAAAATGTAACTTTACATTTTGGAATAAGGCATTAACATGCAAAATGTCACCACTACCTTTGGTGTACCCCTTGCAAAATGTACCTTTATATTTTGGAACAAGGCATTAACATGCAAAATGTCACCACTACCTTTGGTGTACCCCTTGCAAAATGTACCTTTACATTTTGGAACAAGGAATTTGTATGCAAAATGTCACCACTACCTTTCATTTGTTACAGATACAGAACCCTGAATGCTGACCGCCAAAGGACAACTGCCGAACACCATCCACAAAAATTGGAGACTATAACAATATGTCAGCACTTGTTGTCGTGACATGTGAATATTGTTATGCAGAATGATTGCAGATGACATAAGTGTCAGTCTACAGGGCCATTGTTGCATTATCAATGAATTAATTATTCATTACTTAATTAGTGAACAATGTCTCCTCAAATCGCAAATTGCAAATTCGCAAATCAATACAGGATGTTTGAGAAAAAGTGTTTGTCAGAATTCAAATTGTTATTGAATTTCCTTCAATGCGTAGGATATTGGTTAAAAATAATAATCCTGTAGTGATCAACGTCACTTTAGTCAGAAAATCTTTAGAAAGTAATTGGATTAGCTTAAAGATATATACCTCATGATATTTAGAGCTAAATAATGTGAACAAAAACTCACAATATAGTCATTATCATGATTGTATCTTTGACTGCTTGGACGTTTTCTGACCATTTCCTTAACCCCCCTACCCCTATCACACCAAACTCGTTCTTACCCGTTCTTGCCAGTCCTACGAAAACGTCGTAAAACGGGCTCAATCTGGCTGTGGTCGGGAAATATGTCTGAAATAATTAGCTTCTTCGTTCTTAAACAGTCTTCAATACGTCCATCTCGTTCGCAGTTCGTTCAGGTCGCACCACGTCGGTGTGCAACGCCGTAGAACGCGTCCCTTAGTCTAGAAGGTCATCATGACCTGATAACAGAACGGTATGGTCGCAATCGAATTTTGAATCGATTCAAAATTCTAAAATCACATTCCCGTCTGAGAACGTTCATAAAGTTCGTAAATAGACCTTAGAAAGTTACAGGTACGTTCATTCCGTTCGCACACAGTTTAAAACCAGTTTTGAAGAACGCAGTGGCAACTTGTTTGGTGTGATAGCTATATTTTTGCTAACTCGTTCATAAGCAGTGTTAAATACGTTCTTAATCAGTTTAAACCCGTTTGCAAAGAGTTCTACCTCATTCTCAACACGTCCTCAGACACTTCAACTCATTGTTAAAACGTCCCTAGTAGGATTGAAGTACGACGGTTCCGTTCGTAGTACGTCAAGCTCGTCGTTAGTACGTTGTCACTCATTCTAATTGTAGAACGTGACGACCACGAGAACATTTTGAGCATTGTCTAAGTTCTAGAGGACCTACCCGTTCGAGTACGTTCGATGAAGTTTGTAAATAGATCCCAAACGGTTCTTAGTACGTCCAGTCCGTTCGTACACAGTTGAAGCCCGTTTTTGAGAACGTAGTGAGAACTAGTTTGGTGAGATAGTAGGGTTAACTATGTGAGATTATAGTGAGAACATAGACCATGTTTACATTTTGATCTTTATTGCTTGGACTAGGTGAGGTTATAGTGAGAACAAAGACCATGTTTACATTTTGATCTTCATTGCTTCAACTAGGTGAGGTTATAGTGAGAACAAAGACCATGTTTACATTTTGATCTCTATTGCTTGAACTAGGTGAGGTTATAGTGAGAACACAGACCATGTTTACATTTTGATCTTCATTGCTTGGACTTGGTGAGGTCATAGTGAGAACACAGACCATGTTTACATTTTGATCTTCATTGCTTGAACTAGGTGAGGTCATAGTGAGAACACAGACCATGTTTACATTTTGATCTTTATTGCTTGGACTAGGTGAAGTTATAGTGAGAACACAGACCATGTTTACATTTTGATCTTTATTGCTTGAACAAGGTGAGGTCATAGTGAGAACACAGACCATGTTTACATTTTGATCTGTATTGCTTGGACTAGGTGAGGTCATAGTGAGAACACAGACCATGTTTACATTTTGATCTTTATTGCTTGAACTAGGTGAGGTCATAGTGAGAACACAGACCATGTTTACATTTTGATCTTTATTGCTTGGACTAGGTGAGGTCATAGTGAGAACACAGACCATGTTTACATTTTGATCTTTATTGCTTGGACTAGGTGAAGTTATAGTGAGAACACAGACCATGTTTACATTTTGATCTTTATTGCTTGAACTAGGTGAGGTTATAGTGAGAACACAGACCATGTTTACATTTTGATCTTCATTGCTTGAACTAGGTGAGGTTATAGTGAGAACACAGACCATGTTTACGTTTTGATCTTCATTGCTTGAACTAGGTGAGGTCATAGTGAGAACATAGACCATGTTTACATTTTGATCTTTATTGCTTGGACTAGGTGAGGTCATAGTGAGAACACAGACCATGTTTACATTTTGATCTTTATTGCTTGGACTAGGTGAGGTCATAGTGAGAACACAGACCATGTTTACATTTTGATCTTTATTGCTTGAACTAGGTGAGGTCATAGTGAGAACACAGACCATGTTTACATTTTGATCTTTATTGCTTGGACTAGGTGAAGTTATAGTGAGGACACAGACCATGTTTACATTTTGATCTTCATTGCTTGGACTAAGTGAGGTTATAGTGAGAACACAGACCATGTTTACATTTTGATCTTTATTGCTTGAACTAGGTGAGGTTATAGTGAGAACACAGAACATGTTTACATTTTGATCTTCATTGCTTAAACTAGGTGAGGTTATAGTGAGAACATAGACCATGTTTACATTTTGATCTTCATTGCTTGAATTAGGTGAGGTTATAGTGAGAACACAGACCATGTTTACATTTTGATCTTCATTGCTTGGACTAGGTGAGGTTATAGTCAGAACACAGACCATGTCTAACCTTTTGATCTTCATTGCTTTGACTAGGTGAGGTTATAGTGAGAAGATAGACCATGTCTAACTTTTTGATCTTTATTGCTTAGACTAGGTGAGGTTATAGTGAGAACACAGACCATGTTTACCTTTTGATCTTTATTGCTTGGACTAGGTGAAGTTATAGTGAGAACATAGACCATGTCTAACTTTTTGATCTTTATTGCTTGGACTAGGTGAGGTTATAGTGAGAACATAGACCATGTCTAACTTTTTGATCTTTATTGCTTGGACTAGGTGAGGTCATAGTGAGATCACAGACCATGTTTACATTTTGATCTTTATTGCTTGGACTAGGTGAGGTTATAGTGAGAACAAAGACCATGTTTACATTTTGATCTTTATTGCTTGGACTATGTGAGGTCATAGTGAGAACATAGACCATGTCTACATTTTGATCTTTATTGCTTCAACTAGGTGAGGTTATAGTGAGAACATAGACCATGTTTACATTTTGATCTCTATTGCTTGGACTAGGTGAGGTTATAGTGAGAACACAGACCATGTTTACATTTTGATCTTCATTGCTTGAACTAAGTGAGGTTATAGTGAGAACACAGACCATGTTTACATTTTGATCTCTATTGCTTAAACTAGGTGAGATAATAGTGAGAACACAGACCATGTTTACATTTTGATCTCTATTGCTTGGACTAGGTGAGGTTATAGTGAGAACACAGACCATGTTTACATTTTGATCTTCATTGCTTCAACTAGGTGAGGTTATAGTGAGAACATAGACCATGTTTACATTTTGATCTCTATTGCTTGGACTATGTGAGGTCATAGTGAGAACACAGACCATGTTTACATTTTGATATTCATTGCTTCAACTAGGTGAGGTTATAGTGAGAACAAAGACCATGTTTACATTATGATCTTTATTGCTTAAACTAGGTGGGGTTATAGTGAGAACATAGACCATGTTTACATTATGATCTTCATTGCTTGAACTAGGTGAGGTTATAGCGAGAACATAGACCATGTCTAGCCTTTTGATCTTTATTGCTTGGACTTGGTGAGGTTATAGTGAGAACACAGACCATGTTTACATTTTGATCTTCATTGCTTGGACTAGGTGAGGTTATAGTGAGAACACAAACCATGTTCATCTTTTGATCTTTATTGCTTGGACTAGGTGAGGTTATAGTGAGAACACAGACCATGTTTACATTTTGATCTTCATTGCTTGGACTTGGTGAGGTTATAGTGAGAACAAAGACCATGTTAACATTTTGATCTTCATTGCTTGAACTAAGGTGAGGTTATAGTGAGAACAAAGACCATGTTTACATTTTGATCTTCATTGCTTGAACTAAGGTGAGGTTATAGTGAGAACAAAGACCATGTTTACATTTTGATCTTCATTGCTTGAACTAGGTGAGGTTATAGTGAGAACAAAGACCATGTTTACATTTTGATCTTCATTGCTTGAACTAAGGTGAGGTTATAGTGAGAACAAAGACCATGTTTACATTTTGATCTTCATTGCTTGGACTAGGTGAGGTTATAGTGAGAACAAAGACCATGTTAACATTTTGATCTTCATTGCTTGAACTAAGGTGAGGTTATAGTGAGAACAAAGACCATGTTTACATTTTGATCTTCATTGCTTGGACTAGGTGAGGTTATAGTGAGAAGATAGACCATGTCTAACCTTTTGATCTTTATTGCTTGGACTAGGTGAGGTTATAGTGAGAACATAGACCATGTTTCCAGCCAGAGTACGGCACAAGACTCGCTGTTTGCAGATCTTTGTTTTAACCGGGTCATTAGCAACATCTCTAAGATAATGCTGCAATGTAAATGCACAAAGATAATGAATATGTACAGGATAATAATGTGTTTTTTGTATCTTCTAAAAAATGATATCAAATGTGAATTAGCTAAAACAAAAAGGGGGTCTTAATTTCCCTTTAAGTTCACAACTTGTAAATGCGATATTATTCCAGCATTCATAATTTTAAGATCTCTACCTGCAGATCTGTATAAGTGTAAGGATAGCAATGGGCAAAGTAGACCTTGTCCTTGTTATATGGTAATTGCACTGTCCACGTTAGTGAGTAGAAGCTCCTCTCACCTTTCCCTGTATCAGTCCTAAAATAACACCCAACAGGATTGTATTATAGGCAACAATTTTCCCATTGTTTTTGCCTAAATCTTTTGTAACATCTTGATAAATTTTGCAACTGTTTTGATGTTGAAGACATTCTGTTTATCATTGACTGTAAAAATTGTTTGTATTAATTTTGCCTGTTGACAGAAATTTAAAAATCCATATTTACTATTATCATTTGTCTTTAATAATAGAGAATTAACACCAAACCATCCTTTGAACATAATGAGCTGAGTTTTCATACAGCACGAATTTCTTACTTTATATTATTTTTGTAGTATTTGATATCACTGCCACATCTCTTCCAACCTATTTGTTTCTCAGCTGCTAGCCTTTCACTGTATAAGACTGGCCTCATGCCATTGTTGTATAAACTATCAGGCTGAAATAAGAAACAAGACATTAACATACAAAGTGTCACCATCTCTTCCAACCTATTTGTTTCTCAGCTGCTAGCCTTTCACTGTATAAGACTGGCCTCATGCCATTGTTGTATAAACTATCAGGCTGAAATAAGAAACAAGACATTAACATAAAAAGTGTCACCATCTCTTCCAACCTATTTGTTTCTCAGCTGCTAGCCTTTCACTGTATAAGACTGGCCTCATGCCATTGTTGTATAAACTATCAGGCTGAAATAAGAAACAAGACATTAACATGCAAAGTGTCACCATCTCTTCCAACCTATTTGTTTCTCAGCTGCTAGCCTTTCACTGTATAAGACTGGCCTCATGCCATTGTTGTATAAACTATCAGGCTGAAATAAGAAACAAGACATTAACATGCAAAGTGTCACATCTCTTCCAACCTATTTGTTTCTCAGCTGCTAGCCTCTCACTGTATAAGACTGGCCTCATGCCATTGTTGTATAAACTATCAGGCTGAAATAAGAAACAAGACATTAACATGCAAAGTGTCACATCTCTTCCAACCTATTTGTTTCTCAGCTGCTAGCCTTTCACTGTATAAGACTGGCCTCATGCCATTGTTGTATAAACTATCAGGCTGAAATAAGAAACAAGACATTAACATACAAAGTGTCACCATCTCTTCCAACCTATTTGTTTCTCAGCTGCTAGCCTTTCACTGTATAAGACTGGCCTCATGCCATTGTTGTATAACCTATCAGGCTGAAATGAGAAACAAGACATTAACATGCAAAGTGTCACATCTCTTCCAACCTATTTGTTTCTCAGCTGCTAGCCTTTCACTGTATAAGACTGGCCTCATGCCATTGTTGTATAAACTATCAGGCTGAAATAGGAAACAAGACATTAACATACAAAGTGTCACCATCTCTTCCAACCTATTTGTTTCTCAGCTGCTAGCCTTTCACTGTATAAGACTGGCCTCATGCCATTGTTGTATAAACTATCAGGCTGAAATAGGAAACAAGACATTAACATGCAAAGTGTCACATCTCTTCCAACCTATTTGTTTCTCAGCTGCTAGCCTTTCACTGTATAAGACTGGCCTCATGCCATTGTTGTATAAACTATCAGGCTGAAATGAGAAACAAGACATTAACATGCAAAGTGTCACCATCTCTTCCAACCTATTTGTTTCTCAGCTGCTAGCCTTTCACTGTATAAGACTGGCCTTATGCCATTGTGATATAAACTATCAGGCTGAAATAGGAAACAAGACATTAACATACAAAGTGTCAGTCTCTTCCAACCTATTTGTTTCTCAGCTGCTAGCCTTTCACTGTATAAGACTGGCCTCATGCCATTGCCATTGTTGTATAAACTATCAGGCTGAAATAGGAAACAAGACATTAACATGCAAAGTGTCACATCTCTTCCAACCTATTTGTTTCTCAGCTGCTAGCCTTTCACTGTATAAGACTGGCCTCATGCCATTGTTGTATAAACTATCAGGCTGAAATAGGAAACAAGACATTAACATGCAAAGTGTCACATCTCTTCCAACCTATTTGTTTCTCAGCTGCTAGCCTTTCACTGTATAAGACTGGCCTCATGCCATTGTTGTATAAACTATCAGGCTGAAATAGGAAACAAGACATTAACATGCAAAGTGTCACCATCTCTTCCAACCTATTTGTTTCTCAGCTGCTAGCCTTTCACTGTATAAGACTGGCCTCATGCCATTGTTGTATAAACTATCAGGCTGAAATAGGAAACAAGACATTAACATGCAAAGTGTCACATCTCTTCCAACCTATTTGTTTCTCAGCTGCTAGCCTTTCACTGTATAAGACTGGCCTCATGCCATTGTTGTATAAACTATCAGGCTGAAATAGGAAACAAGACATTAACATGCAAAGTGTCACCATCTCTTCCAACCTATTTGTTTCTCAGCTGCTAGCCTTTCACTGTATAAGACTGGCCTCATGCCATTGTTGTATAAACTATCAGGCTGAAATAGGAAACAAGACATTAACATGCAAAGTGTCACATCTCTACCAACCTATTTGTTTCTCAGCTGCTAGCCTTTCACTGTATAAGACTGGCCTCATGCCATTGTTGTATAAACTATCAGGCTGAAATGAGAAACAAGACATTAACATGCAAAGTGTCACCATCTCTTCCAACCTATTTGTTTCTCAGCTGCTAGCCTTTCACTGTATAAGACTGGCCTCATGCCATTGTTGTATAAACTATCAGGCTGAAATAAGAAACAAGACATTAACATACAAAATGTCACCATCTCTTCCAACCTATTTGTTTCTCAGCTGCTAGCCTTTCACTGTATAAGACTGGCCTCATGCCATTGTTGCATAAACTATCAGGCTGAAATAAGAAACAAGACATTAACATACAAAGTGTCACCATCTCTTCCAACCTATTTGTTTCTCAGCTGCTAGCCTTTCACTGTGTAAGACTGGCCTCATGCCATTGTTGTATAAACTATCAGGCTGAAATAAGAAACAAGACATTAACATGCAAAATGTCACCATCTCTTCCAACCTATTTGTTTCTCAGCTGCTTGCCTTTCACTGTATAAGACTGGCCTCATGCCATTGTTATATAAACTATCAGGCTGAAATAAGAAACAAGACATTAACATGCAAAGTGTCACCATTTCTTCCAACCTATTTGTTTTTCAGCTGCTAGCCTTTCACTGTATAAGACTGGCCTCATGCCATTCTTGTATAAACTATCAGGCTGAAATGAGAAACAAGACATTAACATGCAAAGTGTCACCATCTCTTCCAACCTATTTGTTTCTCAGCTGCTAGCCTTTCACTGTATAAGACTGGCCTCATGCCATTGTTGTATAAACTATCAGGCTGAAATAGGAAACAAGACATTAACATGCAAAGTGTCACATCTCTACCAACCTATTTGTTTCTCAGCTGCTAGCCTTTCACTGTATAAGACTGGCCTCATGCCATTGTTGTATAAACTATCAGGCTGAAATGAGAAACAAGACATTAACATGCAAAGTGTCACCATCTCTTCCAACCTATTTGTTTCTCAGCTGCTAGCCTTTCACTGTATAAGACTGGCCTCATGCCATTGTTGTATAAACTATCAGGCTGAAATAAGAAACAAGACATTAACATGCAAAATGTCACCACCTGCCATTTGGTAAAGATGCTGAAAGCCAGATGCTACACAAACCACCATCATGAAAAAATGGAGACCATAACAATATGTCTATTTACATCAATAATCTGCAAAAGGCTAGTTCTGGTAGAGCCCATTTAAAGCACATACATGTATCATATAGTTGAACAGTGATAGAATTTGAAAAGGATACCTTAACATTTTAAAATATCTTTGGTTTGGTTTCAACTTGTTTAAAATTGAAAGGAAACTCTATGGTTGGCCCATATACCCCCTAGGACCTATATACCCCCTTTTATGTTGAAATACACTGAGACAAATGTCAGGCTACCACACTGACATGTGCTTTACACAAGTAGAAGCGAGGCCACTTACTTTCATGAGATTGGTGATAGTGAATCTATATTTGCAGTTGGCTCTGGTGTTTGCCACACGGAAATAGAACCATTGAGTGTGTTTAGATGTATACAGGTCATTTCTTAGAGTTAATTCATACTCAAAATCAGATCTGAAAGCAAAAAAACATTCATGTAAAGGTATGGATTGGTATTAATGTCCAAATGATTTAAGTTCAATCTTGAATTAAATCTGATAGCTTTTTTAACATAATAGATTCAGCTAACTCAAAATAATAAGTTAACAGTGTACATCCATGTATTTTTCATTGTGGAAAATGTACATGATACCATTTTTAATTTCTGGTTTTAACTTTCACAGAATTTTCCCTGTGAAATGTAATTTATATTTGAATTACTGGAAATTGCATAATTTTTAGTCACATACACTCTATGCCTATTTTCAAACCATGTACTGATAGAAAAATCTTTTTTAATTTTTCTGCTGTACTACCTACATTTGCACAGCTTTAAGCAGGTTTCCACTTTCAAATCTGGCTTCAAATATTAAGGTTTTGTCCTCTTGGTTCTGTAATTGCACTGCAACATTGTCTGCACATCCATTGCGATGCCCCCCTACACGTGATCGTAGAAACTGGAAATAAACACACCAATTTTCATTTTATCATAGCTTAAATGAAAATCACTAAAAATTAGAAACATTTTAAAAATATTAATTTATTAATTGATTTTATTAAATGAAAATCAGTAAAAATCAGAAAAAATTTAAAATATTAATTTATTAATTGATTTTTATGAATTTATCATTTAAAAAAAAAAATTCTCAAAAGATGCAAGCTTTTATTGTGCCATTGATGTCTTACAAAACTTCCTGCTGAAGGTTCATAGAAGTAGACAAGCCTTCCTCCCCCATTCTCCCCTCTAATCATTGGTGTAGTCTCCTTGCCAGCTAGAATCAAAGATATACAATGTGAGTAAGTATCTATTCCCATGATCTTACATCTAAAAAGTATTTTAATCAAATAATCTTGCTTTATATACTGAAGTTCAGATATACAGTAGCTTAAAGTATAACATATCTAACAAGGCATTTTTATGGGAGGCTATCAGCCCCCTAGGCAGCCTCCCCCTGGTCTAAAATTTTGCAAAAATGAACCCCCCTCCCCTTTGGCAGATCCTGGCTACGGGCCTGCAGGCTATAGAGGCCGATATAGCGGCACCCACTTTCTTTAATTACATGACAACATTATAACATCATGTTTCATTTCTACTTCATATGCACAAACAGATGTGACACGTCATTGATAAAAATAATCTTGGAAATAAAGGTATAGTATGTATACTGTAAAGCCTGTCAAGTGAAACACCTTAGGAACCTCTATAAAGTGTTCTACTTGTAAGGTGTTCCACTTATGAAAGTTAATTTAACATTATGCCCATTAGTCTTGGGACTCTGAAGTGTTCCAATTACAGAGGTGGTCCACTTCTAGAGGTGTTCCACTTCACAGGTTTCACTATACATCAGTAAAGTAATTATGATATGAAACATACATTCTTACCCAAATATAGCGCTTCGGGTGCAAGGTCAGCCTATACTGGCAGACCTCAGACATATTTCACGTCATATTGACAAAAATCTCTAAATATACCATTGAACACTGAAAAATATGAATAGAGAAAAAACATACTTGGTTTGTACATAGGTTCTTGGCCCAGGGATATAGGATTCTTCAAGAACTCTATGGGTTCTGGTAGTACTTGTATCTCAGCAGGCCTGGAATATGAATAAAGGTACAATTATACATGCAAATTAATGGGGGCCCCATATTTTCGGTACACCCTGTATGCCAGGATTGCAGTATACTGATATCTACGCATACTGAATTTAGTGACAAACTTGGCTTGGTTGCTCTTGGTTCACAATGCAATTGTGACTGAGACTGGTCAAAAGTCAATTGCCATCAGAGGAGCCATCCTTTATTATTCTCTGGCAATAGACTTTTAGCATACAGTATTTAGGGGTTTCATAAAATGATAAAAAAAAAGATCTTTAATCAGTACAAATGATACTCTTTTTCATTTTTTTTATTTTGATTGAAATAGCTTCTGTTCTACAACTAAAACATGACTGTTAAAAATAAAAATAATGATTCATGAAATATCATTATCAAAATGAAATATTGTATTGCATATGGTGAAATGTTGAATCAAATAAATTGAATTGAATTGATCTGATCTGTGGCATAAAATCAATAACACAACAAGCATCCATGATTCCATGTTACCCCCAGACACTTTCCCCAATATTTGTCTGTTGTCTGTGTTCTCATCTTCAAAATATTGAGGAGAACCAGTCCCATAAGCTTGATCACACTAAATTCTACACATGACCCTTTTAGTAAACTATTTGACCCCCAACCCACCCACCCATATTATTTTTGAAGATTGACTTCAAAATCATTTACAATTTGCCCCCTTATGAAAGCATCTACAGTACTTGTAGAATTTAGTGTGATATATACCAGCCAATAGTGGGTGCCTTACCATCTGGTCAGTGCATGATATGCCTCCTCCCCTCCACACACTGCATATAATTGTCTAGGTTCCCGTAACTTTGGCACCATCCTTCCTCCTTGTGGTGCATATGATATTTGGGTGGTACGTTGTTTTTCGTCCTTACTGGAATCTAATAATGAAAAAATTGACAAATGTTCATATGCGTAACCATTGTATGAGAAACACACAATCCTCCTTAGTTGGGTTGCATGATTGCATAGATTCCTGGGTTTTCTCTTAACTTCCCTGCTGGAATCTAGTAATAAAGAAAGATACAGTAAATCCCATCTGAGCACATACTCCACTGACTTCTGTATAAAATTGCCTCTGCTGCAAACACATTTTTGTGGCTCCATAGGTGTTTACACAAAACAGATTCTACTGTATTCAAACAATAAAAACACATTTTTTCAAAATCACTTTATAGGAATAGGAACATGTGTTATAATATCTCCTTTGTATAGCAACATAATATACATAGCAAATCTCTCAAATTCTCAAAGATTTATAGTATAATAACTCTTGCGTCACTTCAAGTTTCTCGAAGCAATGCTCAATTCTGTAATTCTTAAATCTTCAATTTTGTCTAACAAGCTCTTTGTAATCTGATCGAGCATGCAACATTGCATTATACGAGTAGGATAATCCTGGCAACAATGCTACTAGAATCCTCCTCTTGGAATTCCTTTGGCCTATATTCTTTGGCTCATAATTAACATGAACAGTATTATGCTTGAATAATATGAAATAAAATTATGTACAACTACAAATTGAAACCATATAAACAGAAAATACAATATGTTTTGTAAAGGGGGTTGTAAGGTAGTTGGATGACAATTAATAATGAATAAACAAAATATCTCATAAAAATGTATATATTTTATCATATCAAATATAAACTGATACATTTCAAAACCTCATCAGAATCAATAGGATAATAGTTTTGTTGGGAGGATTCTCATGCACCTGAAAGATATAAATTTTTAATCACTACTTTTTTTTACAAAAATTATTTTTCAAAATTCTTTATGTAGATATCCTATCGGTGTAAAAATAGTACTCAAATTATTAATTTATATATTTTCAGGGTGCACATATTGGGAACCCCTCCTTCCTACCAAACTACAAGTAGTGGAATCAATTGGTGAATGATCTTGCGTTTTCATACTAAAGTTTGTTTTTGAGTTTTTTCTTATAGTTTTATGTATTTAAAGTTATTTAAGAGACAGGGCCCTTTTTCTAAAGCCCTTTTTAGAAAAATAATTGAGATTACAGAGGATACCTGTTATTTCTGCTTTTTAACACAATTTTAATAGAAAACTCCAATTCCAAACTCCTTATCTCACTATAAATTACCAATGGAGAATGGGAATTGAGCAACCAAACTTGGCACAAAGTTAGATACTAAGATAAACTCTAATCTTAGGACTTTAATTCTTTGTGATATCTTATATTTGCCTAGCAACCACATAGCAACTGCCTAAAATAACATATTTTACAATATAAATCCACTTAATATATGCTAGGATGCTATAAGACCATTACAAAAAAGTATTCTATCTTAAAATACAACAATTTTAACATATTTACTGAAGTGACATCACCATGTTGCATAGCAACAACATGGCAACAGGTTACAATGCCCATTTTGACATTTGCAGACCATATATCTCTTATATGTTCACTGCTTTTGGATCTCTTCCACATTATTTCTTAACATATAGCAAATGTATTGATGCAGTTATGTCTGACCATTTTCCCTAGCAACGGCTTGAAATAAAGGTAAATTTGCCTAGCAACGACCCAGCAACATCTTAGAATAGCAATGTTTCTCATAAGAATTTCACTACATATCCACTATATGACTTAAAGAAAATCAATATATGTATATGTCTTTTGTAATTTATGAAGTTTTATAGTTGCTCACTTAAAAATCTTTAGTCTCTTGTGTAAAGCATGATTAGACAATTCTTGTCTTACGTGTATCAAATTGCAATTCATGTTTCAGTTCTGATTCATCACATTGATACTTGATACATTTTCAGCCTTGGTGAATTGCTTCAATTTCCTTTACAGGTGCATAGTTTGATGCAGTAGAATGCACCATGGCATTAGCAGTTCCCTTTGCAGTCACATTTGGTGCATCTACATTTAATTATGACTTTACATGCTATGGATGCTTGGGCAATATTGTCCATCAGGGCACCCACAATCCTGATGGGCTCCTAAACCATCCCCATAGGCTTGGTGAAGGAAAAACTGGATCCACTATATACCACTGCCCCCATGTGCTTCTTGTCAAAAGGGCACTTGTAAGATCATTACATAAGTTCCATTGCTTGAAAACTGTCACCTTGCTATGATGGTAAAATCCAGATGTGGTATCAGTTCCAGTAAGGATGTGGAACATTGGCAGCGCACATGATCTTTGTGGTCCTAGTGCTCAAGCAAATTTATAAATTGGAATGTAGTGTTAGTTTTGAAAATGCTACATAGATCTCAATCTGTAGCTCAGAGGTACAGGCTATTAGGCTATCACAACATTACTGTCCACCGATCTTATCACAAATGTCCTGCAACCTTTTCCAACACCATGAGACACATCCAAAAACATATGTGTATCTGCCTCTTCCTGGGAGCAGGGACTATTATGGCATAATTAGCAGGATTACTGATGCACTCTCCTTCAATGGTTGAGACAAAGACTCTATCCTCTGCCATAATATGTCTTGTGACAGTTGCTAGTAGTGCAAAGAACTCTATCTTGTTGTCATTGTTTCTGAGAAATCCTATCCTAACACCAAACTACCAAGCAATATTGGAAAGCCTTTATTGAAAGATAGAGCTCTTTGCACAATTCCTACATCCTTCAGCATCTCAAGTGGTAAAACTTCAAACTTTGAAATTAATGACTTGTATGTTTCAGCAAATCCCAGATAGGATTTTAAGCTTTTTACAAGTATAACCTTGACCTAACGATTTAATCAGTAGTGTCTTGATTTAAAATCTATATACTAGTATTTTGAACATGCCCTGCTGGGATACATAAACCCCATATACTGGGTCCAGTAGAATATTACTATCCAAATGTGGAAAATTAACAATGTCATGAGGCAGATACATATATGTTTTTGCATGTGTCTCATGGTGTCGGAAAAGGGTACAGGACATATATGATAAGATCATTGGACAGTAATGTTATTGTGATAGCCTTAGCCTGTGCCTCTGAGCTGATTGAGGTCTATGTAGCATTTTCAAAATGCAAAACGTATCCCTACATTCCAGTTCATGAGATTGCTAGAGCACTAGGACCACAAAGATCATGTGCGCTGCCAATGTTCCATGCCCATACTGGAACTGATGTCTGGATTTTACCATCAGAGCAAGGTGACAGTTTTCAAGCAATGGAACTTATGTAATGATCTAACAGGAGTCCTTTTGACTCTAGTAGATCGCCCATCAACCATAACAACAACAGAAGTTATGGGCACAATTGAGAGGTTTATTATCCATGTTTACCAGCCTACAAACAGCGAGACAAATCTCAATACCATGCCCAGGCACATGTTCACTCATGGCAGATGGATCCCGATAGATTACCTCCAACAAGCGATGCAGCACTCTATAATGTCATGCTCCAAGGAGCACATGCTCCAGGAGCGCATCAGGATTGTGTGTACCCAGATGGACAATACTGTCGCAAGCATCCGAGGCATGTAAAGTCATAATTAAATGTGGATGCACCAAATGTGACTGCAAAGGGAACTGCAAATGCCATGGTGCATTCTACTGCACCGAAACTATGCAATTGCAAAGGAAATTGTAGCAATTAACCCAAATAGAGTATTATCTTAGGGGTATTAATGCTGAAAATGTAACAAGGATAGATATGATGAATATTTTGTGTATACTTCATCTCAGAACTGAAACATGAATTGCAGGACTTTTGCAGTTTGATTAACATAAGACAAGAAATGTCCCATCATGCTTTGCACAAGAGACTACAGGTTTTTGAGTGTGCAGCAACAAAGCTTTATCAATTAAAAGACATACATATTATATAATAGTGGATATATAGTGAGATTTTTATGAGAAACATTGCTATTTTAAGCTGTTGGTAGGTCATTGCTAGGAAAATTTAAGCATTATTTTAAGGCGTTGCTAGGAAGTTGTTAGGGAAAATTGTCAGGCATAACTGCATCATTTATGCTTAAATACAATTTCTGTATGTTAAGAAATAATGTGGAAGGGATCCAAAAGCATACAAGTGAGCATAAAATAGGAACATGGTGTGAAAATGTCAAAATGGGCATTGTAACCTGTTGCCATGTTGTTGCTATGCAACATGGTAATGTCACTTCTGTAAATATGTTTGAATTATTGTATTTTAGGATAAGAAGACTTTTTGTAATGGTCTTATAGCATCCTAGCATATATTAAGTGGATTTATATTGTAAAATGTGTTATTTTAGATGGTTGCTATGTGGTTGCTAGGTAAATGTATGATATCGCAAAAGATCAAATCTTCAGATTAGAGTTTATCTTAGGGTCCAACTTTGTGCCAAGTTTGGTTGCTCAACTTCCATTCTCCATTGGTGAATTTAAGTGAGATAAAGAGTTTGAAATTTGAATTTTCTGGTCACATTGTGTTAAAAAGCAGTAAAAATGGGTATCCTCTGTAATCTCAATTATTTTTCTAAAAAGGGCTTTAGAAAAAGGGCCCTGTCTCTAAAATGTCTTGAAATACATAGAACCATAAAAAAAAACTCCAAAACAAACTTTAGTATGAAAACGCAAGGTCCCTATGGGGGCCTTGCACCAATTGATTCCACTAAAGTACAAAACCAGAAATCGATGAATTTGATAGTGTAATTTGATGTAAGCTGTATGTCATGCAAAGTGCTCTCATATTGATAATTGTTCCTGTTAGGATATACCTGATATGCAATTGTATAGTTTCTAAATAGCTGAATAAAGCTGACACAATAGATGTCACCCTTGTCATTCTTTGTTTTGCTTGGGCCAGACTGTCACTGCCATAGCCGTCAGCCGTCCATGTTATCAACTTGCAACAGTCACTTAATTTAATGATTTATGAAAAAGTGTTGGTCGAATCTGTCTGAAACTCAGACGAGATACTATGGGATGACCCTGTCAATGTACCTTTTGTGATTAATCATGAAATTTTTGGTTATCAAATGAATAAACCAAGGTTTTAAAGAATCATAACATTGAATCAGTGGAGATTTGGCCCAAGTTCTTTTAAAACGTCATGGAAATTAATTTAAATGACATAACTTTATATATCAAAGCTCTTATTGTGGAAGGCTTTTCACTGAATTCAAATATATGATATTAAAAAGAAAGAAAAATTAGTCGTTAGAGGTTAAAAGTGCAAATCTCTTAAAATACATGAAAAAACAAGAATTAGCGAGACTTCAACTCTATATGGAAACTCCTCTATTATCTGTGCTCCACTTAATATCATCTGCCGCTGCATATGACAAAGTTTGTCAAAAAGCAATAATATTATAGTTAATTGGGCCAGGCATATCTTTTTTTTAAATGTGGTCAGATTGTCACAAAAACTGGCAGCTCTCACCAAAACCTGGTCGTTAAATACCAAAATGATCCAGCTTCATTTTGTGTTTAGAAATCAAAAAGAATTCATCATCTATGTTATTGTCTTTAGCTAAAATTTAAAATAAGCACTGATTGCTTGACTTAAAAACTTGACTTTTAGTCAAGTATAATTATAAAAATATATACAATATTGATTATGGTGATAAGAAAACCCCCATTTTTTGGAAGGTTTTCCACAATCTTTAGTAATTCCTCAATTTAAAGACACTAAAAATTGGCATTTCTGAACATACTTATACTTATATTCCATTGAAGTACGAAATAAAAATGCAGCTTTTTCGTAAAAATGTTTTTTATTGACATGTTGATCTATAAACATACTTTAAATTCCAACCATTGTCGAGCAAACAATCAACTTGTGCAATTTAAACAACAACAATATCACTTTACCCTTCAAAGGGAAGGTTCCTATTGATCGCATTCTTAACAGGCATGCTTTTAATATAATTGACCTCAATCACGAGAATATGGGGAACTTATATTTCATCTGATAAAGCAGTGAATTGGAACAAAGAACTGTTTAAATAAAACATTTTTTGAAGTCTTTAAAACAAAAATATCAACACAATTTTTCAAAAGATCCCTTGCAAAAAATAATCAAGGAATAATACCTTAATATCATTATTTCCGTGCAAATTTCATGGCATCAATTTAAACAAGGCAGGGGGGTAAACAATGCTGTACCCAAAAATCAAAAATAGCCTCTTTGAAATTTTACCCAGCATCCTGACCAAACTAATCAGATCTTTAAACATATGTATCAAGAAACATCCCTGAAAATTTTAAGCAGTTATACAGTCAGGAAATGCACTTGCAAGAAAAGTGATATGCCATCATCCACAAAATTGACATAAATTAAATAACATACCTTTTTTAGGTACTAGATAAAACTAAAAAATTTCTTCCAAAAAGAAAGCATATCTAGTACCGGCATCATAACAGTTTGAACTAAAAATTTGATAAAAACATGTGTTTACCACTTTGTATGTATAGAAAATGCTACTTTTGCAAGCCACCATTTTAATTTAACCATTCTGAATTGCTTTAACAAGTATGAATTTATATTTACCATCATCATCATCATCTTCATCATTGGAGTCATCTGATTCCATGTCAGAGTCATCCTTGTTAGGTCCATAGTTATATCCATTAGTCCTCTCCCATTCCTCTATTCTGTAACCTTCATTCCTCCCTAAATTAAAAAAAACATATATACTGAGTGTTATTTTGAAATCTCATTTCAGGGAAAGAGAACAAGAGGAGCTAGTTTTTTTATTAAAATAATTTTATTTCTTTATATATTGTAAATCCCTTCAATCATCGAACAGCATTATAGAAGGGTACAAGAAAAGAACACAAATACAATATTATGATCAGGTCAAGGGGTTCACTCTGTACTTGGGGTTGGCCATAGGAAAACAGGGCAATAGGAGTAAGAATGGGACATTTTGAATAAAAACTAGTCTTGCTTAAAGATTCTCTAGCACCTCCCCCCCCCCCCTTCTTTATCTTTCAACAACAGGAAATTGGTGTTGAAGTAGGCAGGGGGGCGACGGGGTCTTGAACTTTGTTAATACTTTTACTTGAACTGGACCACCGATAATTTCTTGTAAATATCAGACTGGATGGTGCTTTAATCATTATTAATTAAAATGATATTTTATCTCAAATATTCTATTGTTGGAGAATCATTTCACACAATAACACATTGATCTCCCCATGTTTGCCCAACAAGGTATTAAATCCCCATTTTACTTTTTTGGCAAAAATGACAAAAATGATCCCAATATTTCATGCTGCAAGGTTCAAACAGATTTTCAAGAGAGTTACTTATTGAAATATTCAGATTTTAAGCAGGGTGTGACTGTGACACCAATTTCCTCTAATGTTGGGGGAGTTCATTGATTAACATATTCCTAGGAGTTGACATATTCTTTATTTTCGTCATCAAATCTAATATTTAAATTTTCAATAATAAGAACAAATACACCCAGGGCTCTCGCCAGGCTTTTAGACTGTGGCGCAGCACCACACTCTATTTAGCTCCCTCCACACCCTATTGGCAAATCATGACTGTTTCTACAGTCTAAACTTGACTGAATATACAATAATAGCATGTAAAAATGATAAAACATACCATAAATATGATTTATCACGAGTGAACGGTTATGCTGAAGATGTTAGCACCACACCCTAAATATTTCCTGGTGAGAGCCCTGAATCACCCTATCTAGACTCCTCAGGATTTTCACTTGTGAATGGAGTCCATAATAGGAAAATTGATTGATTCAATTCAATGAGCTATTTAGTTGAAACAAAATAGGTAGGAGGAAATTAGAGTAAGGTATTGCCCTGCCAAATCATCTAAAAAGCTAGTGAGTATCATGTTTTGTAAAATGAGTCGTTAAGAAAACCCCTAATTAAATAACAGGATTGTGCCATTGAATAACCCACTGCTCAACAAATAAACAAACTGATATGTAAGGTCAGGAAAACTTCAGAAATTGCATAAGGTTTTATCAAGGCACTGGATTCATTCCATACAGCTATCGATCTCATTATATCAAATAGCAGCACTTTCTTGATCTTTGCAACCCTTAAACCTATTGGATTTACTCCAAGATAAAGGATACTATTGACTAAGTGTTATTGAATTAAAGACTCCAACCATTGTTCATTTGCTATTTGTACAGACTTCCTGTGAACTAATATCTACAGTTACAATCCCACTTTGCTACTTATATCAATTTGTTCATATAAATTATTTATGTGTATTATAATTTCCCTGTATCAAAGCAGCCATTAATGACATTTTCTGACAATAGGCATAATGAATGTTGATACTGTTGTGTTCTCTGCGCTAATTTTACTTATAACTTTAACTCAAACACAATGTTTCTGTTAAAAAGTATAATTATTATCTAGTTTTATTCAACAATTGTACTTTAAACTTTATACATATCTCCACTCTTAGTTTCCAAAATCTAAATCTCATCTCTTTTGAATCCCCTCACCCTATCCTCCTATATCTAGTATCTCTTTAGAACATAGCAAAAATGTCATTATTTTTTGCTCGAGTCTCTAGCCAATACTTGGCTAGAGGGGATTTCATCTGGAATACTGTGAACTCCATTTGAAAAAAGCTGGCCGTGGTGTCATAAATTTATTGAATATTTTAAAAATCGCCAGATAAATCATCAATTAAATCGGAACCGACTCAACTCCTTGATGAGATCTGACATGATTTCGTCAAATGGCTCCAAGAAAACTGGCAATATTCAAAAACTGGACGAAATGTCGTTAACGTCTGACATTAGTAACTGGCTGTAAATTCTAAATTAGCGATCCAGAAGATGTGAACTAATACACTGATCACTTCATGTGTGTTTTGAAATTTTTGGTGAGGTAATAAGACCAAAACTCGCAATTCAAATTGTGATGTGGAAAAATGGCGGACATATGATTTCAAATTTTATGATTACGACATGACCAATTGTTCATGCAGGAAATTATCTATCCAGGAAGGCCACGATACAGTGGCCTTAGAAGAAGGTAAATTATTTTAACGTAATAGGGTTCCCAGTGCAGAGTAGACAGCATGCACTACTGGTAAACAGTGGCGATGTCAATCACCAGTCATCACCAGTGTTATCTATTCAATTGAGTTGAAACCATAGATCTTTTTAAATGTTAAGGGTTAAATGCCATGTATAGTTTATTCAACTTCTATCACGGTTAACTCATATACTCTGTTTTAAATGGGTTTATTATAGCCTTTTGCAGATTATTGACATAGACAAGGCATGGGTGTAGCCAGGGGGTGCGACGGGTGCAATAACGACTTGGTGATAATAGCAAAATTCTTATTGAATGAATATCTGAGTTGCTGTATATCATAAGCAATATAGAGATACTGGCCCTTGGAAGGACAGACCGAACAACAGTGTGCATGACATGTTCACTATCCAAAGCTGTATAAAATATTTATTGTTAATGAAAACACAGAATGAAATCCTGTGCTAAGGGCTGATGTGAAAAAGTCAGTTCACCCCAGTGGGGATCGAACCTACGGCCCCCCACTTACAAGACAATTTCTCTACCCCAGCACTGAACTATAGGACAGACTGGCTTTTCCACATCAAGATTGCATATATAGCATTGCAGCCAATTGTCTTACATGCCCAGTTTCCTGGACCCCAGATAAGTTACCTGTCTTTCCAGGTTGTCAATGGGAAAGTTACTTTGAACTTTTAGATGGTTCAATGATATTTACCTGTATAATAGCCATAATGCTGAAGATGCTTTCTCATGAAACTGTCGTAGGGATTCTGAAAAATATAATTTATAGTGTGTGCCAAATTGCTTTCTAAGTGGCTTAGTTAGGCTAAACCTATGTTGTGGTAGCTTACTATGAATTGACCCATAGTCATTTTAGATTGATCTATTATCTATTCATTTTTACTTGTCTGCAGTCAAAATAGTGACACGAAAGGGCTAAACGGCTTGCACCAAGGTGCGACCGTCAAAAAGATGAGTTTGAAAAACATACATTTTTTTAAATAATACTTGTAAGTATACAAAATAAGATGCAAATTTGATATTGATGTGTAATGATAGTCCGTTCGGGTGTGGTAATTTTATGAAAAACAATTATGGTAAAAAATTGGATATTTATGACCTTAAAATGCGATTTCTATTAAAAAGTTACTGTTGTCAAGGATATTATTCCTATTTTATATAGTCAGTGTTTTTTAAATATACCAATAACCATTTCATTAGTTTTTGACAAAGTAAATAATTATAGGGCTCACACAAGGATCAACTTTGTTCATAGCATTTTCATATAAGTGATGTTTTGAAAAAATACGAAGGTAAACTCAATTTTATTTTTTATTTGTTGAAGAAAAAACAATTATATGTTTGTTTTCTTGTTTCGACTGAAAAATCTCAATTCATCGCCCTTGCTTCGCAAGCAGGAGAGTCTACACCAGTACGAAAAAGTTTTCAAAAAGTTGATCCTTGTGTGAGCCCTACAATTATTTACTTTGTCAAAAACATATATAATGGTTATTCGGATATATAAAAAATAGGAATAGTATCATTGACTTTTGATTTTGAATAAAAAAGTATTACGAGCATATAGTGCATCACTTAGTTTATAGCTTGCAGACAGTGATCTAAGAGGCATCATCTTGTAGTAATGGGTGTGACAGTGATGAGACGGGAATTGATTTTATTAATGCAAGTTTTGACAATCCTAGTATTGATGGTTTATCTTACGGACGTCATATTAAAAGATACCAATTTGCATCAACATCAAAGAAGTTTGATTTGTTCACAGATACGTGTCAGAGTGATACCTGTAGCAGTTGCACTAGATTGATATACAACAAGATATGTGTGAGCATATATTGCAACATTTACTTAAGAGTTATAATTTTACTAAATCTGATGGAACATTAGATAATTTAAGTCTATCTCTTTTGGTTTATTCAATTTGAATAGTACTTTTGCAATAAAGATACCTTAGTTTTGAAACATTAGCAGCAATTTCATTTCAAAAAGATCAGTTTTCAACTTCGTACTATGTTTTGTTCATAAAATGTGTATTCAACACAGGTCAAAAGTCAGGGTAATTTCAAGTTTAAAATATCAATATCTTGGATAGTTGGCATTTTAAGACATTTTGCCGATGGTGTGACCCTTCACAACCGATGATTATGTGACCTGAGGTAAAGATCAACTGAATGGGTGTAGGTAATTTCAAGGTCAATATCTAGCAATTTGGTGTTTTAAGGCAATTGAGAACAATTCTGACCCTTGACAACCGATTATTAGGTGACCTGTTGTCAGGGTCAAGGTCTATAGGTCAAGATCATTTCGAGGTCATCAATATCTAAATATTTGGCGTTTTGTGAATCATGAATGTGTGACCTGAGGTCAAGGTTATTTCAAGGTCAAATATCAGTATCTAAGTATTTGGTGTATTAAGGCCCTGGTATCTGCTGTGGCCCCTAGCGACTCATGATAGGGTGACTTCCAAGGTCAATATCTAGCAATTTGGAGTTTAAAGGCAATTGAGAACAATTGTGACCTTTGGAGACCAATGATTAGGTGACCTGGTTTCAAGGTCATTTCAAGGTCAATATCTAAGTTGTTGGCAAATGTGGGGCTACAGTCCTATTTAATGACCAATGATAAAATGACCAGAGATCTATAAGTCAATGTTTATGGATCAAGATCATTTCAAGGTCATAGCTCAATATCTAATTAGTATTTGGCGTTTTGGGGCTGAACGTGTTTTTGTGAAAACAATATGATTTTTCTTATGTAAAGTCCCTGTGATAAAAATGATATCATCCAACTTCTTCACTTGAAAAGAAAAAAACATCATGAATCCCCCTCAACCTTTATTTTTCAACTTATTTTTTATGATTTCATTCTGGTTTGATTACTTGACAACTTAATGATACACTACATGATTTTACTACTATATGTACGGGTATAAGCATCAAATGTGGTGCCACCTGTTATTAATAACATTCGTAATAATGCTTCAATGTATCAAAAAATTGAAATTGAAAATATAAATATTTGAAAATATATCTGAAATATTATTGATAAGATCCCCACCTTGTCACTTTTTGAAAAATATTAGGCTTATTTTCTAAAGTATTTTTTCTTAATTCGAATATATCAAAAGTTCTTCTACGCTAATGAATTAACAAATTCTGAAAAGGGGACGGGTATTGAAATGCAATAAAGTTAAAAACCATAAGTTCCATGTTATTTTCCATTGGAAAAACTCAAACTTTCCATTGTTTTCAACATAATTGTGGTCATTGAAAATTAATATCTCCAAAACTAGACTTTCATTACAATTCTACTAATGAAAAAGTTTTAGATCACTTGTTGAATAATATTTTCATGCAATTCAAATAAAAAAGAAGAACCTCTGTTGAGTAAATAATTTCAAAAAATGTTGAGAAGGGTTCCCCATTCATAGTTTTTTAGATTGTTTGAATGATATTTTTATAATCATTGAGAATTGAATTTTCTTGAAAGATAACATATTGTGTTTTTGAGAAATGTCATATTTATATTGAGAAAGTAGTCATGGTAAAATATATGACGATCAGATATCACTTGCCATACTTTACCTGGTCCTTTGCCAATTTGAAGTGAATTGTAAAATCATATCGGAAGAGAGGACATCCAAATATGAGGTCATTAGTTTAATGACTGCAATCAGTAATCAACAGCCACGAGAGTTACTTTCTCTAGTAATTCTGAATTGGATCAGTATTGTATTGTATTGTATTGTATTGTATTGTATTGTATTACATTGTATAATGTGACCATTTAATTCACACTAGTGTCTTCATATGCCTGGACTAAAAAATCCCGAATCTGTTTGGGTGAAATAACCAAATGTGACCAATAATATGAGTATATTTGAGTATTGTCTCTTCACTTTCCAGTCAAAAATGTAAGATTTAAAAATATTTTTACAAATAATTGCAGTAAAACATGCAAAATATAATGCACATTGGTTATTGAAATGTAAAGATAGTCCATGAGGGTATGGTTATATTATTAAAAACAATTATGGTAAAAATTGGGTATTTCTAACCATATAATGCTTTTTATTCCAAGTTCAAAGACATTCTTCCTATTTTACCTCTGAAATGATTTTCATACCACCGAATAACCATTATATCAGTTTCTGGCAAAGTAAATAAGTGTAGGGCTTACACAAGGATCAACGTTTTTTTAAGACTGTTTATGTACTTGTATATCCCCTGCCGTTCTAAGAGGAAGAGCAATGAATTGCGATTTTCAGTCAAAACAATGAAATAAACACAATCTGTTTATTTTGTTAAACATTTAACAAATAAAATTGTGTTTAACCTTATATTTTTTCAAAACATCACTAAATATGAAAATATTGCAAATAAAGTTGATCCTTGTGTGAGCCCTATATTTATTTACTTTGCCAAAAATGAATATAATGGTAATCAAAATATTTTGAAAACATTGAATAAGTGAAATAGGAATATTATCATTGACAACCATGACTTTTGAATAAATATGGTATTTTCAGGTCAGAAATATATAATTCTTCACAATTATTGTTTTTTATAAAAATGGCCACACGCAAATGGACTATCATACTTATCAATATCAAATTTGCCTCCTTTATTGTATACCCATTGCTATTATTTGAAAAAAATAATTTTTTATCAAACTCATCTTTTTGATGGTTGCACCTTGGTGCAAGCCGTTTAGCCCTTTCGTGTCACCTTTTTGAGTGCAGACAAGTAAAAATGAATAGTTGATGGACCAATCTATAATGATAATGGGTCACTTCATAGTAAGCTACCACAACATAGGTTTTTGTGATTTTCTGGGGTTTTGGCACACACTATTATATCACATGATTCATACTATATATTTATGGTTATTAATATCAGACATTACCATCAAATATTTATAAATAAGGGGAGGCATCAAAAGTTCGATGTCGGATCGGAAACTAAATAAATCTAGTTTTGACTCTGACCCCCCCCCTCCCCCCCAAAAACTGAATACCATCAAAGTTGATCGCTGACTTCCGGTTTGAGAATTTGAAAAATTATTGCTAAACACGATGTAGTTTTTGTTAATTCCTATCGTAATTTGCGGCTTTTAACAACTATTGATAGAATAGAATCCATATCCATTGGAATGATCTTGACGAAGAAAGCATCAGGTAAAATCTTTATTTTTAAACCATTCCAATGCATACTGAGTCAAAATTGCCAAAAATTTGAAATGTTGAAATTTGTCGGATAGCAAACTGAAATGGGTTTGAACCCCCTCCCCCCTAACTAGATTTATTTAGTTTTCTATCCGACATCGAACTTTTGATGCCTCCCCTAAATGTGCAAGTCAGTGATAAACCCTGATCCACATATATTTATGGCAATTAATTCTATATGTATCAAATTTTATGAATCAGATTCAAATGTGATTCTAAACAGATGATATACATGTAAGTTGGGGTATAAGCATATTTTCATTAGTTCAATAGATAATTTGATGAGTGTTATACCAGATATATCTACATGATGATTAATGAGCAAAAGAATATGTCATGAGATATTCTCCATTTATCCCATAGTTGAGGTCAAATCTGTAGAATAATATGTATATATTCATGATATTTTGGAAATGCTAGAAAAAAAGCGATATCTGTGGAATATGGAGAATATTCCACAGTTATCACCTTTTTCCATGGATTTGAAAACTCCCGCCAATGTGACGTGCATTGTAACATGAGCTTACATGGTGATATCATGACGTCACAATATGGAAATGATAAAAGTTTTGGCTATTGTTCAATTAATGACAAAATAAAACTGAATGTTGTTTTGAAATGCTTTGTCGGTTAGGTTAACTATGGGATATATAGAACATCTGCACAAACTGCTGTCCATTTTTTACATGGAGAATACTTATATGAGAAACAATTAAGGGCTTACCATGTCATATTCAAATGCTGGCTCTTCCTTCTCTTGTTTCTTGTATTTCCAACTCATTTTGATTATCTTTATGTATATCGTAACTTTTGTATATACATGCGGTGTAAACTTGATCTAAAGAATCAAGTCTGTGGATTTACAATTTCTTGCGATTCCAGTGGAGTGACTAGACTTTTTTGTCTAAACATGTATACCATTGCCACGGCATAGGTCAGCTACATGTAACAACTTCTGAACTTGAACCATGCCTATGACATAATATGGATGACTGAAATTAATTTTGCATATTTTCACCTGTTAGCCTAGATAAAAACCAAATTTCATTGAATCGTGTTTGCTAAACATTCAGCATCAGGTTGTAGTCTAGATGTCTAAAGTGGGGGGCATAAAGAATTACAAAACCTATGGAAATTACATGTTGTCGCATATGTAATAAATTCTTACCTCAGTGTATTCAGTGCTCTATTTTCTCCGTCATAGTAAGTCCAGATATAGTGGAATTTGTGTCCATAATGACAAATAAGAACTTAAAAATTTGATGTGGAATTCACATGTTAATGCCGACTCTTCAAATGTTGAGGTGATTTTGGAGCCAGATTACGCCGCAATGTGGGTTGGCTCCCAGAATGCAACATGACACGTGTCAGCTTTCAAAATGCCATTCCGCCGTTTTGAAATACGTCACGAATAAATAAGGTTACTTGATGTTGCATTCTGGGAGTCAATCCTCCTTGGATCACAAACATGGCGATTCATGAAAACATTAGTCCGATTTGGTAGGGATTTATCCATCATTTGCAGGTATGAGGCTTTGGATTCATTTATTGTGCTACTTAAAGTGGATGGGAATTATTTTTATACCACTTGGGAGAGTTTGAGACATGAAACTTAGAATTTAGCTCATTGTGACAACTTTTGAGGGTTGAGATTTATTTTTGTCCCCCACTTTAGCCCTAGGCCATGTTGATTTTCCATTTTGCAAGCGAGCTGTTACTTTTCATATCCAAAGTTGTCATCTGCACAATGATCTTGAAAATATCTGTCATAACAATACCACTGGATGAATTCTCATTTACATTGGCCTCCGAAGCTCCAAGCTGTTGAGTGTTACTCGAGTCTCTAGCTTACAGCTAGACGAAACTTCATTGATTTCGTATGTACTGTGCTACACGCACCTACACGCACCTAGAACTCATTTTTAATAAATTTTATAAATATTTTTAAGAATATTAATCATATTTAGGATGAAGCGTTGCTTGTCTGGATTTAGATATTTCAAAATTTCATTTCGGAGTTTGACACATGGTGAAATTTTCTCGCTGTAGCTAAAAATGGCTTCCGGGTCTGGACGTGAATAAATGGAGGAAACTTTGAAATTATTCTCGCTTAAAGAAATCAAATATAACCATAGATTCAGACGGGGATGTGAGCTGATGTTCTTCAAATCTATACATAAAGGTATATTTCATATTATTATGCCATATTTACTGTGCGTGTGACACAATGATTTACAATATTTATAATACTAAGGCAGCTCAATCTTCCTCCTCAAAGCCGGAATATAGAGAAGGCTTTGGACCGAAGTAAGTTGAGTGGGAAAGAGTGAAAATTTCAAATTCAGCAACTGACTTGTTTATTCTTGCCCATGGTCCGTATTACTGCGTAAAATTACATGTTTGTGAACTCTGGCGTGCTTAATTACAATCCATCCAATGAGTGCATTAAAATCCAATGAGAGTTAGTCATTTTGAGGTGATTTTAACGAAACTTTTAGAAATCTGTCGCTACTGTTAGACTGAGCCCAAGAACACCAAAGATAAATAAATCCGCATTAAAAAGAGTTTACGTTATGTTCTATTTTCTTCATTACTTATAATAAATGGAAAGTAATATGAGTAAATATTTCAAATTCACATCAATATAACAAAGATGTATTTTGTAAAGCACATCAGTTGAGATAAAATGATGACTAAATGAGCGAATGAATATAGGGTTGTTAAGCTGGACTATTTTATGAGCGGTGCCCGTATAAATACACTAGACGAAGGCGTCATTTCACAAAATTACCGGGAAAAGCAGGGAATAGGCTGGCACAATGGCACGAAGCGGCATCTATAAAAGCACAACGCTAATATTCCAAATAAAAAATGCAACTTTGATCTTAGCTCATTGTATCAATAAGGTTTTTGGTCTTCCTTCATGTCCGGTGATCGGAAGAAATGAACGGAGGGAGGGGAGTAGGTTACCTGAATTTCGCTAGAAATTTATTTTTTCAAGAGAAAGTTTACAATTGTTGCTAAAATAGGCCACGACACATGGAAATATGTTAGGTCTTCTATGATTTTTTTGAACCGATAGGCTCGATAGGCTTCTAAGATATAAATTAAAAAGGCGCATGGACAACATGCAAATGCCAAGTTTTGCTATTTCAAGCAACACTGAGGGGTCTACACGACGTTATTATCACAAATCTATTCTCATTGTTGGTTTAGTAAAATGCGTTACCATACACGTACGTTAGGCCTGTTTAAAATAATCGAAAATTATTAAAATTGAACGGAGGGGGGAGGTTATGTTTCTATAATACATATGATAAGATATGTAACTGGCCTTTATTTTCAATAACTCCAAATGTTCCTGTTTTTCACCTACACGAATTCGCCGAATTATTTTCAACCTAAACGACATAGGCCTATTACTCCCTCCCTCCGTCCACTCCCCTCCACCGTTCAATTTCAATATTATTTTCGATTATCATTTATCTAACGTATGGAAACTTATTTTTTAAAACTGAACCAGCTGCAATGGCATTCACTACCATTTTTGTTTGATATAGCAAAAACATTGACATTCAGAGACTTTAGTAAAGTTTTGATTAAATTCGTACAAAAATGTGAACGCCGTCTGTAGATGTTACAAGAGTGTCGAGATTTTGGACAACCTCTTTTACCATGGCAAGAAATTGCGAAAAGTAGTAGTACTGGTTGCATAGTGATATGCTTGTATTGAGAAGTAGGAAATCATACAGGGATCACTATTATGCATGGTATAGACATCTTCAGATCTAAGTCGATATAGGTCACCATGACAACGAATTAAGGGACTTACATAAATTTCAAGAACTGTCTAATATTGACGTGTAAGCAAGTGGTGAAAAATTAAGGCATATCTACCCGTAAACATTGAAGAATGGTTATTAGCATCGAGGAGTGCTTGATGAATTGTATGAGTCGTATATGTTGCAATGACATGTTTGCAGTACGCCATGAAGTTATTGATGTGCTTCTTTACTTAGTTACGAAAACGTTACGGAACGCTAAAACGGTTAGGCTTAACATCTGCACCTTTCACGCCGTCGTTCGCAAATTATTAGATTTTCATAAACAGACACATGCTTGTGGCCTCAGCTTGTGGCACTCGTTAAATCGTAAAGAAGAAAAATCGTTTCTTCGAGGCTGCGACATTTTGTTAAGAAGTTTGAAGAGTCACTTCACAAAGTGATTACAACTTTTTTCCCATGTATGTATATTTTATGTATGTATGTATGTATATCTTTATTGCCCTTTATGAAAAGGAGATACAATACCTTTTTATCAATCGGGCAAGCGCATGTTATATACACATTCATCCACGTCCAAGTTCTCTTAACCTCTCTACTGATTCTCGTTAACAATCCATATTTTATATGATTCTGTTTGCTTCCGGATTGATGAATAGATTTAGAGAGATCAAGCTAATTGCAAATATGTCGCTGTATAAACCCAGGCCCAATATACAATAAGAACATTTGGGTATATTCTGTTTCATAGAACAATATTTTGGGAAAGATCATAGGGTAGAAACATGTATCTTGCGTGTAGAGGTATATTCTCTGTATAAGCTGGGTTAAAAGTGTTGTACGTGCGGAACCTCTTGATTGACTTATCCCGTTTATTTGATAATAACATCACGCGGTACTAACTTCGACTGTTAATTTGAATTTTTGACCTACCGGATGTTTGAAAATCAAGGATTACGAGTCTCATATACTGCACCGTTTTTCTTCAAACTTGGCTAGAACGAGGGACTCTTTACAATAAAGTAATGCACCGACAGAAAGGCAATTTTGTTTTGCTTTTAATGGTATAAGTTTGAAGAAAAACGGTGCAGTATGAGACTCGCAATCCTTGATTTTCGAGCATCTGGTAGGTCAAAAATTCAAATTAACGGTCGAAATTAGTACCGCGTGAACATGTATTTTAAGACTCCTGGTGACGTTTTTAATATGCGTCAGCGGCTTAAATAACATACAATGCCAGATGCAACCAAGATAATTTTTTGTAAATGGACAAATGCCCCCCCCCACAAATCTTTTATGCTTTCAACAAGCTTTGATTTATGTTTATTTCCTAAACAATATCATATCCATAACATTTGATATGATTGTCAAATATTTCTTCAGATATTGACATTACACAAAACTTCCATACATAAGTAATTTCCAGTATTTGTAGTATCTCGCTTGATTTTCATTTCACAAAGTAAGCGTTTACCTAAAGTTCAAATATCATTTTCAATTGATACAATTGCAAGCTATTCATGAATTTGAGAGGCATGCGAATTCCTTTTGGATACCGTACACAAATCTACCGTACACTGGTCATTCGAGTGACGTTTGAGTTGAATCTAAGATGACCATCATGTAACAGCAATAAAAGAACTTTTTATATTGCCAAATGATACGTCATATATCCATCATACCAAATGTACGAATGTTATCTATAAAACGTTAAACGTCATGCATTTTTCTATAGCGTCTTTAGTATGCGTTATTGGTGAATGTGTGTGGTGAGTGATCGGTTTAAAAAACATTTATAGTCATTACACAAGTCCATCGTATATTGACAACGCCTGTGTGATTGTTGAATCTTTTTTGGATCCATCTTTGAATTCCTCCAGTGAAAGAATGTCATCGTGATTCTAAAAGAAAAACAAACACCCGTTACATATGTATTAACAGTCTATAGCTGAGGCCCGGGTATACTGCCATTAATAAAAAAAATCAGCCTTATTCTTATACATTAAGCCATTAAAAATCAGTCTTATTCTTATACATGTAAGTAATCTCTAATATATTCATACATATATGCCACGCATTTACAACTCAGTACACAAGCGGACTTTTTAAACATTTTTAACGTATTCCTGGGCCTCAGGTCTATAGCACGGATGTGTCTCAGGTCAGGACAAATATGTCTATTTATAACATTTATTAGGATCTGTGAAACTGGGGCATACTGTAGCTCCAAAATAGTAGCAATGATAAAGCAAGAATGAGATAATGATATGTTATGGGCTAATACAATCCATCTGTAACACACTTTATTAAAGGCCCCATGTATATTTGGAAAATATTACCACAGAGCCTTTATTACTTGCGTGTCATACCTTATCCATCATTCGGAAGATTTTATCCACGCGTTTCTCCGGCGTACTCTCCTCGTCTGGAAGTTTTACACCTTTCCCCTAAAACACAGACATCTAATATTGTTTTCATTCAGTTTTACGACTTTGATAATTGGAAGTGTTTCGACAGTGCAAATAATTTTATTTATTTATTGATACATTCTTAGAGGTACACTAATGTAGTAAGTTAGCATATAATGAACGAACTAGATAATAAGATATCTACTATTTCACGCATCAGTGAAGTCTATTTGAATACGACCTAGAAGACGTACTCAACGTTCGTTACTTACTACCATCTTGTATATTGCTGAAACTATAGCCAGCATCTCGTCCCTTGTTATATTGCCATCACTATCCAAGTCATAAAGACGGAATGCCCCTAAGGATAAAACAGTAAGAAGTAAGATAAGGTAATAAGGTAGGCCTATCGTTTTCGAAATATGTTTTGGACAAGAAGCACCGCTTTTAAAGACGTACATTCTTTCTGACACAAAATATGTGCAGCATTTTAATTTGTTTAGTCTAAAAATAGGGAATAAAACTAATGAACAAATTTGAATGGCCTTATTATATTTGATTGAAATAATAAATTGGGTTCATTCTTTTCTACTCCTTTCTTTGGTATGGTCTGCATTGACATGTTTTTGCTTAACAGATTGGCTGTGAAAACAAGCTTTGTGTTTCCAAATCAAGCCTACGCGGTGTTTTCTATTTCACATATCTAGATTGGTGCGGTGATTCCTAGTTTACTGAATTATCATGATAAGGGAGAGGGTATGTTGACACACAGTAAGTTAGTTTATAACTGAACAATTTCAACCGATCATGACAAAAATTAGATAAAAACCATTCTCCCCGAGTGCAATTAATCGAAATATTATACTTATGAATAAGGCAAGGTAAACATACAACCATGTGCCCCCTCAGTAAGATGGGAACCGGAAGTCTCATTTTGGATCGCTTGTTAAAAGTCCGTTTACCGCAAGAGGGGGAGAAACTCCAGGGTTCAAAGATGACATACGCTTATAATGTAAATCTGTATTGAGATGACATCGTCGCTGATTGGTTTAGCGAGTCGATCGTTGATTGGTTTAAAACTAGGTCAATTTGAAAACTTTGAAAACCAAGATGGAGGGTAAGTACTTCAGGGAAAGGAGGTGCACGAAGGAGGAAATCGTATGTCATCAATTGAATCATGGGGTTTCCCTCCTCTGGTTTACCGCGTTTGGCTGTTTTAGAAATATCATCAATGTCGTACATCTAATTAAATGAATAAAATGGAAAAAATTAAGAGTCTTACATTGACAATGAAAACATGCGGTTGCCAAACTTGTAGAGGGATGTGATTCGATTTTCATCATGATTTATTAAGGATTTAAGCCCAGGACTCAATGACTCACTTATGTCTTAAATCACGACTTGAGGGTGGCAGCTCGAATTCAAAGTCTATGATACAAGACATGAGTGCATTAAATCATCCACAATTTTTTGAATACAGCGTGTTAAAGTATTTTCACTGCAGAGTTTTCAAGTTTTGACCTTTTCACACTTTGACCTGCATATTGACCTATCTTGAAATGCTATTCTTTATGACTTTATGGTGTTATTGATAGGTTTTCACTCAACTACCAACTTGAATTGTGAAATTGATGGGGTAATTAATTAATTTCGCTGGATCTTAAAATAACCATGCACTCTATTGTAATACTAAGAATGCATTATTCGAAATACTGAGTTCTGATTGGCTGGAATTAGGTATATCGTGCCTAGTTGTGTCAACACGATAACACTTATTAACAATCAAAAAGATAATATATTAAACTTGCTAATATCCACAATTTCCGAAATATGTTCCATTAGAGAAGCTTTTAAACCTTGCATTTACAGTTGAACCCGTGGCATAGAAATTAGTATGCATTAAATGCATTTCATATGCGATATTTCACAGAAAGAACAAAGAGGAATAACCTTTGAGGACCATACGTCAAAATTAATCACTTCTATGCTTGTTTAAGGTTCTCCTTTAGGAAACTATATTATTTGCGTTGATTGAGTAAAAGCGGATTTTATCAGAACGAATATTATCCCTTGTAAATATATTGTAGTATCTTACGTCTTTCGACAGTTGAAAATACTGGATTTGATATACAAATAAATTAACATTTAATTAGTACGTAAATATTGCGATACCTGACAATTTTGTCATATTGAATACATACAACTTACATTCTAGTTTTTCTTCCACGTTTCCCCTTGATGTGACAGATAATGCATACATAAATTCTTTGAATTCTATTCTTCCATTCTAAAATCAAAAATAAAGTTGTTCAGCAAACACAATTATGTATTAACACTTTACTATACCTTGCATTTGGTGTTCATGAGCAACCCATTCGGCTTAATAGTGACGATTATGATATTTGTTTTTATTTGTCCGTTCCTTATTAATGGTTTATGGGATGACTGTTAGATATTAATAAGATACTTTCAAAATACATTTAACAGTTCAATTAGACAAACAGAGTAGCTATGCATTTCTATGGGTTAAGTATAGTAGAGTGAACAATGTAGTAGTTGATCTCATACATGTATATTGTTTGTGAAACTTTTTCTGATTTACTTATTTTCTTACTCTATAAAGATGAAAATAATATTCTGACAATGATGAAAAAGTTATGTTCACAATTCACACCCTTATCTTGCGCCTCTAAATTCTTCTTGTGTATCTTGTGTAAGATAAAGCCTTGTGCGATATTTTATTAAATGAAACGTTGCTTATATGTAGCCTTACACATATTGCTCACCTTATTTTGGTCAAACACATTAAATACAAAAGTGGCAAAGTCTTTGGCATCTCCTAGTGGAAAGAACTGCTTGTACATGCTGTTGAAACCCTAGAATAAAGTAAAGATGAACAAATAAGTGAACAAACAAATATAGCATACATGTACATGTACTTCAAGCAATGTCAAATTCGAACCAGGTTGCAAAATTCTCATTGTCAAAATTCAGACAAAAACCGTCGTGATTTTTCTCATTTTCATGTGGCTGCAAATGAAATTTCAGTCTGTTGCAAGACTTTTCATAATCTCAAGTGGGTACAGCGCCCCACCTATTTTTGATATAAGAGTATTGGTCATATTGGTATTGGTCAAAATATATTATATTTTTCAACATATATTGTTATAACACTTCATTCAAATGAAATATCCTGTGCTGTTGTGGTTTAGAATTGTGAAAATAGATTCTGAATGATGAATGGAGAGTCTTGGAAACTTTCTCTGAACGTTAGATCATTATTTGGTATGTTGACTCTATTTTTCTCGTTTAAATACTTTTCAGTCTTCACCCCCATACATAGACTTGCACTGTCATATTTGTAGCCGATTGGTAATAACAAAAAGTGAATTCCTGATAAATCACTGTAAAAGAACAATAAATTACATTTATTTGGTTACTGTTGATTCCGTTCATGTACACTGTTGCTCATAATCATGTAATTAATTTGTCAAATAGCCACTGAATTTCCGGGATTTAATAAATAAATCCGTCTGATTTCATTGGACTTTTTAACACTTTTCTGGAGATGTACCATATTCTCCTGACTACTTAATTTCCATAATTGTTATAGCTTAGATAGTGAATTTCCTTTTAAACGTTAATGATGGTTCGTTAATGAACGCTGTAATTCTTATCAGTTATATAATAACATGATCTACATTAATTGATCGTGATGTTTCAAATTAACATGGAGCTACTATTGAACATACCGGTACCACTGCTAATGAATGGAATGGAAGCCATTCCAAATTATCTAAAAAGTGCACCATCAAGAGTCACTTTCAAAACCAATTTACGTAAATATTCAGGAACAATGAAGCATTTAACAACCACAAACCTGGATCTTACAAGAAAAGAAGAAATTTTACTGAATAGAACAAGATGTGATTTCATTTTTACTGGTCATCTTTTTCAACATAATTTTCAAGGTATTGACAGTCCCAAATGCATCTGTGGTTTTAAACAACAAACTACAAAGCATCTAATCTTCAAATGCCCTCTGTTGAATGTTATAAGAGAGAAACTTTGGGGGGAACTCAGGAACATGCCAGAAATGAACATTTTCTTTACAGGATGCTCTATAGAGCAAAAGCTGAATATCTTAATGTATGGCAGAGATGGAGTTAGCATAACATGCAATTCTTCAATATTGAAGCATTTTACATCCTTTTTGTGTGAATGCATTGATATAATTATATAGTTTTAACACATCCCTGCCATGCATACATATATGTTGGTAGTCATTTTGTTGCTATTTTGTAAATTTGAATAAACTTTGTATTAACAGGGCCAATAATGCTGATTTCAGCCTCGGCCCTGTCATTTGTAGATAATTTTGTAAAGTAAAATAAAGAAACCATAAAAACGAAACTGCTAATGAACATGATAAATGGCGATTTTCAAAGACTCATATTTTAGTGTTAACAATAAATTGCATATTTAATCAGGGGCGTAGCCAGCTTTCAGTCAGGGGGGTGCACCCCCCCCCCCCCCTGGCTACGCCTATTCCAGTTGATAGCTTTGCATTTGAGAATAGTCAATAAATTTCTGTCCCACTCATCTGGCAATAAACATCACAATAATGAAATATTACAGGATCCTTTATGTCACGTGACGCATATTTAGCCAATTGCATAATGGGAAACCCGACAGAGATTACAATCATTCTTACCTCTTCCGTCAGCATCCCATCGGGGCAATCTTTGATGAATCCCTTGTACCTGAAATAAACAAAACGCAAATACAGACGCAACGCTGTAAAGTACTAACCAAAAATTCAAAAAGGTGTTAGTTAAGCTTAAGAACCCATATTCTTACTATTAAAAATGGATTTTAGCAATAATATCCCACATGAATGACGTACTCGATAAACTTGAGAAAATGAGGATTTTGAATCTATCCCCATGGAGAAATAATGATGATGTTCCGATGCCAAGTTATTAGTGAATGGTGTATATCCCCATGTTAACTCAATGCACTCTTGCTGATATCCTCATTTTCTCGATAGAACTAAAGTTGATCGAGTCTCAACAACTAGATCCATGTTGGATAGTATTGCTAGAATCCATTTTCCATAGTTAGAATAGGGGTTCTTAAACAGGACATTTGGACTTGCTTTTTAGAACCCTTTGTTGAGTCTTTATGAGGAAAACAACAACATTGCTCTATTAAGGTTGATAAATGACTTGTTGCCTTGTGTTGGTGTTATTCAAACAGTTGTTTGCCGTAATTATCTGAATTCTCGTGAAATCTAAACCTCACCACATCATCTCCGTCATTATTCTAAACACATCATCATTATCATCATCAGCTAACATTCCCATTATTTACAGAATGCTTTAACTTACCATTGTAAAAGTTCTTTTTCTGTAACTGAAATTAAAAAAGAGAAAATTCGTAACAAACATTGGGTAATTTCAATTGAATCTACCGTTGCTACTGTTGATAATCGTTGTAAATGGAATTGGGGTCATACAGGCAAACACGACCCCCTCTTAATTGCTTTGTGTTTTATCTCTTTTTGCAAGCAATTTCTTTAGTTTAGACTCATTCGGAGCTAGTAAGGGAAATATAAGGAAGATTATAATTCAGGCCCGTAGCCAGCTTTTTGCCAAGGGGGTTCACTTTTTAAAGAAATCCATGGGGCACTTAGATGACCAAACTCACATGAAAGATACTCAGAATGGTGAAAAACTGCATGATTTTGAAATAATTTTTGGCCAGTGGGGTTCACCCAAACCCCCAGAGCCCCCTGGCTACTGGTCTGATAATTTCATCCATGCATAATATAGTAAATGCAACTGCAATACCAAGGAAATGTCAACATTAAAATGACTGCAACACTGAAAAACTGGATTCATTACAGACTTTCAGTTGTCGAATAATTACTGTATATAGAGAACCGATATACAAACTAATTTATGTATCACTAAAAATAAGTAAGAACATGTACTGTATCTACATTCTACAGTAGCAGTAGGTCCACTATTTTGTACTCATATTCAAGCTTTAAATGTGGTCAATTATACATACATATAGGTATCATGGTCACAAATTTCTACAAATGTTGCATTGTTTTAATGAAATAAATAAAAAGGTTAATGTGAACTTTATCTAACAACATTGATATACTATCTGATAGGGAATGGTGCTATATATAATTACAGAGTGAGCCGTTATGGTACAGGGTGTTAAGTAAACGCAACCCAAAGAAATCGCTATATCTTGGAAAATACTTATCCGTGTTTATTTTTTCAGGAAAGCAAGAAGAGACTGTATTTGTATAGCTCCTGTTGTTGGTATTAGATTGGTTATTAGAAAGATACGAGAAACGCAGTTAGAGGTGACTGCCACAGCAATAAAACCGAATAAATTTCTAAACATGGTGTTTTCGCACTTCAGATTTGACACAAATTATCCTCATTCAATGTGTGGTGAATTTTATGGAGTTTCATCAAAATCACTCCAGGGACTTTACAGTCATGGTCAAACTACCTTCTTAAGTCTGCCTAAACCAGGACGTTTTCTGCGTTTTGAAAGGATTTCGACAAACTGTAAAGTCCCTGGAGTGATTTTGATTTCTCTCTTCAGCTTTACCATACATTGAATGAAGATGAAGAGCCAAAACAATATGGTTAGGTTGCAGTCACCCTCGACTGCATATTTCTTATTTTTCTTGTACAATGTCTTTTGAGCAGGTTTCCAAAGCATCATGTTTTACAACTAACCAACTATGGGACATATATACACAGTATCTTCTTTCTTTCCTGAAAAAATGAACATAATTGAATAAGTATTTTCCAAGATATACCGATTTATTTGGGTTGCGTTTTTAACACCCTGTAGAATGTTAGTCACTACAGTATTACAAAAATGATTCTTTCACAAATTAGAGTGCATTTATTTCGTAAACTAATGCATTTACTTCTAGACTCATATGAGAAAAATTGCTTGTAATTGGAACGAAACCAAGGTTAATCTACCCTCAGCCACGTAAATGGTTAAGAGCAATTGCAAGATTATTTGCATCAGTATTGTTCGGAAAATGAAGAATTTGTTTATTGCATTGTTGACTTTTGGCAAGAATTCTTATAACGACGGAGCCCTGACATTTCCGTGATACAAATGATTTTTGTAAAATAGTTGTAACAGAAAATAAGACTCCAACACCGCCAGGGTATCAATGTAGTATCCCGGGGTATTATCCAGAATTCGAACATACAATACCTGGCCTATACTAAGTATTTCATTCAGCGCTAAATGCTAAACAGGTGTAAAAGGGTAGGTGGTCCTATCAAATTTTGGTCCTACTCTCTATTGATTTATATGGTGACCCAATTACAGTTATTTTCCTTATTATTTATACACAGTCAGGGCCAGTAAGGGCCGCAAGGAAAGTGGACCATAATCCCCAGGGGACCATAATTTCTTTTACACCGGAACTAGGAAAGGAAGTGACGATTTTGCACAATTTTATGAGTTTCTTTTTTCGAATATAGACCTAAGATCAAGTATTATATCACAGCCGTCCTGTCGTTCGGGGTACAGAAAACGTCTACCTTGTCCTGCGGTACTTATCCGTCGATATAACACATGCTCTTCGATATATATTTCTTAAACCAGACTATAAAAAGCTTGAATACATGGCACTGTTGCTTAAAGTGACAAGCTTCTGTTTCATATTAATAACCCACAGAAATATAATGTTTTAAGAATAATTGAACTTGGCTTTGATTTTTTTTAATTCTCCTATTATATAAAAACATGGACTTTTAAGTCATGCAATTTTGAATACTATATCTAGTATCAATCATCATTTTAGATCTTATTTACACAGACAGAACCGGTCGCGGTAAGATTGTATTTGGGATGAATGCAATTATGAGGAGAGAACAAGTCCAATATAGACCAAATGATTGCAATAAAGAGAATGATTCCAGCCTTTGATCTATATTCCAATCATACATTGAATCATAACTCATAAATGGTCTCGTATAATTTTGGAGAAATTGTCCATGTCCGTTTTAATCCAACCTTGGATAATAGAATACATAATCATGTAAAAAGACCAGTTGCTGTAGTTGATCATTGTATAACGATATCTTCAGGCATCTGCAGTATTAGTACCGAAAATAAGTTCTAGAAAGCAGGCCCAATGTCCTGCAAGAACCCTCATTCTTTCCGTTGAAAATGAATTCTAGCAATACTATCCAACATGAATCTACTTTCCGGACTCAATCAACTTGAGTTCTTCTGAGAAAATGAGGATTTCGGCAAGGGTGCATTGACTAAACATGGGGATATACACCATTGACCAATGACAGCTTAGCATCGGGGTACTATAAGTTATTCAATGATTCGAGTGGTTTTTTGATTGACATGGACCAATCAGGTCGAAGGGAATTTCACCATCATGGAATAACACCGTGCATGTCACCATTCTATATCAAAGGGCCCTTGGTGAAATCCTCATTTTCTCAGAAGAACTCAAGTTGATCAAATCTCAACAAGTAGATTTATGTGGTATAGTATTGCAAGAATCCAATTTCAATAGTAAGAATATGGGTTCTTAAACAGGAATTTTATAATTTTGGTTAGTGCTATATCTGAATATATCTATATTGACTTCTAATTAGTCCAGTTCATTCTGATTCGCATAGCATCTTTCTGTTTCACCTGAAACAGGGATGAGAAGAAATGAGATGTCATGGTTTATCATGATGAGTCCAGTTGGTCACGATTTATGTCACATGATGTTTTATATGTCTGACTAGATGGTTAATTTAGATGTAACATTTTAAAATAATTAACTAAGTCTTATGAACGAGTTTACAAGTGAATACCACTCCACATTTGTATATGGTGTTATCTCATTGTTAATATTGATATCGTAATTTTCAAAAATAGTTATGATTGGTTAATCCCCATACAGTCATCGAGGATTAAGTAAGGCTGTCGTTTTGAATCCATAAATTCCCCACCGAAGATTCGAATGCTATCCCTGTCATATTTCTAAAATGAGTTAATACCCTTTAATAACCATGCTGATACTCATCAATCTTTTTGTTTCCCAACTAGAAAGGAACTAATAGAAGGCTTTTGGTTTCTTACGATGCCTAATAACAAAGGAATGTTTTATATTTAAAACCTCTGTTGAAAATATTGAAAGGGGTAATTTGTATATACGTATAAAATACTTTGACAGAATTTACAAACTGTACACCAAAATGTTATCATTTCATGAAAGAATGTTCAAATGCTCCCAACATTCATTAGAGCGAAACTGTCTAGATAAGCTTAGAATTATCTATAAGCAATATGGATTAATAGCAGAATGGTTCAATCTTGAAGTATCTAATATTAAAATACTCACATGAATCATGCTTGGTATAGAATATGGTTTGATCCACACAAAGACCGATGTGAAAGAAATTATGGTCCCCCAGGGATTATGGTCCCCTTTCTTAACAGCCCTTTCTGGCCCTGATTGTGTATAAGATAATAAGGGAAAGAGGCCACAATATAAATCAATGAAGAGTAGGACCATAATTTGATAGGAACTTCTACCCTTTTACACCTGGTCTACTTGTTGCAACCCCCCCCCCCCATGCCCCACGCTGTATTCCAACTTAGTATAAATCCAGGTGAATGGGACGGGATGCTATTAATAAGTGAGTGCAAACATCATAGAGGTTGGAATATTCCTCATCCTCATCCTCATGACATTTACTCATGATATTAGAAATTTCGATGTGCCCTAGGTAGATTTGTAATAAACTGAATTGTTTAGAGTATTTGTAGTATATGACTTGTTATATATAGGGACAACATTTCCCGGGAATCTATCCAAACATAGGTTGCTTCAATTCTCCATAATGTTTCAAAAATTAATAATAATAATTAATATTAATAATCGAAGATGCATATCAATAGTGTATTATATTGTGTTTATATGTGGAAACTTCTACAGGTAGCTAGGCAAAGAAATCATTGCTATTTTATGAATTCAATTAAAATGTAGTAATTCATTGCGTAATAATAAATTCATATTTTACTAAAATACGAGCAAGGGTGCAAATACATTTCCGGTTGTGATGTCAAACTTATTTAGGGACGTTCCAGCGGTGTGTAGTCATGGTAAACGTTTTTGGAGATCGGACAAGATCGCACAGAGAACTCTCAGTTACCAGCTATATGAGGCCTAAAAGGGTGTTAAACCTCTATTACTCATCTTCTCCTTATCGCTTGTTCACCTTGTCCCTAAACATGATTCCCAGGTGTAGACCGTAATTTGGATCCTCGCTACAAATGCACCCCCCCCCCTTAAATCATCTGTTATACATAATCAGGGCCTATGGACTATGATCGAGGTTCATGGGCTAAATCACTCGGGGACGTCGTTTCTTGTCTAAATTAAATTTGATAGCACATTCATTGATCGCATTTGGTCCCATGATCCAAACTCAACCGATCAGTTCTCTAACCCCCTCCCCACACACACACGCTTAGCTATATCTACAATTACGACAATTAGACCTACTTACAATATGTATTTTTCTTTAAATCATCTAAATCCTGTGATGTTAATTTGCTATGTTTCTTCCCCATGTTGAGTATGAATCAGTTCCAACGTCTATATTATTAGTGTACGGTATCTACAGTTCACTAGACTCCTGTTTCCTGTTGTATCTCTTCTGCTCAGTATTTAGTATGCGTTATCATCATCAAGTCCCCCTATGCTTGAAGATAATCCAAAATATATGATCAGGGGTGGAGTTATTCTTTGCCACATGCAGTTTCCTTGTTTTCAGGCGTGTCACTAATTGCTGCAAAGAATGATAATCCGAGAGGAAGGTTAGTTTCAGCGCTTGTTGTACAGTTGAGCAGAAAATGATATGTTTACCTTTACATAGAATAAGCTAGGCATCCCATGATACATATCCCTAATAACATATTATCTCATAGGTACTTGACATCTTACATTCAAAATTTATTTCGGAAGTCACCCTTTGAAACTGGCATAGTTTGCATATAACACAAAACATGCGAATTCTCCTAATACACACGTATATATAATATGTTTTTTCGGTCTTTTATGGTTTTACAAGAACATGAGTGAAAAGCCAAATTTGCGTGCAAGGGCATACAATATGCAAGATATGCAGAGAGGCTGCACCAAGTTTGCTGCATAAGCGATAAAAATAGAAGTGTTCTGGTACAAACAGACTCGGCTGTTTATAAATAACAAGAAATAGACGAGGTTAAATAAGCCAAGAATAGTTCAATTAAATCAGCATTGATTTTCATTCATTATTCAAACTAAATAGAATGTGTAATTAAGCTCTGGATTATATTAGTAATCGGACTAATCCCTAACCCCCAAAAAACATTGATATGTGTCATTATTTATAATCTAAAAACTTGACAATCACTACGTGTGCCAAATATTCATTATGTTTTATCTTTTGCTAATAACTTTGTTGAAGTTGTTTCCTCCAGTGCATTTTGACCGTTATTTCAGCTCCATGCTATCTATGCATAACCATTCTGATACTCATCTTTCTTGTTCACCCGAAACATCTCAGGGCTGAGAAGAAATGAGATGTCATGGTAAGGTTTATCATGATGGTGCATAAACTATATTTTTGTGTTATACGTTTTGGCGAGACACACACGATGATTAATCTTGCAATTGTGCATGGATGATCGTTCTTCTATGCTTTCAAAAGACGGAATTATGTTTGTTTGTTAAAATGATCTAGGCGTATATTCAGCCATCCGTGAACGTTCTAACTAATTAATATACCATCTATAATTACGATATAAATCCATACATACTAATGATATTTCTTACACTACTTACGGCGATAACATAACAGAAACCTTATAAGTTTTCGAAGATATGTTTCATAGGGTCAGATAGACACAGTGGATATGATTTATTACTATTGCTTCCCTTGTTATATAAAATAATAATTATGTAATTGAAGAAAATATCTGCCTTAGTCAGCTATTGGCAGAAAAATGGCAAAACGAATTGTTATATAACATTTTCAGATTATGTTGTTTATAATGAAATAACGTCATTATAATGACAACAACAAACCGATTCAATTTTGTTCCCCTCACTTTTGCATATCAGAGCGCGTGTACCCAGAACACTTTACAGCTTCATTAGTATTATCTCGGTCAAACAATTTAAGCAAACACAAACCTTGTCGGATTTTTCAAAGATTTTTTTGATGTATAGAATTCAAAATGGCGGCACCCATGATGGATTTCCCTATCACGTGACCGAAACACACATAGAATTCGAGTTGGGCATGGAATTCCGTCGCTCCGCCAATCAAAAGCCTAGATAACAAATCGCCCCCAAATCACACCAAACCTACCAAATCCAAATCTTTTAAACATGTCAAACATTTTTGCGTCACTTCCACAAGTGGTGACATTTTGTTTTAGTCTCCAACTTTTTTGTGAACGGCGTTCGGCGGTTGGTGTTCGGAAATTGGGCGTCTGTACAAATGGCATGAGGGGAAACATTTTGCATGCCTTACATTCTATGACGGGAGGTCTCAACTTACATCTGGAAAGATATTTATGTTATCCAACCGGGAATAAACATTACCTACCTCCCATAGTTAAATAAAGCAGTCATGTACGTGTATTAATCTCCACGACGCTAAGTATGATGGTGTATATTTTTGCAACTTTTTCTCCAAAATGTTTCTTTCTTTATTCCTTTGATATAATACATCTTGTGATCTAAATACAGATCCACTTTCGTTAAATACTTCTAATCTTTTATTTCTTAGGTTTTGTCACTTGTTCTCAGTCGGTTGGTACACTCCTCTCTTTTTTATTGAACAGACTGCGACAAAAATTAAAAATAATGTCAACTTGGAAAATGAGAGCTGCGAATACCATCATTCCACCCATGTAGAAGTAAGAAATAGTGTACGAGCCCGTTTTATCCCTGATTAAACCTGCAAAAACAAACAGTGATTTAAGCAAATTAAATGCACAGTGATGATGGCAAAAACACCCACAAGATTTTCCTTGGGTTGTTGCTAATGCAATGGATCAACTTTTGGTAGAATTTTAAATAAATTATGTAAATATTCCTTATATGGCATGAATGATTCTAATATTGGTTGCAAATGAATTGTATATGGTATTTACACCGTGTTTAGATTCAACGTAACAAACATCGGTGTCAGTGTACTGTTTCTAAAGGTTTCTGTTACCTGCCAGAGGGGGTCCTATTGCAATACCAACACCTTGGAAACCAGTCGTGAGACCCACACCACTGTAATAACTCTCTGGCTTCACAACATTCGCAACCATCACGTGCCTTTGTGAGATCATAATGGACGTTACGAAACCATGGAGGACACTGCAAACCATTAATGTTCCGAAGCTCTCTGCGAAAGGCCAGCATGTGGCTATTGTAGCAGATGCTATCATGGAAAATGTGAAATAATGGCGTTTGTGACCAGGTTTAACAAAGCGAGAATCAAAAAAGAATCCGCAGGATGCTCTTCCGATTGTATCTGCGATTCCTAAACCTGATAATAGAAACGCAGCTTGAGTATCAGATGTTCCTTTTTCTTTGCCCAATGCAGCCACCAACATAAATGCAGGGTTGTAGCTGACATTCGCAAAAAGGACCGACAATGCAAACGGCATAAAATGAATATCCTTCAATAAAGACAAATCCAATAGAGGTTTAGCACTATTAGATCTTTTCCCACAACAGCCACATGTGCGTTTTCTCTCTTCACAATCAATTTCTGAGTTTTGGACAGAGTCATCAATTTCTTCAAGTACGCCATTGCGTTGCTCTTTACTATCTGCATGAACATCAGTGTTAACACCTTCTGTATTTGCGGCATCATTTCCGCATTTACTTGTCTCAGTAATTTCATCTGTATCTTCCACAGCCAACGTTTCAAGTTCCGTGGCATTTGCAGTTCCATCTTCACATTTGTCCAATCGCCTAGTTGGCTTATTTTTGAGGGGTTTATATACAGCCCCAATAAGCAAATGAGCTCCCATGAGCCCAGCAAGAAATAGCATAGTCCCTTTGTATTTAATTTTGGTCAGTAAAATCTGAATAATTGGAGGAAATATAAAGGATCCAAATCCCGAGCCTGCCGTTGATAAACCAATAGCTATCCCACGTCTCTTATCGAAATATTCCCCTACGGTTGCCAGACCAGGTGCATAGACAAGTGCTCCCCCAAATCCTGGAAAATATAACATGGCATACTAAATGAATATCTAAAAAACAATTGAAGAATTTGTCATGGGTATAATTTTCCATAATTTATAGCTACAGAATAATCGGTGATTCCCCTTTTGACACTACTTTGCTTACAATTTTTGACACAGGTGGTTCCGCTTTTGACACTACTTAGCTTACATTTTTTACCCAGGTGAGTCCCCGTTTGACACTACTTTGCTTACAATTTTTTACCCAGGTGGTTCCCCTTTTGACAATACTTTGCTTACATATTTTTGACACAGGTGGTTCCCCTTTTGACACTACTTTGCTTACAATTTTTTACCCAGGTGATTCCCCTTTTGACACTACTTTGCTTACAATTTTTTACCCAGGTGGTTCCCCTTTTGACACTACTTTGTTTACAATTTTCTACCCAGGTGATTCCCCTTTTGACACTGCTTTGCTTACATATTTTTACACAGGTGGTTCCCCTTTTGACAATACTTTCCTTACATATTTTTTACACAGGTGGTTCCCCTTTTGACAATACTTTGCTTACAATTTTTTACACAGGTGGTTCCCCTTTTGACAATACTTTGCCTACATATTTTTTACACAGGTGGTCCCCCTTTTGACAATACTTTGCTTACAATTTTCTACCCAGGTGGTTCCCCTTTTGACACTACTTTGTTTACAATTTTCTACCCAGGTGATTCCCCTTTTGACACTGCTTTGCTTACATATTTTTACACAGGTGGTTCCCCTTTTGACAATACTTTGCCTACATATTTTTTACACAGGTGGTCCCCCTTTTGACAATACTTTGCTTACAATTTTCTACCCAGGTGGTTCCCCTTTTGACACTACTTTGTTTACAATTTTCTACCCAGGTGATTCCCCTTTTGACACTGCTTTGCTTACATATTTTTACACAGGTGGTTCCCCTTTTGACACTACTTTGCTTACAATTTTTTACCCAGGTGGTTCCCCTTTTGACACTACTTTGTTTACAATTTTCTACCCAGGTGATTCCCCTTTTGACACTGCTTTGCTTACATATTTTTACACAGATGGTTCCCCTTTTGACAATACTTTGCTTACATATTTTTTACACAGGTGGTCCCCCTTTTGACAATACTTTGCTTACATATTTTTACACAGGTGGTTCCCCTTTTGACAATACTTTGCTTACATATTTTTACACAGGTGGTTCCCCTTTTGACACTACTTTGCTTACAATTTTTTACCCAGGTGATTCCCCTTTTGACACTACTTTGCTTACAATTTTTTACCCAGGTGGTTCCCCTTTTGACACTACTTTGTTTACAATTTTCTACCCAGGTGATTCCCCTTTTGACAATGCTTTGCTTACATATTTTTACACAGGTGGTTCCCCTTTTGACAATACTTTGCTTACATATTTTTTACACAGGTGGTTCCCCTTTTGACAATACTTTGCTTACAATTTTTTACACAGGTGGTTCCCCTTTTGACAATACTTTGCTTACATATTTTTACACAGGTGGTCCCCCTTTTGACAATACTTTGCTTACAATTTTCTACCCAGGTGATTCCTAGGTTAGCTTGGTAGCTACACGCGAAGCTTTATTCGACTATGCAAGAATCCACAAGAAAGATGTGATGCCTCAAGGTGCTCTTGTGCGCCGTCTCCCAAGTAGAAAGAAAAAAGCCAGTTCCAGTGCGAATGAAAAACTCGCTACTGATATTTATCACTTATTTCTTTTCATCGAGGGAGCTGGAAATATCAGCGATATTAAAGCTATGGTAAACCCACGGAAAGTCCGCTCAACTACTACTAAACAGGCAAAACCTGTTGATCCAACAGAGAATACGACATTAGTCCCATCACCTGTGTTAGAATCGATGATGAATCATCTATTATCTATTAAAGAGACATGTGCAAACATCTCTCAAACACTGGATGAACAGAAACTTCAAATAAAACAAATTCAAAATGAAAATGAAGCGTTGAAACGTAATGAACAACAATTGAGAGATTCGGAATTTAGAGCAAAAAATGACTTAAAACAAATAAACTCTACAATCAAAGATAAGAACAATGAGATTCTTCTTTTGAAATCAAAATTGTCTTTATGTGAAAATGAATTGAAAACAAAACTGAACATAATTGAGGGCAAATTAGCTACTGTCCATAAAAATTGTGTCAACACGAACACCACCTTAAATCGAGTTAATGAAACTAGTAAATTGGTGATGACATCTTCTGATAACTCCCCAAGGAGCAACCACTCAGATACTGCAAATAGGAATTCACCTGTCGTCACTGATCCATCACCAATAATGCAACACTGTTCCTCCTCACCGCTCCAGAGTACTGACCTACCTGAACATAATGCTACCGACATAGCCAAGTCCACCATAACTACAACTGCTGATCAAGATGCTGAAGACAACAGTGTCACGACAAATAGTGCTGCGATGGCAACTAATGTACTCTCTGATGTTACTACTTCTTCTCACTTAACTTCAGCAACTAATTCTAGTGATTGTGCCCATACTTTCTGTTTAAAAGCAGCAATTACACCGCCCAAAACAACCTATACTAGATCTCCACAAGCGATTAACAAATCCACTGTTAAATCAAACAAGATTGCTGCAGCTAATGTTACAACACCTGTTAACAGTAACAGTGCCCCCAGTGCTTCACTACCTATTCCTACCGTTCCTATTTCTTCAAGATCATCTAACTCTGATAGTGTATCCACCTTTAACAACCCGGACGATATTGGATTCACAGGCGTACATAGTCGACAAAATATTAAACGCCTATTCATATCACGTGTTAGATCTCAACTCCCTTTTGAAGAATTGAGCAACAAACTTAAACTGTATGCACGAAACAAAGGTGTCACTGTTACCTTTGTTCGACTCCTGAAGGAATATCACTCTCCTATCACCACAGCTTATTCCTTGAGGCTAAATGTTGTAGCAAAATACTTTCAATATATAATTGATGATCCTGCCTTTTGGCCTAAAGGTATAATTTCGAAAGAGTGGATTAATAAGAACAAAACTGTATATGAAGACTTTGATTAGTTCAAGTGTTATTGTATATATATTTGTCATTCTTTCTATGACTGCTAAACTTAACTTAATGTCATGGAATGTACAAGGCGTCATGTACAGTACGCCATATTTATGTCAGAAGTTATCTGACATTGATGTTTGTGTTATACAAGAGCATTGGCTTTATCCTTGCAATGTTAATTATCTTAATTCCATTGATTCGCATTTTTCTAGTGTTGCTGTCTGTGATAAATCACTTCCTATCGATATAGTAAATAAACGACGCGGCCAAGGTGGTGTCGGGATATTATACAGAAATTCAATTAAAAATGTTTCGGAATTAGACATTGAAAATGACAGAATCTGTGGAATAAAGATAGGTCTAGAAACTGAACCATTGTATATAATAGGGGTTTATTTACCCTGTAGTAATACGTCGATTTTTGAGTACCGTGAGTATGTTCAAAATTTGATGGATATTTTTGATATGTACAATAGTAAGGGTACTGTTATAATTGCAGGGGACTTTAATGCCCACCTATCCTCTAATATAGGGCCACGCTCTATTGGTGCTATTAACGATAGAGGAAAATGTATCGAGAAATTTATTTTTGATTCTAATCTGGTATGTGCTAATGCACAAAACCTGACGACAGGCCCTGTGTATACGTATTGTAGTTCTGATTTTGAACATCAATCATGCATTGATTTTATCATAATACCTGCTTCTAAACTGGATTTTGTGAAAAAATGTGCAGTCCTTAATGATCATGATTTGATTTTATCCAATCATAATCCGATATATATGCAATTTGAATTAGAAAGTAGGTGTTTCGAAACTAGCTATAAAAGTGTTCTAAAATGGAATAATGCTAACGAAGACCAGCTCACTAGATATCGTAATATTGTTAAGAGTAAACTAAAAGAAATTAACGTTTCGAATGCACATAATCATTCTGATTTGGAAAAGTTGACACATGAAATTGTCGGTTGTTTAAATGATGCAGCAGACCTTGCGATACCTAAATCTCAATTTCACCACTTTTTGAATCCTTTTTGGAAATATGGTGCAGTTTAAAATCTTCATGTATCAATGCGACAGTTTAGACGCATTTGGATCTCCGCAGGACGACCAAGAAATCATAACAATGTAGCTTTAACACAATATAAAAATGCAAAACGTCTCTTTCGTGCAGAACTGCGGAAGGCTAAAATAAATTATGAACGTAATCTTGATTCTAAATTTGACAAAGCTGCTGAGCTCAACATAAATGATTTCTATCGTCTGGTTAGGAAATCCAGAAAACTTAAAACAAATTCGCACGAATTACTAGTTGATGGAACAATAATTAGAGATCCATGTCTAATTAGGGACGCATGGGCAGATCATTTTGAGATGTTAGGGACTCCCAAACAGTTTCCACATTTTGATAATGACTTTATGCGAAATATTGAAACTGAGTTCCAACGCAATTACAAAGAATCATTTTCAAACCATGATACTACCTTAATTAATCCTATCGTTACTCAGGAAATACATGATATTATTGTACAGAGTCCTAATAACAAAGCTCCTGGTTTAGATATGGTAACTAATGAACATCTTAAAAACGGTGGTAGCATGTTAGTTAAGGTGATCACTGACCTATTCAATGCAATGATTAGGCTAGAATATGTCCCGCAAAACCAAAAAATTGGCGTCATTATTTCATTGTACAAGGGCAAGAAAAAAGATAAATTAATCAGGACAAACTATAGAGGACTTACACTCACCTCTGTTGTTAACAAACTTTGGGATACTATTCTCTTGGAAAGGAATATGCATATCTTAAAATGTGCAAATGTTCCGCACAAATTGCAATTTGCCCATAATGGCGGGAGTCAAATGGCCACATTCGTTTTTAAAGAAATAGTAGCTCATTTCCAAGAGAGAAACTCTCCCATTTTCACAGCCATGCTTGATAATCTCCAAGCTTTTGACTTATTGTACAGAAATGGACTTTTTGTAAAATTATATAAACTTGGAATTAACTCAAAAGCTTGGAGACTCTTTGTCAAATCGTATAGCGACACGAAAGCTAGAATTCTATATGATGGGTCATACTCCCGTGAAATTACTATTAATCAGGGCTGTGGTCAAGGTAGAATTTGCTCATCGCTCTGGTTCATGGTATACATTGATGACCTTATAAAAGAATTATGTGATTCTGGCCTAGGAGTCGCACTTAGCGATGACTTAATAATGCCATGTATCCTAGTAGCGGATGATACTACCGTGTTAGGAACTACGCCTAATGAACTACAAAAATTATTAGATATTGTATATAATTACAGCTGTCGCTGGCGTCTAGTATACCATGCAGGATTCCCCTTAGATAAATGTAAAAGTGCCATATTAATATATGATTTGCATTTAAAACGATATGATGAAACACGTTGGCACCTTGGACGTGAATCCCTTCCAACTAGACACCAACAAATATACGTAGGCAATATCATTGACTCTAATACTCATGTAAGCTCTAAGGCAGCTATAACAGAAGCTTGTCTTAAAGCAACACGTACTTTTAACTCTTTGTGTTTTATTGGTATGTACCGTAATGGTCTCAACCCTCTAACTAGTGCCAAAATATGGAAAAATATCATAATGCCTTCTGCATTTTATGGGTGTGAACTTTGGTTCAATATTAAACAAAATGAAATGGAAAAGCTCGAGCGTGCTCAACGACAGGTTGCCAAAAGAATCCAAGGTTTCCCTATAAGAACACCTAGTGCTATAGTCTTGAGCACGCTTGGTCTATTGTCCGTTGAGAGTTACATCAATAAAATGAAATTCCTGTTTCTTGGCAGATTACTGAGAACTGATAATCTATATGTTCAAAAACAGATTTTACTAATTAGAATATCTAGCTTGCTGGTTAGAAACGTTTTACACCTCAAACAAATGGGCTTTTTGGCTGATATTCTGCAACTTAAAGATTCTTATCCTATTTTATATACTGAGTTTGAACGTTATATTAAAACTACTGTTGTAATGCATAAATCCAAATGGAAAATGATAGTTAACGCACAAATCTTTTCAAAACAACAGCAATTATGGCACCAAATGCTGGATCAGGATGCCTCTCTATATCGCTTTAGAAATAGTCATACAGTGTACGAACCAATAATACATTGGAAATTGGGAATTATTTATCCATCTCACACTTGGAAATTGGGACAGCTTTTATCCTTATTAATACTGAACTCAGAAACTGATAGATGCTGTCCTCTTTGCAATAGTGTGACGAATGACATCACAAAACATATATTGTTACAGTGTCGAGTACTATTTCAAAAAAGAGATAATCTATTTAATGCTGTTGTTGATACATTAGGAGTTGTTGACTCAGTGGCGTTATTTAATACTGATGATGAGATATTTCTTGAAACTATTTTAGGTAGCAGAACAGATATGTTATTTGATTGTAATGATTGCATTTGGCAACAATTTTTAATAGTATCTGCGGTGAAAATAGATTATATTCTAAACCATGCTGTACTACATTTAAATATGTAAATACCTGGAATATTTGTAAATAATGTATATTTATTATTATTATTTTATTTGTCCTTAATTTTGAGTTAAGTTAAAATGTTAAATTGTAATCTTCATTTAATGGAGGAAATAAAGAATATACAATACAATACAATACAATACAATACAGGTGTTTCCCATTTTGAATTCTCTCGGAATATTTCATATTCACTTTACTTACCAGCAATTAATGAGTAGCTAAAATACAAGTAGGGGAGATTTGGAGGAAATGCACTGAGAAGACATCCGATGATTAGAAACAGACCACCAGCCATCACGACCTTCCTGCTTGTGAATCTGTTACTCAATGTTGTCCCAATGAAACCTGGAAAGAAGACTTAAAACTAATAAAACCAGTCATAAGTAACTTTATGACACTCTTTGCGTAGTTACAGTTGGCAGTGTGATATCTAAAGTTACATAATTTATAAACTACATAATGTTTCAACAGTTAAATAATAATTTGCTTGTGAACTGCTTTTTATACAATTTGAGAACGATGATGTATACCACTCATCATCAATGGTATAATTTTGTACAACTCTGTTATAAGTCATGTAATGGAGATAGAAAATGACTACATGTAAAAGTGATATACCCTGGGAAAGAGATCTTAAAACATTTTACCTAACCCTGTCCTTAATGTGGACATCATGCCTCCGACAAGGGCAGTTTCAGCAGCCGTACTATTAAACGTATCTAGGAGATCGAGATATATGATCCCATACGCTCTTCCTAAGCCACCTATTAAGATATGCATACAAAAACAAGCAAACACGCACACCCAACCCCATCCACCATCCGGGGCTTTCGAGCTGTCGTCTGCGTTTTCATCGGGATCGTTGACAACACAATTTTTACTTCCTATAGCAGCATTGTTCAAACTAACAAATTCCTCCTCATCTGTTCCTTCATTGTGCAATGAAACCATGTCACTCTCGTCTATTTCCACGACTTCATTTCCAAGTTTATTTTCTCCCATCCCTAAACGATACTAGGCTTCAGCATTTGATAATACTCAGGATCTCAATGGGATATCCTTTACCATGAATACCTTCATTCTATATCATTTAATTTAAATAATATATTTCTGCTTTATCGGTATATATAGATAAAGCCAGACACATGTTCAAGCTCTAGTGCCATTTTATCAAATAGGGTCATTTTAAGCTGTGTACAGTTGGCCTACTATATGCTATAGTCAGCTGGTTTGTAGTATTGTATTCACTTAACACAGACTTTGAACACTTAAGTTTGTAATCGAATAGAATATTTACTAATTCACACAAGTACATATATTAACACGCTCAGTCTTCACTGCTTCACGAATATGCCAAGTACAATAAAAACGATACCACTCTAAGTCCAATTACAGTTGTATAACATGGGTCTATAACAACGATATACACACACTACTATACCTTGCATTTGGTGTTCATGAGCAACCCATTTGGCTTATTAGTAATGATTATGTATTTGTTTTTATTTGTCTGTTCCTTATGAATGGTTTATCGGTTGAAAATTAGATGCTAGTAAGGCACTTTCAAAAATATATTAAACGATTCAATTAGACAAACAAAGTATCTTATGCATTTCTAGGTGTTAGGTATAGTAGTGTGATACAGTGGAGAGTGGTATATCGTCATCGTATACAACTCCTCCGTATCCAGTGGCATAATAAGATTATATAATGGTTCATTCTGTATATCGTGAGCGTAGCGAACGAGTGAATATATTATATTCTCACGAGTGTATAGAATGTACGATATACAGAATGAACCATTATATAATCGTATTATGCCACTCTAAGTTCAGTTACAGTTGATTCGAACACAATCATAACAATTAAAAACCATAAAAATATCCCATAACCTCATAGTATCAAATAGCTGTATCAAATATCAGATGTCAAGATTGCGGGCACTTGCAATTTGAATATATCAAAGTAGTTTAGCATATATCATTAAAATCATTTTTGATCTTAGACCAGGCATCACTCAGTGTTTTGGTCATGACCACGTTTACTGTACCTTCTTTGGACACCATCCAACAGAATCATGCATAATATTTTGAGATGTTCCTTCTTTGAGTCTACGCATTTCTGGATGTCTCATGTCACAGGCCTGTCAACTTGGGAACACCTAACATGAGTGACTTGGAAATGTTGAACACCTCCCCTCAAAATGTGGACACCTTGGTCCAAATCTGAACACCTTGATCCAAATTTTGAACACCTTGGTTTAAATTTTATTACATCTTGCCAAATTTTGAACACCTCAAATTTTTCGCGATCGCTACGCTCGCGTTTCACACATCCATCAACGTGGGGGGGGGGGGTAGGTACGAAAAATTTCGAACGGAATGCGTGACATATACGTAATTCGCGTGAAAAGTCCGAACGAAATGCGTACGTTTTTTTTCGGCGTTCGTATTTTTGCTGTGTAGACGATCTTTTTTAGAAATTTTTCTACAGAAATCTTTTTGCTTGACAATTATCAGGTATAATGCGTATTTGCGTGACATTTTTTGTCACGCAAAAATAACTGGCGTGACAAATTCTTCAGCAAATGCGTGACAAATACGCAAATTGCGGGACAGTTGACAGGCCTGCATGTCATCTGTTTAAGTGGTTCTTTACCACCAGCAGTTCTTTTTTGTAATTAATTTAATATTTGATTTTAATCGGCATTATGTCTTCCTTTTGTAGGTTGCTTATTTTTGTCTCATGTTAATTTTCCAAAAAGTGGAGGAGGGATTGGAATACTTGGTATGGAAGATGAAATAAGGAGTAGGGATGGAATTTAAAAAGGGAAAAACGTCATAGATAAATGAAGAGGGGAATGTTCAGGGGACCGAAAGGGGGATGCGATTTAACGGAAATGGACCCCCCCTCCCATATCTTCTTTAACAGCAGTGTTTTGTGCTGGGAAGGTGAAGAGAGGGGGGAACAAAGTTTTAAGAGAAGACTATCACTGTTCCACAACTAGTTACTTTGACGGAACGTCAATGTAACAAAATGGATTAACTTCCTCTTTACGAATTTTATGTTTTCTCGATTTAAACCTCCTTATCTCCCCTCCATAAGTTTGGCAACATTAGCTCCCCCATTGAACTACGTGTTAAAGCCTCTTTACATTTGAATTTTTATTTACTTAACCGGCAATGAAATAACTAATAATATTGATGGAAACGTAACTTGACTTCATTTCCAATACCTCCAAAGTTTCTCAATTTTTTCCTTTATTACAATAGGTCGAAAATTTATAATTTTGATGCACTTTTGAAAATCGTCATTCCCATGTAATCCAGGAAGTTCATTCATTTTGTTACATTGACGTTCCGTCAAAGTAACTAGTTGTGGAACAGTGACTATGATGGAAAATTATATAACGTATTTATTGTTTCGATTATTGATGATACGACATTTGTCTAATTTAGCCTTATATTAACATGCAACATTGGAATATAAGTGAACATATAATGCAACCTGATTTTATTAGTGTACGTGGGATCATTGAACATTGACTTGCACCTTATCTACGATAAAATGTAAATTTGACTTAACACACTTGAGCTTCATACAACTTAACATTTGCTAGTTACTACTCACTGGGAACATGTAGACGTGTGTTACACTGAATTCAATCATTTATAGTAGATTGTGATAAATCTCAGAAACTCAGACCAGAAACTAACCAGAATATACTAACAAATAAATAGTCTTTGGGCTGAATCATGCAAACATTCGACAATTCAACCGATATATCAACGGAAATGGATGGACCCGATTCCATCCAGGATGCTGTACCTTCGACTGGGGCATTAACAGAGAGTTACATTAACGTAACATCACCAACAAAACTTTCAAATCTCACACTTGTTGATACGTTCGAAAGACATGCACATAAATTTCCGAACAAGGATGCACTTGTAGTTGCAGATATTGATCTTAACAAAAGAGAATGTCTTAGTTTTAAGGAGTGGCATCGCCAGTCTGATAATTTAGCCGCCTCGCTAATCAGGCTTGGTTTAACCAATGGCGATGCGGTTGCCATGGTTATTCCCAATCGAATTGAGCACCCGGTTGCATGGATGGCTGCATTAAAGGCGAATTTGGTCCCGTGTTTCCTTTCGCTGTCTAGAAAAAGCGGAGATGACTTAAAACTCTCTTTGAATGACTTGAAAGCTAGGGCTGTAATCATCCTTCGAAAAGCAGATCACATTGATCGTGAATTTAATGAAGTCACAAGGCGAGTTTTTGAAACAGTCTGCACTTCTGAATATGACGCCGATTTACCACACGTTAAATCCGTGATATGCATAGGTAAAACAATGAAAGGAGCATCAGATTTTCACAATCTAATAAAGGATACGGGACGGGAAGATACAGATGCATTGAGCAATCATAAGGCCTTAATTACAGCTGAAAGTATTTGTGCAGTCTATCAGACATCAGGGACAACTGGACGGCCAAAACATGTAGTACATAGACATTTTGGGATAGTCAATTCGTATCGATTTATTGCAAAAAGGAAACGTATCAATGCTGAAGATCGGTACTTTAGTGATTTGCCAATGTCGTGGGGAGCAGGTTTGGCAGGTCTGTTTCATTGTATGGTAACTGGCTAAACAACTGTCACCATCGATCCTAAACATTCAGTTGCGCAAGGCGCCTCGACAATTGAAACAATTCTTCAGATCGTATCACGTGAGAAATGTACCAGAGGTATTCTCGCTCCATACATGCTTCGGGATATGTTAAATGTTATATCATATGAACATTTGCAGCTTGATAAATTCACGAATGCCTGGACTGGAACACAGAGGGTGCCATGTGACCTACTTGAAGAGGTCAAGGTCAAATTACCGACGCTTGGTGTTACGATGTGGTATGGCACAACAGAGACATCTTTCATATCTGGTCAATTCTGTGAAGATGATGCCACTAGGGATATAATTGAAGCACAGATTGGCTCATCGGGTTTCCCATTGCCTTATACCGAGGTTAAGATCGTAACTGATGACAACACTATTCTACCCATTAATACACTGGGCAACATCAAAGTCAAAAGCCCAAGAATGTTTACATGTTATTTCGGAAATCCAGATGCAACGAAGGAGAAAATTCAAAATGGCTGGTATGACATTGGTGATTTAGGCTCAATGAACGCCGGTGGGCACATCACAGTTCAAGGTCGAAAAAAAGAGTTCATAAAACGAGGAACTATTCTGGTATCACCTAAGTCCATCGAAGATACCATTTTGGCTCATCCTGCAGTGGCGAAAGCATTGGCTATCGCTATACCCGACCAACGATTGGGACAAGGAATCTGTGTATGTGTTTATTTAAAAGATAGTCAAACGGTATCTGAGGATGATTTAATAACATTTTGCAAAGACACGAGTAAAGAACTTAAACAATTAGATGGTTTATTACCAGTTCCCAAGAATGTCGTGATTTTATACAAGTGGCATGTGTTATCAAATGGCAAACCCAATGTCAGCGAAATAAAGGACATTGCTTTTAAAGTTTTGAATATCAAAGCATGACTGCTTTCAACCTTTGGTTTACGTTATTTATTAAAATCGTACAACCCAGCTGCATTAGTCATATCCAGCTAGACTGACTGCCGTTTTAGGCTGCCTCATACTCACTTTTAAACGTTAGTTCAAAATATTTCTTATTTTCTATCATGCATCTTCATATGTTCATACTTTAACAACAATTAAATGCTCTTCAATGGTTTATAGGGTATTATGTGTGTCTTCGTTGTAAATTGAAAACCTATTTTCTATTTTATTTTGTAAAAAACAATAATCTGTACCTCGATTTAAATATGTGCAATAAATATATATACAATACAATATGATTTGCCATCTTTATGTCAATACTGTTGAAAGTGTAGAACTTACAGTATATATAATTACCCAGTAATTGATATTATTAAGTAACTCAATTGAGGGAAAAATTAATTTTGGTCCAAAGAACATTTGCTATGCATCTTTAAACACGACAAAATACCAATACTTGTAATCAATTTGTGATGGTGAATAACGGGTTCATTATCTGATTTCAGAAACCGAACCAGGAAATAATTTGATGCATCCGACGGATTCTATCAGCTAAGATAGGTCCTCCGGGATAGGACCTTACATTAAAATCGAGGTCCGATAAAAATGTTTATATTGCAATATGGTATTGGTGAACATAGTTTATTGTCTTGATTCTCTGGACCTAGCTTTACGGCTCTGACTACTTTTCTTAGCTTTTCTATCATTCTTCGCATAGAATGGTATCTTATTGAATACAACGTATTCCATTACATCTCTTAACAGCGATTGGTTTGAGATCAATTTTATTTGATCTGGTCTCTCTGGTATAAAAGTCTTGCGTTTCCAGACATGCATACTATAACTATATTTCCAAACATTTTGTCTCGTCTCCATGTTTCTATACATTCCCACAAGAGGTCTCACTAAAGTGTCTTTCTCTATTCTGACTAACTCTGGTTGTCTTTTAAGTAATTGTCTAGGCCTTTCTATGGAATAGTAACTCCAAAGACTGCGCACGTGCTCCTTTCCATACATTTTGTATTCCTCCAACCAAATATCGAGAAATTTAGATGATTTCTTTGCGATAATTACACCATTGGAGAGACCAGAACTCATCGCTCCTACTCCTTGTGTGTGATCATAGCGTCGAAGAGGGGCAAGAGAGCGTAACGCAATCACATCACTGTCAAGATAAGTGCCACCGTACTCTGCAATAAATCACAGAATATAATACATAAACGATTCCTTGATTATAGGTCTATGGCAAAGATCAAGATAAGAAAACGCAAAGCAAATTGCCTGCCAAGATAATAATGTATTGAGAGAACTGGAATACTTAGAAATTATTATTGATACAAACAAAATTCACTTCATTTCAATGTTTCCAAACTTTCCGGATCCGTCTCCTGTATCCGTCAGAAGTAACTGAACATACTGTACCTGCCTTTCCGTCTTATGGACTTTAGCTAGGTGTGTTCAGTAAGTCAAACTATGATCTTTGTGACAGTTTCCTAATCACTGAGTTGTTGACATCGTTATGTTGGGTTTGTTACTTGTTAGCCTAAAGCTAACCAAAATTTTCAATAAGACTTTAAGGCCCCATCTAAGAAACCCTATTCCATTATTGAAAATGAATTCTACCGACTCTCTCCCACATCATACTACTTGTTGAGACTCAATAAACTTGAGTTCGTCTAAGATAATGAGGATTTTGTAGCAATACCCATGATAACATAGTATAAGCATGCATGGTGACATGCAGCTTTTAAGTTGTATTACCATGTCAAAGGCAATATTTCTTTTGCTGGAATCCTCATTTTCTCAGAAGAAGTCAAGTTGATCGAGTCTAAACAAGTAAACAGGTAGACGTAATGACGTAATGACTAGTTTGAAGCTGTTTAAACTTGAATATGCCTCAGTTTTAGCAGATCAATTTTCATATTACCCTTATGTATCTGATAGTTATCCAAATGAAAATATGTCAAGTAAAAGAAATATTATCTGCCCAATATAAAAAAAATATTCCACTTTTCGTAATTTTATAATATGGGTCTATGGGGAATCTAACCGACTTAGTCACGTTTTCAAAGAAAATTAAATATTTGAAACCATATTTCTAGGTATAATTTTACTTGTAGATTTAAAATACGATATCACTTTGACTGAATTTGAAAGTTTATCAAAAAATCAATTTATAAAACTTGGCATCCATATCCAGTATGTCTATCACTATCTGTGATAATATCTCTCAATCTGAAAAACGCATTACTTTACATTCACATTTACAAATCTAAAACTTTGCTTCCATTCAAGAATCATGTTGTTAACAATAAAATATATAGTGATTTCTGTGAAGCTTAATTGAACTACAGTAGCCGTTACGCAGACTTAAACCACTCATTACGTCATCTAGCAGTGAAGTAGATTCATGTGGAATACTATCACTGGTACTCACCTATTTATGCTGAAGATACGTCAGCGTAACAAGATGGAAGAACTTCCGGGCTTCGTTTTCGGTAAGATATTTTCATATTTTTCTCGATTTTACACCATTTTAAAGTCAAGTTGTGGACAATAATTTGGCTCAAAGTTAAAGAAGATGGTCTAGTTTGAGAATATGCAGGCGGTTCTATGTTTGATATATAAACGAAGACACAATTCACATATTTAGTCCCTCATTTTGTTACGTTGACGTGAGATCAATGTTACGTTGACAATTGTGTGACTTTGAGCCGTTGCTACATTGACGAACCATATTAACATTGGCGTATATTGGGCAACAATCATGAATACATAGTTCAACTATTTCAGAGAGTCCTGGAAGTCCTAAAATCACGAGGGTGAGGCACTGAGCGTTCAGAGACAGGTACTCGACGAGAAATGAGGATCCTATATTTACAGATCCCATCATTTTGGTGTGAAATGCAGTTAAAACTTGGCAAGATGAGGGACATAGGATACAAATTGATTCGATTGTACTCAAACCATTTTTCTCGATTTAGTTATGCCATCTTTATGATAGTGAACCATCAACAATTCCAAAAGTTCATTTTATCATAATATTGGTGATATAAAGTCAGCACATGTCTGTTTTCGTGGCAAAACTGATTTCATTTTCAGAGCAGAAATTTTACGTCACGTGACAATGAAGTGCGTGGTTGAAACACCAAAAGTGATATAGGCTCCACATTTTTATTGGCGATGTTTGAAATATTTTGGTCATAGCATAGTATAGCATTATATTGCATTATATTACACTCCACTATGCCTCAGTGGCAGAGTCAAGGTTACCAATATCGCTTGGCCCCGGGTTCGATTCCCGGTTCAGACAAGTTTGTTTGTGCGTTATGTAATTCTGGGTGTTTGACTGAGTGGTTCACGACTCGTATAAAAGGCTGTGGTGTGTACCTGTATATCTGTGTACCTGTACACACAAAAGAACACAGGGCTCCTCCAAGGAGGGGTTTCTGGCTCTATCTTCGAGTGTAAAATACGTTAAATACGGAATATACCAATGAGGTATTGCTCGCCAAATATGGCGGTAACCAAGATATAATAATAATACACTACATTTTACTGAATGATACCAGAAGTTTACTCAAATATGAACTTATCCATTTATCGCTTCGAAAACATTCATTAGGTTCAATGTTATCTAGTATGAGTGAGCGTTCTGATTTGACTAGCTATGCCTGAATTATTTTTAGTCAATAAGATAATTTCATAAGCGGGGAAGGGGGGTGAATCTTTCTATTTATTGTAAACAATGAATTACACAGAGCAAATCGAATCGACACTTGCTAACATTTGCTATGTGAGAGAGGGAAGAAATTGGACCATAAAGAAAATATCTTCGCATTTCCACAACTGTTGATGATTGGATCTTATGAAAAATTAAATGCTTCCCCACGTTTCGAACCCGTGCTTAACAGGAGGTCCTCGGGCCAAGCCAAGGCAACGCTTTACCAATAACACTATCAGATTATCCACAGTTATTTGAGCCTCTAATGAATTAAATTGTGAATAGGATGTCAGGATTCATTATCTCAGCTTAACAAATGCCCCGGGCACATGCCACAAATCTTTGAGCCTGGATCTGGAGCTTTCGATACCCCATGGCATTCCAAAGATCAACATTTTTCATTCGTCAACGTAACAAAGTGTCTTCGTCAACGTCACATTGGCAATTTTCATGCAGATCGTCAACGTAACAAAAGCGAGGGACTAAATATGTGAATTGAGTCTTCGTTAATCTACCAAACATAAAACCGCATGTATATTCTCAAACTAGACTATCTGCCTTAACTTTGAGCCAAATTATTGTCCACAACTTGACTTATAAGTGGTGTAAAATTGAGAAATAAAAATATCTTAACGAAAACGAAGCCCGGAAGTTCTTCCATCTTAATGCTGACGTATCGTCAGCGTAACTAGGTGAGTTCCAGTGAGTTTTGCAAGAATCCATTTTCAATGGTAAGAATATGGATTAGTAAACAGGACATTGGGCTTGCTTTTCAGATCTCGTTCCTTTCATACATTCATATATCAACCGTGTATATTTTTTTTGAAATAGCCCTGGTTATATTCTTTATAAGGAAATGAAAAGAATGTCTGAGTTACCTTTAAGTACTCGTAAACGCATTATATCTGCTATATGCTCAACATATTTCGGCTTTTCCCCGAAGATGTCTATTTGGCTCATATTATATTCTAGAAATCGTATTTTTGTTGTTACATGAGACGTCACATAATCCCACCACTGCCCATGGGGGCGATTGTTATTATTTACGTGCACCAAAATTTCATCCGGTTTCCAGTTCTTGTGGACACTGATAAAGCTGACTGCGTTTAGAAAGGTAAATTTGTATACTCCTCCGAAATCCACCCATATATAATGCACTATGTTAGGGACCAGAGTTTCATGTATAGTGTGACTCGAATTATCTACTAGTTTCTCAGCAATACTTTGTCCTAAGAAAACGCGAGACTCATTTATAGCGTTACTCCATTTTCTTTTTGCCTTCACAGCATTTACTGGTCCTAAGACACTAGAGTATGACTCTCTAGTTGATTTGTTGAAAATCAGTTGTCGAAATGCGACCACACTTGCTACAACTACATTTAGAATATAGAATAATCTAACTTTTTCTTCCATTTCACTACCATATATGTATTGCTCATATAAATCGTTTGTCAATGCAACAGCCAATGGTTTTAATTATTAACGACAAGGGATGCGTGTGTCTACATTCATTGGTGATTGAATGACATTACGATTGTATTAGGTGAATATGATTGATTTGATAGATAGGTCTATGGCAGGTTAAAATGACTTAATCTGGTCGCTGTAAATACTATAAATGTTTTTACATAATGTTCATATCTTGCCAATGGCAGAATAGTCTCTACTTCTCTCTTCAATCAAAGTAAAACGTAGTCCTGAAAACAACTACAGTCAGATAAAAATAATAACCATTTTAAACGGTGCTAAACTTTTAAGTGTCCCTGGTCACTCTTGGTTTTAGTTGCCCCCCCCCCCCCCTCTCACGGTTTGAAATATCCCCCACAGAGCAACGATAATATGGGAGAATATTGTTGAATCACCAATTCATAAGGGACATGGGCATTCTACCAACAACATATGATCATTTCTAATTCATTGACTGTGTATGGGAAAGTACCAACGGGAGAGCTAATGAACATAGTAAGAAAAAGAAAACACCTTAGAGTACACCAGAAAGAAAAAACAACTATCCCAGACCACAATGCAACGTGAAAAGAAACTGTTTCTAAAAACCCCTTCCCCACCATTCAAGTACCAATATCATCATACGAAATCATAACACCAAAAGACATTTCATTCATACTGAAGTCATTACAATACATGTTGAAGACTATTTAAAATTGATAACCAATACTCATAGCATCAAAAATAGTTGTAGATACAAGTATTCATACACTATTGAGCATTCAATCTCAAATGATGTGGGACAGATAGAAGTCATTTATAGATAATTAAATGCGTTATTGCAAGAATCTTTAGTTTTCCTCAAATAAAGTTTACACTTTGGGCATTTTTAGAAAATCCTCATGAGCTGGAATACATACACCCCCATATACAGGGTTCAATGTAAAATTGCTATTTAAATGCGAAAAATAATGTTCAAATAACAGACGTTTGATGCCAGGTCGTGGTAAATTCTGTAAAGATGATGCTGTGCGGGATATAATTGAAGCACAGATTTACTCATCAGGTTTCCCACTGCTATACTGAGGTAAATATCGTCTCTGAAAACGACAATACTATACCCATTAACAAACTGGGCAACAGTCAAAAGTCCACGAATGTTTGCATGTTATTTCTGAAACCCAGATGCAACGAAGGGAAAAATTCAAAATGGCTGCATGGTATGACAATTAACGCCCCACGGGCACATCACAGTTTAAGGTCGAAAGAAACAGTTCATGAAAGGAGGGATTATTCTGATATCACCTAAGTCTATAAAAGAGACCGTTTTGGCTCATCAAGTGGCATGTGTTATCAATTAATGGCAAACCCAATGTCAGCGAAATAAAGGACATTGTCAGCAAAATAAAGGACATTGCTGTGATTCTAGACAAGTAGTTCGTGTTATCAATTAATGGCACACCCAATGTCAGCGAAATAAAGGACATTGCTGTGATTCTAGACAAGTGACACGTGTTATCAAACGGCAACCCCAATGTTAGCGAAATAAAGGACATTGCTGTGATTCTAGACAAGTGACACGTGTTATCAAATGGCAAACCTAATGTCAGCGAAATAAAGGACATTGCTGTGATTCTAAACAAGTTGCACGTGTTATCAAATGGCAACCCCAATGTCAGCGAAATAAAGGACATTGCTTTTAAACATTGCTTTTGAATATCAAAACATGCGCCAATTAACTACTATAATCAACCATCATTCTTTTAATTTATTATTTCTTTCAGTAGCAATGGGTTTTAGGAATACGTTTCATAACTAAGTTTTCACACATAGCTGGTGGTAAGCTAAAGGGCGTCCGATTCTAGAACACAGCTAGAATTTATGTAACTGCACTGCATTAAATAATCAACTACCGTATCCAAGGTCACATTTCATTTTTGTTTTAGATTCTAGTAAAACAAATGAAACCGATAAACTGATCAATTACATAGTTGAGTAAAAATCTATAAATATTATCATCGGAAAAAACAAACTGCGTGCGTGCGTGCGTACGTGCGTACGTACGTGCGTGTGTGCGTGCGTGCGTGTGTGCGTGCGTGCAAGCAGGTCAAATGGTAAGTGCTGACTGACATAAATAGAAGTTACTTGAAAAAACTCGACCCTTGCAAAAATTGTTCTTCGAAATATATCCTTTTAAGCCATTTCATATATTTTTAGTGATATTGTATAAGATATTTGTCGCTTATGTTGATAGTTGATGTATTTGTTAATCAGAGGCACTTGTTATGGCCTGGGTCAGGCGTTCTATGGAGGATGAAAACTCAAATTGGAAAAACATGAGTAAAATGATGTTATCAAAGATTGGACTTGACTATGAATTCCTGTTGAAAACTTGGTTCAAACATAAAACATGGGATGGGATGATATTTTATAATAGCTATATTTGGAACAATCTAAACATAACTTACAAGGCAAAAGTTGTATTTAGAACTGGAAAAGGCAAGTATCAATTTGGTAAATGATGTACTGGGCAATCAACAGAAACAAAGAATATAAATATCTTCAAACAAATGGTGCCTAACAATACAGGTATCACTCTTGAGTATTTTGTCATTCAAAATGCATTGAAAAACAAGGCAATTGCACTAGGTCAAAATAAAATATTGTACAATAACATCATAATAAAAACATCAAGTCAAAAGATTATAAACAATTAATCATTAAAAAGAGAATATCACACCAGGAGCTTTACAACGATGGAATAATGCGTAACAAAATATTGATTGGTCTGATATTTGGGAAATGATTCGAAACATTGCTGAACCTGAAGAGCTTACAATACAATATATTGCAAATGGTATACCTTACAAATGTACACATCTCAAAGTGGAGATTGAATGAATAAATTCGAAAAATTGTAAATTATCAATAAAGAAGACTCATATGCTCACTTCTTCATCTCTTGTGAAAGGGTGAAACATATACATATATGTATATGGAAGGAAATAATGGAAAAAAATAAATGCAAAATTTGGATGCTGTATAAAAAAAGGAAATCATGGAAATGGTTTTGCTTAAATATACAAATAAGAATTAAGAATTGTAATAAGTATAAAAATGGACAACAACCAAAAGCATGCTTACTAGAACAAGAGCTATAAATAAGAAAGGCCACTTAAAATGATTGTATTAATGTATGTAAAGATATTGTATAACTTTATTTGATAAACTGAAATAAAAAATTATATAAAATATTTTACAAAGTGTGAAAGGAATTTAAGCCCAAGTCTCAATGCATTGTGGCTGATTCACTCCACTCAGGCGTTGTTCCCTAAACTTTGCATTCTCGCTGCGCAGTCATGCAATGATTTGAAAACAACATCTTGAAGAGGGATGATTCAACACACAATGCATTGAGTCCAGAGCTTAAATCCATTAACACAACTCATAGTTTTTTTCATAAAATGTAAGGCTTAGCTTAAATATAGAGCTTTAGAATGAGCCTGAAAATCAAGTTTATCGTTGCTAAAAAATTTAGCATTATAAAATATGTGCTTGATTGTGTCGAATAATCAAGATCAGAACTCCAAAAACAAACTTGAAAAGTGCTAAAAACGCTCGAAAGAAATGTTTTGCTTACAAAACTGGCATTTTCATCTAATTTGCTTTACGTATCTTCTTTTTTAACTATTGCCATGTTTATGTATGACAATGCTGTTGAAAGTAAAGAACATTTGTGCCAGATGGTGACTTTTATTAATAACTGACTTGTTCAGGAAAGTGTCATACAGAGATTTATTATTCGACCATGGCATGTTAATAAAAATAACGAATAAATGATATAACCCAGGGAATCGTAGTCATCACACAGTGTAGCAACACCACGACGAATATGAACTCTTGATCAATACACAGTGTTTCGACTAGCCATGGTGAATATAATATATTTGCCTCGGGATAATCCCAATATCCTGAACATCATAAATGATAAATCTCTATTTATTTACCCAGTGATTGGTTTTAATAGTAACACAATTTAGGAAAAATTAATTTTGGTCCCAAAGATCATTTGCTATATGCGGCTTTAAACACGACAAATACCAACACGTGTAATCTGGTGAATGACCAGTTCATCTGATTTCTGAAACCCAACAAGGAAATAATTTGATGCATCCGTCGGACTCTATCAGCCAGGACTTTACATTAAAATTGAGGTCCGATAAAAATGCTGATATTGCAATATGGTATTGGTGAACATTTATTGTCTTGATGCCCTGGGCCTAGCTTTACGGCTTTGACTATTTCCCTTAGCTTTTCTATCATTCTTCGCATAGAATGGTATCTTATTGAATACAACGTATTCCATTACATCTCTTAACAGCGATTGGTTTGAGATCAATTTTATTTGATCTGGTCTCTCTGGTATAAAAGTCTTGCGTTTCCAGACATGCATACTATAACTATATTTCCAAACATTTTGTCTCGTCTCCATGTTCGTATACATTCCCTCAAGAGGCCTCACTAAAGTGTCTTTCTCTATTCTGACTAACTCTGGTTGTCTTTTAAGTAATTGTCTGGGCCTTCTTATGGAATAGTAACTCCAAAAACTACTTTTCACTTTCTCCTTTCCATACATTTTGTATTCCTCCAACCAAATATCGAGAAATTTAGATGATTTCTTTGCGATAATTACACCATTTGAGAGACCAGAACTCATCACTCCTACTCCCTGTGTGTGGTTATAGCGCCGAAGAGGGGCAAGAGAGCGTAACGCAATGACGTCACTGTCAAGATAAGTGCCACCGTACTCTACAATCATTATAAAATGTAATACATAACAGACTCTTTGTTTGGTATTTAATGGCTCAAGCACGAACATCAAGATTAAAAACGCAAAGCAAATAACGCAAATGCGAGTAGGTAGTTACCAGTTTCACCACCAGATGGCTCGCTCGGGTCAGATAGCATGGCGGGTATAGTAGAAAGTTCCCTTTAACTTAAATTACATCTGCTTTAGTGGTTCAATTTTCATATAGCCCTTATGTATTGAAGAGTTATGCAAATTAAAGTATGCCGAGTAAAAGAAAATGTTATATGTCCAATACAAGAAAATATATTTCACTTTTTGTGATTTTGTAATATGGGGTCTATGGGGAATCAACCCGAACTAGAAGTCACATTTTCAAAAAAGATAAAATGTTCAAAGTTGATAATCAATTTTCTAAACCATATTTTTAGACGTATTTTTACATGTAGATTTCAAATATGACATCACTTTGACTGAATTTCGAATATTTAATGACGGAAATCAAGATAATTTCTACTCTCATCTAGTATATTGCCTGCCATGATAATTGATGATGATACAGTAGTTAAAAGGAGTGGTATCGATATGGAGAACTGAATTCAACAATGTTTTTCTCTTAAACCAATCATTGAAAACATTCTGTAAAAACACGGTATCTTATGTAACGTTGACTGATTGACAACAATTTAGTGCGACAATTATTTAGGAATATTTTATATAACTGTTTTTGTTAACATTTTTTTGTTTTTTAGTGCAATTGTTTTTGCTCCTTCCTACCAATTCTTGAGAATGCAATAAAATGTCTTTCCGAACCTTGTTGGAACAAAATAGCATAAACAACATGTTTTTAGACCTCTCAATATTATATAGTTATACAAAGGAATTTTGGTTGATTTTAAAAAAGTATTCAAAAAATTAAAACAAAATCCCCCCAAAATAGATAAAGATCAAGATAGCCCTTTAATTTCATTAACAAGATACTTGTTTTAAAACCAACCAAAATTTCCTTTGTAGAATTACAATATTGAGAGACCTAAACATGTTGTGTTTACCCCCCTATCACACCAAACTCGTTCTTACCCGTTCTTGCCAGTCCTACGAAAACGTCGTAAAACGGGCTCAATCTGGCTGTGGTCGGGAAATATGTCTGAAATAATTAGCTTCTTCGTTCTTAAACAGTCTTCAATACGTCCTTCTCGTTCGCAGTTCGTTCAGGTCGCACTACGTCGGTGTGCAACGTAGTAGAACGCGTCCCTTAGTCTAGAAGGTCAACATGACCTGATTACAGAACGTTATGGTCGCCATCGAATTTTGAATCGATTCAAAATTCTAAAATCACATTCCCGTCTGAGAACGATCATAAAGTTCGTAAATAGACCTTAGAAAGTTGCAGCTACGTTCATTCCGTTCGCACACAGTTTTGAAGAACGCAGTGGCAACTTGTTTGGTGTGATAGCTATATTTTTGCTAACTCGTTCATAAGCATTGTTAAATACGTTCTCAATCAGTTTAAACCCGTTTGCAATTAGTTCTACCTCGTTCTCAACACGTCCTCAGACAATTCAACTCGTTGTTAAAACGTCCTTAGTAGGATTGAAGTACGACGGTTCCGTTCGTAGTACGTCCAGCTTGTCGTTAGTACGTTGTCACTCGTTCTAATTGTAGAACGTGACGACCACGAGAACATTTTGAGCATTGTCTAAGTTCTAGAGGACCTACCCGTTCGAGTACGTTCGATGAAGTTTGTTAATAGATCCCAAACGGTTCTTAGTAGGTCCAGTCCGTTCGTACACAGTTGAAGCCCGTTTTTGAGAACGTAGTGAGAACTAGTTTGGTGTGATAGTAGGGTTATGTCGTTTTGTTCCAATGACATTCGGAAAGATGTTTCATTTTACTCTGGAAACATGATACCAAGAACAAAACAAGTGTTTGGTGTGTTTTCTAAAACAATATAGCCTAGATGAAAGTATATATTTTTTTTTTCAAATTGTATTGTTACCATTCAAAAGATGACCATTAAATTGACGATGTGTTAAATTTTTAGATTTTTTATGACTGGTTTAAGAGGAACGTGTGTTCAAAAAGTTCTTCATATCGATACCACTCCTTATGTTATTTTTGAATTAATATAAAAGATACCATCTCCCAATTTACATTCCTTACCTTAAGACGAAATATTTGTGTAAGTCTTTCCTGTTCAAGAATACGGTAATTAATGACGTTACATAATAAGTATAGTTAAAATTTATGTTATTTTTGAATTAATATAAAAGATACCATCTCCCAATTTATATTCCTTGCCTTAAGACGAAATATTTATGTTAGTCATTCTTGTTCAAGAATACGGTAATTAATGACGTTGCGTAATGAGGTAGTACGTAAAGAGGGGTATCTGACATCTCCACCTCCATTTAGGTGCGGACACTCACTTTTATCAATTAGCGATAAAGGAACAGGTGCGATAATCGGCATATACCCCCATTGTCAAAATGAATCATTCTTAGGTGTAACATGAAGAATAGAATGTCAAATAATTCTTTGGAAAATGTTAAAGTGCTTGGGCACACATTGGCTGAGATAGGGGTCATCTAGTTCAGTGAGGTTGTATTGACTTACATGGGACTGTGCCTCGTTGACTTAACACAAGGATATCAGCATATCCCAATAGAGGCCATTGGTTTCTATTGATTATCACAAAAATACCAAAAGTACACTATGACCTGAACCGATTGCAAACTTAATAATTTCACAATATGACACGAATGGTTTATCTCATCAAATGTGCAAATATGTACCCTTTGCATTCGTTTGACATCACTTCTTAAAAGAGAGCTTCGTCTTCAGCAGTTTAACTAGAACTAGACTCCTCACGCAGGGTAGCAAATATGAAGTTTGCAATCGAGTCAGGTCATACTTCAAATTAAAAGATTGTACATTTTTTCATCATTTTTTCCCTACAAAATGGCTTTAGAAAAATGCTCCAAAAACAACTTTTACAACTTTAACATTTATCAAATATCATACAAGTTTGTAAAACCAAAGATAACATGTATACTATTATATTTCATTATTATCCCATCGAACGAAGTTTGGAGGGATATAGGGAACTCCATCCGTCCGTCCGGACAATAACTCAAATATCGTTGGCACGATTTTGTACACATATACCCTAGGGGGTAGAAGTTCTGCTCGAAAGCAGATTTTCAAAATGGCCGCTCATTTAAAAAGGGCGGTCATTTTAGTGCCGATTTTGCAGTAATTTAGGTGCAATTCAAAATTGTAATAGCAATTATGTTTTAAATAGGACATTAATAAAGCTAGAAATGTAGATATTAAAGAAACACATGGCAGCCATCTTGAAAAATGGCGGCCTTTACTGGTTATTTTACGATTTTTGCTGTAACTCGAAAAGTGGTGGAGCGATTTTGTTCGTATTTGGTATGTGAATACTATAAGCATGGCACTCTCTCTAATGACACTTTTGATCAACACAAAAATACTTCCTACTTTGGAATCTATGCCTCTACACTTCATGATTGAATTATGACCCTAATAAGTGGCATTTACATCAATACAGTGCTGAATATAAGTCAACAAGATACTAGTGTGTATATAATGTAATAATAAATGCAGTATACTCATTTTGAAAAATAGCAAAGCAAATAGCAAAGTGACTTTCCGCACCAACCTAAAGAAATGAAAGGATGCCAACGTTACCTTTAAGGATTCGTATTCGCATTATATCTGATATGTCGCTGTTCAAGAGCCAAAGTGTTCTATGTCACTTTTTGGCCAAAATGAGATAAATGTGGATTCCCCCTAATTTGAAGATGCTCTTTCCATCTAGCATGGTCTCAAGTGTGAAATATAGCTGTAAACATGTGATTTTCAGTATTCAATTGTTCTATGTCTGGAAAAACAGTTATCCCAAATGAATTAAATTATCCTATGTCAAGATCTCAGAAAACTGTAAAAGTTGATTTGTTCTATCTCATCCAGCAAAAGGGGGAGTAGCAGAGAAAACAAACAAAATTAAAAAAGAGAGTGTAGAAAGATGAGTGATTTAACAGAACTGAACGTACCACACAGAGATTTTGATCTTAAAAACATAGAATGACATCTACAAGAAGAATTAACTTGTAATTTACTGTGTGACCCTAGTTTGATGACCTTTGACCTTGAAAATTTTACTTAGAGCTCAGTAAGGTCTTTTGTGATTAAGCTGACCAAAATTTACATCGAATTTTGACCTTTCGAAGGTTACTGAAGGTCAAGTAAAGGTCAAATCCTAAAACTAATGTCAGATTTGAACACCTGGCAACTTGTAGATGATTTTCAAAAAAGAATTTGGTCAAATTGAAGCAAGTTGAAAAAAATCTTATTTTTACTGTTGACGTCAAATATCTCAAAAACGGTAAAAATTTGATGCTGACATATATTAAGCAATATGTAGGGAATGCTTAAATCTAGTAATAATGTAATTCATTGCAAGAAATGATCAAGTATAAGGCAAACTTTGAGAAACTTGTCAATCACAAAACCTGCCATTGACTTTATACATGAGAAAGTTTCCTGAAAATGACTAAGTCCTACTTTTTGTCAAATTTTATAGAGTAAACACCAAAAACTGTAATTCCAAGAGATTTGAAATCTTCAGAGGACATAAGCTGCATATAAAGCAACTACTACAAGTTATTTGAAAGTTCTTCTTCAACAAAGTGTCTAGTATTTACAAATAATTTGACTTTTTGACGTCAAAATCAGCAATTTCTCGGAAACCGGGCGAATTTGGGAAATGGCGATGATAGGTCAAATAGGCATTATGGATATGCATAAAATGAATGTGGTTATGACTCAATCTGAATAGCAGTTTTAATTTGTGCGGCCAATGTTGACGGACGGAGGGACCAACGGACGTCATTTGTTTTTGCTGCATTTGTTTCTTCATTTATTTTCTTCTTTCTTTGTCTTGATTTGACGGACGGACGCCTGGTCGATCCCATAGGCTCATTGTGTGAGCCAAAAATTACTTGTACGACATAATGTTAATTAAGTGTGATATAACTTACCAAATACGTAACGTACCGAAAGAGATCTTTAACTTAGGACATAAAGTGAAAACAACAAAAAAAAATACTTGTAATTTACTTAATTTAAAAAAACTTTACTTGTAAGACATAAAAATGACAGATAGCTGGAGTAGTTGATGAAGTCTCAGATATTGATAATGATATCTTAAAGTCTTCTAATTAATGATATCTTTTATTTTTCAATATTAAGTCTAATATCTATGTGTGTTTTTTCTCAGAGTACTGTTTATTTTGTATTTTAGATTGTAATTTTACGTAACTGTGTGAACGAAATTATTGATAATGTAAAAGTAGGAAAAAGTTACAAGAAAAACAATGAAAACTCAAGTACAAATGAAAGGAAAATGAGCAGACAGCTTGGGATGGACAATCGCTTCCAAGGAACTTTGCAGCAAACGAGGGAGTAGCAAAGAAAACAAAAAAAGTAAAAGACAAAAGAGGCTGCTTAGTGATTTAATAGAAATGAATGTACCAAACAGAGATTTTTAACTTAGAACATAAAATGACAACTACAAGAAGACATAATGTTAATTTAGTGAGATAATATAACTGAGCAATAAAAATGACAAGTTGCTGATGTAATTGATGATGTCCCAGATAATGATATTTTATATATAAAATGATATTTTATATATAAAATGATATATTTTATTTTGTATTTTACATTGTAATTTTACATTGTCTGAACCAAATTATGGTGTCATAAATTGTTCAAATTGTGTAATTGTTCTATCTCAATTCACATTTGTCCTAAGTCAGCTTTTCTAAAAAAAAATGACTCAAATTGTTCTATCTCCACTTGTCATGTTTTTAAAAAACATACTTAAACTAATCAAATAATTCCCATTTTTTGCAATATCAGAGATCATATTAATATAAATCAGTTGTAAAAACATCAAAAAGCTGGGTTTCATACAAAAAAAGTTATTAAGTATCAAACTTTAAAACTTGATTTCCCAAAAGTCATGTTTTTTGAAATAGAACACTTTGGCTCTTGAACAGCGATGTGTTCAACATATTTTGGCTTTTCCCCGAATATGTCTATTTGGCTCATATTATATTCTAAAAATCGTATTTTTGTTGTTACATTAGACGTCACATAATCCCACCACTGCCCATGGGGGCGATTGTTATTATTTACATGCACCAAAATTTCATCCGGTTTCCAGTTCTTGTGGACACTAATGAAGCTAACTGCCGGTAGAAAGGTAAAATTGTATGATCCTTTTAAATCCACCCATATGTAATGCACTATGTTAGGGACCAGAGATTCATTTATAGTGTGACTCGAGTTATCTACTAGTTTCTCAGCAATACTTTGTCCTAAGAAAACGCGAGACTCATTTATAGTGTAACTCCATTTTCTTTTTGCCTTCTCAGCATTTACTGGTCCTAAGAAACTAGAATATGACTCTCTAGTTGAGTTGTTAAAAACAAGTTGTCGAAATGCGACCACAATTGCTACTGCTACATTTAAAATACAAAATAATCCAACCTTTGCTTGCATTTCGTTGCCATAAACGTTAGCACTTGTTGCTTTATATCAGCCAATTGTTAAAGAGAGGAATGTTGTACAGGGTGTCAATTAAATCATTATACTCCCCTTTATCTTTAAAATAAAAACATGTTACCCTCCCCCCCCCCCATGTCATATACCAACTTAACTTTGTTGAGATGTTATAGCTAAGCACATATCAAGTATGAATAATAAAGTCGTCAGAATAATGAAATCTCACTTGTAGCAAAAAATTTTAACTTGGTACGGTAGACTATCGACACTGGTTCAATTTGCTACGTACATTTGACAAAAAAATCACCAGTTCTTAATCAAAATGTTCAATGAGTTGTTACTTGATGATTCTTATATATTTTGACAGAATTCGATGGGGAGCTACGTATAAATGCTTGAACAAACTGTATCGTTTTAATGAAAATTGATCGTAAATGATCGTATAGGAAGAATGGCATTGATCGTCCAAAAATGCTGGAAAAAATTAAAACTGGAATCGCAGCTCAATAATGGAACCCGTGATGCATTCTTCACATAGTATTATATTAAATTGTAATGGAATGGAATTAAACAAAGTCCAAAGGTTGCGTCTGAAATTAAAATCAGTAGAAAAAGAACTGTCTCTCTTGTCACAAATATTGCCACTAAACTTGCTTAAAGGCTCTTGCCACAACATCTGTTAAAACGATCAAATTTGTTTTTGGCAATGACAAATACCCCACAAATAGCTTATCCTCAATGGAGCAAATCATATTTGGTTTCCACTAAAGATAAGGAGATGTTCTATTTGAAACTTGATGGAACTAATTATTCTTAAAATTCATCCAAAGATGTTATAAGAGAACCCTTTGATGTAACAGAACTGATGGAAAATAGTCTGAAAACATACCCTGCACGAACTACCGTTATAAACACAACAGATGGTGGTTATAAATACATATTTACTATTTAAGAACGAAACAAAATGCAGAACTTTCTAATTAAAATATGGGCGTCAAATTTGCTATACAACCGAATACTCTCAAAGAAAAAATAAAAACTTGTATATAAATTCAACCTTTTGAATATAAAGGCAGGATATATATTTTTGACACCCTGTATACATGTAGCTACATTCATGAATCGTTGTGATTGATAATATCATCACTGTAGTATTAGTTGAAAATGGTTTATAAACTCAGACCAAAAGATATATACGTAAAGACTATAAATGTCTTTAAAATATATCTAGCCATTGGCAAACACGTCTCTCTTCACTCTTGATAAATGTTAACCTGAAAAAACCTCAGACACAACAATTAATTTCATTTAAAGGGAATTTAATCTGATCATAATCATGCAATAATATAATTAGATTATTAGGCACACGTTTTTTTAATATTCTTAGCATTTAACTAGTGGTGATATGACTCACATTGCTCATTATCTGAAGTGTTTTGCACTTTCAGTTTAGATAAATTGTTCTTGTCCATATCGGACACTTCAATTCGGATGCAGGAACGATGCAATCATTTTATGTTTCTCTGGACAGCTATCCTGAGATATCAATGTCAACCGAACAGTGATTAACCCCCCCCCCCCCCCGTTCAAAGTTTAAATGTCCCCAATAGGACAATAACCAGTGAGCTTTGCATCTACAATAAGAATGAAAATTCAATTTGCAATCATTTGACATTTGCATACTTATCATGAAGGATCGCACAATTTTCGATACAAGACATACGTATAAAATCATCCCCAATTAATTTGTTATTGCTGAATGTGATAAATTGTTATCGAGTCAGCACAGTATATGCGTGCGTACCATAGAAACAATCAATATTTAATAAATGTGGAGCATAGTTGCAAATACAATATATTTAAAGTCCCCGTCTAAAGTTTGAAAATATCTTTTTATCATTCATTTACTATTTGTCATGACTTAAAAAGCGTTTTTAGAGATTTTTGAAAAAACATTATTTTGAAAAAAAGTTGTGAGCATTTCATTTCTCAAATATTCAAATTTCCCGCCATTTTTCAAAAAAAGTTTGAATTTTTTAATCAACAAATATTTCTTAATGTATTTCAAAAAAGATTATCTTTTTAACACCAATGCAAAGATTGAAGAAAGGACACTCTATTTCAATAATAAAATGCCATATTTAATGGGCCACTTCAATGTGTTTTTTTCGATGTCAATCTTTTCTAAATTGCTAGACTTCAATGATAAACCAATGTTAATTGTCTAACCAGGTTAAAAGGAAGAAGATATTATGTTTTAGATATCATTGTACCATTGGTTTCTATGAGAACCAACATTTTGAAATGCATTTTTCTCGGAACCATTTTCATGCACTGATGAGTTCATTTCTCGCTTATTTATGAACCGATTTTCTTAATTTTTTCGACAAAATAACATGCGAGGATGAATGCTATGTATTGGTGTGAATTGTTGCTAATTAAAATATATGTGTGACCTCTAAAAGTTAGTTTTAAATAAATTCCCAAATTTTGGAATAAAAAGTCTATCAAAAACCACTTTTTGAAATTTAAAAAAAAGTTTCACATATCACACTTTGATATCATTGGATAAGACTACAATATAAGCCAAAGTGGTTTAAACTTTATATGGGGACTTTAACCTAGATTAAACTTTTTCAATAAATAAGTTTTGGCATATTCTATCGATTTCCTTCACGCAGCAGCTGAACGTTTTTAAAACGTTTTATGAATTATGATGTTTCATCATGTCATTGACAATTAATAAGTGTCATTATATTTTATGTATATATTGGACTAATTGAGCAGATGGACTGACCACATGGACTGACAACGTGGACTTAGGTAGCGCTGACGTGTTTCAGTTCAGTTTCAATCCAACATGTTGCTAGTCATCAGGCCCGTAGCCAGGATTTCCCAAGGGGGTTCACTTTTTGAAAAATTCCAGGGGGGTTCACTTGTGACAATTTCGGTCCAAAAATGGCCAAAATCACTTAAAAAGTGCTCAGAATGGTGATAAACTGCATGATTTTGAAAGATTTTATGGCCAGGGAGGGGGGGGGGGTCGCTCGATCTCATCGATATGTACTATTTATAATAGTACAATAACGTCATTTCGAAGGGCAATATAGTGAAATATTGGACCGAGGGCCGAAGGCCCAAGATCTAATATTTCACTATATTGTCCGTAGAAATGACGTTATTCGTATTATTACCACCGTTAATGACCAGGACTGAAACAGCAAGAAAATCTTACGCACTGAACGATATCATTCTGTATGCCAATTTTGGGGGCATGTGTGAGTATTTTAAAATTGTTCGATGGTTTATTTTCGTATTGTCTTGAGACCAAAACGGTTTAAATGAAAATATAATTCGATATCATCGATATAAAGTCCCTATATTACACCCAACTTTATCAGTATACTAGTGTCTCTGTTGTAACATGACAACCAAAACCCAATGTCAATGAAAATTGCAAATCCATGGAGTAACAAATTCCATCGGACAAAACATATTTTGAGAAACAATGTTCATCTTGGAAATATCTCCTTTAACAGAGCTCCTCTGTCTCAAGGTATCAGCACATAACAAAATCCGTCCACTGGTATTTGAGTTGACGTAACTTTTTAGTACTTTTTTACCTGCCAATGCGCTAATCAGTCCCAGTACATCGGGGAATTATTCGTTCGTTACAAATTGACCCCCAAACCCATAGTTTTTTATAATATGGGGTATTATGGGGTAACAACATACTTTTCTTCAATATCAAAATATTTCTTTGGTAAACCCACATTCTAAAAAAACTAGATGGATGCCTGTTGAATGCTCTCTCGATGTACAGGAGACGGAATGAGCGCATCGTGAGGTTCACGGATTATACCAATAATAGAACATTTCAAGGGCGACGCAGTGAAATCTTGGGACCAAAAACCGAACTAGACTGCCCTCTTTTAGATGAAGCAATGTATATTTTCACTTGTTTAATGAAGTTACACTCCCTTCCAAAAGTTTGAAAACACTTGCAATATTTTTGTTTATTGTACAGACTACGAAGCCATTTAAGGTCAGGGTGCATGTTCGGAATTTTTCTGCTTTCCTCAATTGAGTCACATGCTTATTTTCAAAAAGGAATCACTCCTTCCCCACATTATCTACATCTTCCAGTTTTGCACAAAGAGTGCACGTATGTGCCTAGAAAAGACTGGTGAGAAGATTTGTTTTGAAAAATGTATAAATTCAGTGAAAAAAAATTCTGAAAGTTTTCTGAATTTTTTCACTGAATTTTCTTGTTTTTTATACATGAGTGCACTCGTTGTGCAAAAATGAGAGATGTAGACATTGTGGGGAAAGAGAATATTTATAGATAAACAGAGATCGATTACCATGACATCTTTATTTTTAAATTATTTCTATCGACCTTTGCCTATGATCATTTCCTCCCCTGTCGTCTCGAGTATTTTTATGAGAATATGTTTCTTTAAACTACACAATTAAGGTCTGTTGAAGATTTAATAAGTATTAACGTTTTGGCTACAATTTAAAAAATCATAAGTGTACGCATGGGCTATTGAAAGCCCATGGTGTACGTTGCCAACTCGAATGTACGTTGTCCCATTGAACTTACTCAATTCACAGTTAATCCTAATGCAGGCAGCGTATCTTTCATAACACTAACAGATAAAGGGGTCAGATGCATTAAAAAAACAATTACAGAATTACTTCGATTTGATTGAACTATTGAAACTATTGAGCACTTTCCAGATATATCGTAAACGCGATTTTAAAAAGTCATATTCAATAAGCTAGTATAGATCTATCTATCAATGTAATTTACAAAACGTAAGGTACATACACGCCAAATAATCAATGAGGCTGGAAGCAAACTCCGTGGCAGTGCTAGTCTTCAATATATTCTATTCCGAGACACTGACGCTGTTTGGGCTGGAAGCTAACACCTAATGGGCACAAATGAACCAACACCACAACAATACTTTCATAAATTAAAACAGCAAAAATCACATTTACCTTATCTTTTAAATTATCTGTACAAAGGATACTTGAACATGTTCGTTAAAGATAATTTGTTACTCATAAAAACCTTAATGAATTTTGAAATGAAAACATTACATTGTTTTATATTATATCGCATGAATTTCAATTACAAGGACAACGAACGTTCCAGTTGACAACGCACATTTCTGATTTTATTTAAATTACAATAAATACTTGAATGCTTATTAATATCCATCCGTCCTAAATTGTGTAGTTTATAGAAACAGTCAAGAGACAAATATAAAGTACATCACTGGTTGAAACAAAGATCTGAATCTGTTACTTAACAAAAAAGACTGGAAATGATCAATAGAATCAATAAGGTCAGCAATTTTGAACCAAAATTAGCTTCATTCAATTTTAGAATTCTTCATAGATTTTTGGCCACCAACACATATTTGAAAATGTGTGGATTATCAGAATTGGATCTCTGTACCTTTTGTAAAGTAGAACCAGAGTCAATTTGTCAGCTCCTCTATGACTGTAAATTGATAATGGAACTGATAGTAGTCATTAAAAACTGGTTACCAGAGGAATTGACAGGACTTTGTACAAAATTTTTGCTGTTTTAATTTATGAAAGTATTGTTGTGGTGTTGGTTCATTTGTGCCCATTAGGTGTTAGCTTCCAGTCCAAACGGTGTCAGTGTCTCGGAATAGAATATGTTGAATATGTTTTAATAGGACCAGTATGTATAAATGACAGAACAATTATCCTGACAAATATGTGTATACATGTATTTAAAAGATATGTGTACCTTGTAAATACTCGATGATAAAACCTACCTTTAAAGGATTTAAAGCAAATGTTATATCTTATTGTAATATTGATAAGCAAATAGGCAGAGAAAAAAGGTGGGAAATTATGGGTACTAGATTAGATTAGATTAGACTAGTGTGGTTAGATGCCTTAAAAAAGAATATGATGGAAAATTGTGTGCCTTCTACGTATATTGTATATGTTAATGTAACTGCTTTCAAATGTTTTTCTATGAATAAAAAAGGAATAAAAAAAATATAATAATGTAATATATAGACACAGTTAGACGACAGGCGAGGAAATGATAAAAAGAAATGTGTAAAAAACAACATTTTTCGACCGACAAATTATATGGGTAGATTAACCACGAAGAAAATCGCCCACAGTTTGAATATACTTTAACGTTACTAGAAAGTTAAATGTCTTCTCAAACGAATACACAAAAAATCAAACTTGAAAGCCTATTGCTCAGATAATTTTAAAACCTTCACCAAATCTACATTCTGATACCCATCACATCTATCTGTCTTTAACTAGAAGTACTAGAGTGAAGCTAATAGAAGGCCATGATTTCTCATGAAGTCAAATCTTCATCATTGTCTTTGCTTCAAGTCGGTTAATAATGACACCGTACATCTAAAGTGTACAACGGCGTGTTTTGTCACTGTACGTTGTCGATGGTTAGGCGTGACAAAACCATTTGATCTATCGTGTTGTAACATATCCGGAATGAAGGGTGATAATTCTCTCATTGAACTTGAACCCATGCCAAGTGTGAAATTGAAAATGAGATTATGCATATTAAGCAAACATCATATTTTTATATCACATGGTTCTAAAAAGAATTGGATCCCTTGCAAAAAACATTATGCCTAACTTACAAGGTGCTTCTCAGAGTCATTGCTCTGCTGTTCATACTTCCCTTTTAGTTCAGGAAACCATAACCCACAATGTCGAAAAGCATAGAAATGTAATATTAGCCACATTAGATATTAGAAAAGCATCCGACACCGTTTGGTTAGATGGATTGATGGTTAAACTACATCAACTTGGTATCCATGGCAAACTGTGGCGTATGCTTTATGATAATTACCATAAATATGAATGTGCTGTTCGTGTAGGAAGTTCAAATACACTTTCCAAACCTTTTAATGTCATGCAGGGCATGCACCAAGGGGGTGTTCTATCTATGCTATTTTATCAGTTGTACATGGCTGACCTTATTCAGGATCTATGTGAAATGAATATAGGTGGGCACATTGATGATGTAAATTGTGTATGTCCTTCCTATGCGGATGACATGACAATTATTGCCACAAATCAAAAGGATATGCAACTTATGTTAAACGCTGCCTTTGAACATAGTAGAAGATGGCGATATGAAATCCATCCAGCGAAATGTAACTTTTTGACATTTAATGATATGGTCACTGATACAAGTGTTAAAGGTCATGTCGTCCTCAAGATAGGTGACACGAGAATTCCAAAGGTTAATTTCACTGTGCATGTAGGCATGCCTATTTCTAGTAAAAATGACATCTCACAATATGTTAATGATCGCTGCACTAGTGGTAAGCGAAAATTCTGCTCACTTTTGGGACTGGGGCACAAAACAGGTGGTTTGTCACCCCTAACAGCATCAAAACTGTACTGGGCCTTTTCTATTCCAACCATGCTGTTTGGTGCACCAGTTATAAATTATCAAGCGTCAGATATTGAAAAGCTTGAAATGACTCATAGGGAGATCGGCAAACGTATCCAATTTTTCCCCAAAACGTCAGCCAATCCTAGTGCAACGATGCCGTTGGGATGGTTGTCAGTAGACGGCTATATTACAGTGCTGCAGATGATGTATCTCTGGAGTTTACTTAGGTTTAATAATATTTACAGGGATATAACTATAACATGGTTAGTAAAGATGTTTCATGTCACTAATGACAACCAAGTCGATATTTTCTCTCCTATCCGGCGCATTTTCCTTAAGACCAAAATGCTAGGAATTGAAAATCTGGTTAAAAATGCGCTGGACTCTGGATATCTTCCGTCGAAGAGGTCATGGAGACTGCAAATTGTCAATGCTGTAAGATCCGTCGAGGTCAGGCAATTTTTCTTGCAATGCTCATGTTATGGCAAACTGTTATACTACGTGACTATTTCACAGACTTAAAACCTTGCATATGATGGGTGATTTGTCAGAAATTTCCCAAAGCCAGTGTAAAACTATGATGCAATTGGTATGCAACGCCCATGTATTAAATACAAACAACTTCAATGGTTCAAAACGATGTATATTGTGTAACATTTGTGAAACTGAAACAATTGAACATTTTATATTAAGATGCCCTATGTATGAGCCATATAGGCACAACATATTTGAAGCCCTTGGCTGTCGTGGTGACAGTATGCATGTTATTATGAAGAAAGTTTTAGGTCTTTCAGATGTCTCATGTGAGACGTTAATAATTGTATCATCATCTGTACACAAAATGTACAATCACAGAGCCAACCTGTTAGCTCTGCTTGACACGTAATTTCTCTATCACTTTATTTTTATGTTTTCCAAAACAACAACTTTTTATCACATAATTTAATCTTATCCTTGTATATTATATATTATATGTAAAATTAATACTAAAATGTATTCTCTCATATAAATGAGGCAATAAATATACAATACAATTAAGGGATTCAAGTGGTCGGGTGTCTTTGATCAGGATATATGTTTTCTTTTACTTAAACTGAATCGGAAAGTGAAATGAAATGAAAATGAGATCGGCGAGTGAAGTTGTTCAAGAGGCTTGATCCGTAAATATGAGTGTATCTGAAAACGTATTATAGAGCAGGATTTGGGATACACGCAAATTGAAAATTAGCGCATTTGTTACATTCATAAATCTTAGGTGCTGATAATCCAATGGATACTGTCCAAAAATATTACTTTATACAAATAGTGACTGCCATTGAGGGAAATAGTGCAAAATATTTTCCTCAAGGGAATATCCTGTCCACTGACATGTTCCCGAGGCTGCAGGCCGAGGGAACAAGTCAGTGGACAGGATATTCCCGAGAGGAAAATTTTTACACTATTTCCCGAAAATGTGGCAGTCACTATTTGTTTTATTATATACCTGATAAGTACTCTGTAAACAAAAACAAAATGAGAAGTCTTTTCATTTCAATATCAAATGTTCACAGGTTCACAGGTTCTTATTGGCATTTAAAGGCATTTTACCTTTCAACTCCTTTAATCTCAGATTTGGGGGAAGATAAAACGTACTATTGACTGGTCACATGACCTAACTGGTGATTAGTACAATTCATCTTCCCTGAAAGCAGGGATTTAGGACTTTCCAGGGAATTAGTTCATCTATTCCATGTCATGTGACCATGAATAAGCATGAGCATCTAGAATACATTTGAAGTATATAATAATATTTTCTATTTTATAAGAGAAAACACAATAGCTGTAACATCTGTTGTAACTTATAGTCTAATACCTTTCATTGGCGTGATTTATTTCATTAGTAGTTAGTATTAGTATAGAATAAATTACTTGTTAGTTATAAATATTCCTTTTAAATATTATTAGCAGAGACATATAAAAAGTTTTATAGATGTAATATGTCTGATATTACCCTTTGCATTCGTTCAACTTCACTTCACTTCGCTCCGTCTGTAGTTTATAACTAGACTCTGCGCGCAGGGTACTCTGATATTAGCTAATAACCTTTTACGTTCCATTATTTCGTATTGCGTGTATTGAATGATTGGTGATCACTAGCTCATAGTCTCAGTCGTGAGTGGTACTGGACGATGGCAACGCGTCGTCAAGCATGCTACGGACACCCTAGCAAAGACGTCACTGACTGGTCCCTGTCATTTCATCTTGATATTATCTCAATCGACAAAATTGCTTCATGTTTTGTCTTATAAGGCCTAGGAGAAAAGTTAAAACTCATTCAATGATTTTACTCACATCACTTAAAGAGCCTTTCTGGTAGGACTCAGTTGTTTCGAAATTAAACGATGACATGAATAATTAATTACTTAATAAATGATTTTGCTGCCCTTAGCTCAGTGCATGAGAATTGTTTTTTAATGATTCTTGTTTCACTGCAGCCTGTTTCCGTGCCTTTCCATATATTTCATTCATTTTCTTTTGAAGTGGTGTGAGTTTTGCAATCTTCTGCCCTATAACGACTTTATTGAGATCCTTTAAAAGTAGATCTTTCATAGGTTTAGCGTCCTCCCTTAGAAGTATCTTGTCATCAACGATGCGAGCGTTGTAAATCAAGTAGTACAAAAGATACAACTCATCTGGTTTGATGTAGTGGAAGCCTATAGGGAAATCACTGCAGCAGTTTATACCCTGTAATAATAAATAGTATATGTCGGTAAGTGGACAATGGTGATGTCTCATTAAAATGATAACTTTTGCATATCTTTAAGATCGTACCCCAGAAATATTGGTCCCCATTCATAAATTGTTTTAACATGTATTGCGTGTATTGTTAATTATTACCACCTTGCCGGGCCAGTTCTAGGGGTTTTAGTGCTAGTTTAGAAGGCATTCATTTTACTCTATCGACCTGACCAATATGTGACGTCATAGTGGCGGTCAATATTGCCGGTCAAGAATGCAATTAATGACCGGCAATTTTCCCCGGAAAATTAGATATCGGTAGGGCCCTCGGTCCAATATTTCACTATATTGCCCGCAGAAATGACGTTATTGTACTATTAATCATTTCTAAATGGGCCGCAGTTCAAATCAATGGTAAGTGGCCAATAGGCTATCATGTAGTTTAAAATGGACGATAACCAAAATTTTCAACAGTACCCCGCACAAGTTTTTGTCTCATACTTTGATAAGTGGAAACATGTTATTGTTTAAATCACACTGTCATGATTTAGCTTTCCCTTAGTTTCCCTTAATGTTCTTTTTAATCTATAATTATAAACCGAAAAACATTAATTTCACGCAGAATAGATCTTTAATCAAAACGTTGAATTGCTATTTGAAGCTGTAAAAAGTGAACATTTTGAATTTACATAAGATATTATTAAAATAATTTAAAAAGACTCTTCTTCACAAAAATTGCCTCAAAAAGATGTGTTACTTTCGTGTCGAAAAAGTAATTTGTATGTTCATATTTAAATGTTTATGAATATTATTTTCAAAAAGAAGGGCTCTGCAAAAAAATGTAAATCTGAGAGGGAATATAACAGGTTGAGATCTGGTACATGTAGCAGCCTTTACGTTGAAATATAACATTTGTCGTATAATAATCATAAATATGAATTCATAATTTATGCTTGAAGTAGCAATAATAATTTGCAATGGTGATTTTATGTTCAAAAGGTATTCACAATATTTATTTGTATTTAATATTGCTATAGATCGCTGGTTAATAAGTTGGCCTTTGCTAGAGATAATGTAATTTATTGCTGCATTTCCTGTATAACACAATATAGTGAAATGAAGCTTATAATCTGATTATGAAAAATGGTCAGAGCAAAATTACACCCCCTCCATAAATTTGGCAACCCGGAAGTTTTTATTGGAGTTCTATTCATGTTTGAATCCTAATTTTTAAAACCACCAAATATGAACGAGCTTTGAAAAGTCCAGAATTAAGGGAACTTCATGTTGCCAAACTTGTAGAGGGGAGTGTACCATATTTACTTATGGGACACCCCAAATTATAAAGAGCCAAATAACCAATCAGCTACTGTTTCTTATCATTCCCCGAACTTGCTCTTACAAACTGAACAAAACAATCATTTATTTAGCAATGGCTGCGTAAAGAGCCAAATAACCAATCAGCTACTCATCTCACTTACTGTGTGGTCTTATAGTATGTAAATAACACTTCTGTGCACTGGACAATGGTCTGCTGTCATATTTAATTAAAGGGGTAATAGCTGTAATTCTATTTTTTAGATATTTCTAATTTATAATGATATGTAAATTACACAATCACAATCAGTGGACTAATTCAGGGTTCATACTATATTTAAATTGGAAATATATATATACAGGGTGGGCCAAAAAACGCCACTTTTTTCAAAATGCTATAACTTTTTTAATTTTTGATACAAAATCATAATTCACATACCAAATGAAACTTGAGGTTGTTATCTAGCCATTGATCATGAATTATACACTTTTACTTGAATAAAATATGTCACCAGCGTCTCACTTAAACATGTGGTGTGCCATGAGAAATAAGCATAATTTGCATAATCTTCCTAAACTGATACGCCCCGATGACCGCAAGCTAATAGCCCTAATTCAAACCCAAGTGAGTATAGGGCATGGGGAGGTCTCCAGGAGATGGTATGAAGGCACCCGATCTAAAGAATTGCTTAACTTAAGCTGGCAATTAAGACACGTTGAAAAAAATATAGCTAACATTTCATTGATACTGCTATATCAGCAAGGCGACTAAAACTAAAATCTATCATCAAATGGGGTGGCGGACCAATTGAACTCCTCTTTTTAGATCAAATATAATCCCAGTTGAAGGACTTGTTACATTATATTATTACTAAGAACCCTTGGCACTATATAACTGCAAAATTTGGGGTATGTAGGTTTGAAAATAAAAAAGTTATAGTGTCTTGAAAAAAGTGGCGTTTTTTGGCCCACCCTGTATATATATATTCAGAAATCAGATTTATGTTACAAGTTCACGAGTCACGGATTTACCTTTATTCTGCCATTGTTGCTATCATAACGTAAATACCATTCGGGGTAGTTGCCGATCAAATGTGCTTTAGGATTGAACACCATGAAGCGCTCTCTTCCCTTTGAGTCTGTGGTATTCATAGGGGTGCAACCAACTAATCCCAAACAATACCCGGATTTAAAGTCTTCGGCTGGAAAATAAAGTATGATCAAGAGTTTTCGCTTGGTATTAATTAGCATTGCTGATTATGCTATAATTTTCACTTATCGCTCTATTGTTTTTGAAAGGACGGGTATAGTCTGGCAAATAATTTTGGACAGTCATATCTTTCTCCGTGAGCAATTTCTGGCCATAAATACGGTGTTTTTTATTAAAACAATATCACTTGCAATACTATACCTAGTCCTTTTTACATCATTCAATCTATATATTCGCCAATGCATAAATAATGTATACGCTACCTGATTGGTTTAAATATCGTTACCTAATAGACGTAGCACCAATCAGATTATAGATATGTCAGAACTCACCAAACAGATTACGGATATCTCCGAACTCACCAATCAGATTACAGTTATGTTAGAACACACCAATCAGATTACAGATATCTCAGAACTCACCAATCAGTTTACAGTTATGTTAGAACTCACCAATCAGATTACAAATAAATTAAAATATCAACAGATATAAGAAGAAAGATCGTACTAAGACTCATATACTTTTTTAACTTGTTTTAAATATAACTAAAATTACCTTGTCCGTTTGGCATACACCATGTATAATTCTTGAAGGCGATGGTGACAAGACGTTTTAGAGACTCTTGACTTAGAATAACCCCTGACCCTCCTGCCATATATTTCTTCTTGGTATCTCCGTTAAGATTAAAAATATGGCCAAAAAATTCTGGCGCTGAAGGGTCATAGTCGGTCAGAAAATGTTTTAAATTTTCAATAATAATGAAACTGTCCGGATCTACTTTCATGAAATAATCCGCCTTGTCACGATAATGTTCGTAGATGTATGTCCATGATGCTTTAGATTTCATACCAATGTTGTTTCTCCCTTCCGTGACATTTAAACCAACAGCTGGAAACGTTTTGTTTTCTTCTGAGCTCATGTAAAGATCAATATCACAATGGCGAGCCCACGTGTTTTGTATGTGAATTGTCCTTCTTAATAAATCGTCTGGGCTAGTCATCACCCAGCAAAGGATTCTTGGGTAAGACACTTGGGACTTTTTATGATTATCTGAAAATATACAAGTCCGTTTAATATTCAGGGACTTTGCCATTTTGTATTTCACAAAAAAATTATTTCGTTTTATTCTGCTAGAATGCAGTGGAAAGCAAGTTATCAGAGCAACTCTGGATTTTGGCGGAAAAATCTTTGAATTTATAAATTATCAAATTCAAGTATACCAAGTCTCCCTCTGTGACTCAGCACCAAGTACATGTACTTGTTGCTGATTAGAAGACTTTCACAATTATCAACAGAATTAAGAAATACATATATGCATTATGCAGTGTGCCTTCCATAATATGTCTCATGGTATATACTGTTTAATATTTTAAGCTTGGCATCCGTTTAAAACTTCACATTTCTCAACTTTTATTTGAAAGTACATGCACTTGGTTCCAACATTTAGGTCATAAATAAAATCTGTAAACTATAACGTCAAATAATACCTTGAAACCGGAAGTGTGTTAGCGTTTCTCATTCAAAACGGTTTCATTGGTACCAATAAGGCAGTCATTTTGAACATCTCATTCTCGTTGGCTATATAACAAGAATAGGCTATCCTAATGAGGATGAAGAAAAACAGAGCACCCGTCATATTCAGATCGAACGCCTTTGGAAATAAACACAATTTTTCATTACCCGGGAAATTCATCCGATGCGTTAAAATCCATTAAATTTTAGGAGAAATTTTCGATAAAATACCGTCTTTTTGAGACTTATTAAAATTTTCTGGAATAACTTTTTGTACATATTTTCATAATATTTTTTTCAGTCTGGTGAGGAAAATGAACCAAACTCTTTTGTAGAATTAATTTGTCAGAATCTGATGATTTTTCGGGAATATTGTAAAAATATCGTTGGGACTCATTTAAGTTTCCTGAAACAAATTGGTCAAATTTACTTTCTAGAATCTATACCGAGTTTTGCGAAGTAACCGACACTCCATATAAATGATCACGATCAACGGTGTAGTAAGGACGGATAAGATTTATGTGTGAGAATGTAACTCCACCTGAGGTGTTAATTACTCAATGTGTCAATGTACGGAGAGCTTAATGATCTGTTTGACGGCAAGAAATGGCAATATAGAAAACTCAAACGAACTACAACAGATTGACATTATTTCGACTGTTACTTTGTCTTAATAGCATAATGTCCTCCTTCGCTTAGGCTTTGCCTCAGCTACCGAAGTTTGCCTCGTCTATTTTGGATCTTAGCTACGCCCATGAGTTGAAAAATCGAATAGTTGCCTAACAATTGGAAAATAGTACTTGCACTAATCAGCCCCTAATCTAGAATTCTAAACCGCTGCACAAAGTTGAGATGTCATAATTGGGAGTGGCCTACCCTCCCATTCGATACCCACTCATTATTTTACAATAACGCTAATTAATTCATACGCAAAGGGGCATAAAGATAGCTATAATGATAAAAAAAAAAGTATTTATTAGGGTGGGACAATCTCCGTTTTACACCGGCGAATTAATATGAAACGAAACTGAGGATAGCAATTTATCCGTTTTACAAACAAGGTTTACAATGTTTTTAGTGAAAATTAAGCTTCATATACATGTACATACCTTTTGAGAAAATAGTATTGTTATCCTCTGCAATAGTTGAATTTTGTAAAGTTGAAAACGTTCTTCCCCTCATGCTATCTTCAGAGTATAACAGCGTCCTAGTTTCTATATATTTATCGAGATATTTTTCATTTTCGTTTGAATCGTCTAACACTTTTGTGTGTTTGTACTGCATGAATATTAAGTAAGATGGTATAACAAAAATAAGATATCCAATTATGAAAACAGATATCCGTCGTAAGTAAATCATTTTACCCATGTCTGCTGGTGTTTTCCAAAATCCTCAAAATTTTTCATTAGCATGCGTTGCTATTGCGTTTCGCCAAACTGTATTCCTGGTTTTTAAGGATTCCAATAAGTACTCGGAATGACTGTCATAAATTACATTGTAGGTATAACATATGTAAACAATGTGTAACATGTGTCCTCACCTTTTAATATAAGGGATAGTTCTTCATCTGTTGCACTGTTTTCGTTCACAATATATATGTGACATTATTTAACATTATATTACGTTAATAATGAATTTTTAAATGATTGAATTAAACAAACGCTACTAATATTTACTGCCTACTAACTTTATCGTTTTATTCTTTGTTTCATTATGTTACCAGGCTACACATAAGTTATATCCTCAGCACTGGTTTAAATATCGCATTAGATCTCTGACTATATCAAGGAGTTAAAGCTTGAGGACATACTTTAGATACACGTTTTAAAGGGATATTCATTACTAGACCATCTATCTCCTATTATGGTAGCTATAACCATATAAACGACGGGTTCTTATAAAGTTCTCACAATATCTCTCTAATTTCTCTATTTTTCAATATATCTAAATGAATTTTTCACAGAATGGGCAACAACATTTAGAATAACGGAAATATTAGATTAGAAATGGTTGCCATAGTAACCAGAAATCAAGGCACCCGGGGCAAATAAAAAAATTTCTAGAATAACCCCCACTAACCATGTTAAAATACATAATAAGTTATCAAACAAGCTATCAAACACATTAAATTGTAAAATTCTACGTGATCTTGACTATTTCGAATTATTATATACCTCAAATGTATTCTAGATGCTCATTGGCTTATTCATGGTCACATGACATGGATAGATGAACTAATTCCCTGGAAAGTCCTAAATCCCTGCTTTCAGGGAAGATGAATTGTACTAATCACCAGTTAGGTAATGTGACCAGTCAATAGTACATTTTATCTTCCCCCAAATCTGAGATTATAGGAGTTGAAAGGTAAAATGCCTTTAAATGCCAATAAGAACCTGTGAACATTTGATATTAATATGAAAAGCCTTCTCATTTTGTTTTTGTTTACAGAGTACTTATCAGGTATATAATAAAACAAATAGTGACTGCCACATTTTCGGGAAATAGTGTAAAAATTTTCCTCCCGGGAATATCCTGTCCACTGACTTGTTCCCTCGGCCTGCAGCCTCGGGAACATGTCAGTGGACAGGATATTCCCTTGAGGAAAATATTTTGCACTATTTCCCTCAATGGCAGTCACTATTTGTACACTATTATATCATGGTCATGTGAATTGTGTGACTTTGACGACTTTACTCAGGAAGTGATGTCATCAACTCTCAACTTTACATATAGCATAAGGAAAGGAGCTATAAAAATTACAAAACCAGCTGAATATTTTTTCAATTTGGTATATGATTTAAAACCTTCTGATAATCTCTTCTTTAAATTTAAGTTGACAACCCCTGAACACATTTTTGGGCTTTTTGTCCAGACGTGATTTTGTGGTGACAAGGAATGTCCCTTTAAGATAGCTTGTACGTGAGCGTGTAGAATTGTCCAGAGAATTTACTTAGTCGTAAATTTAATTTACCGATTGATTATAAAAGGTATGAGACGAGGGTAAAGCAGACCCGATGATGCAATGAGCTTGCTCGGCGGTATCATGACTGTGTGACGGGTCTTGATGTATAAGTGAGCTCGGCGGTAGGTTCAAACAACGCGGATCCTCAAAGCATTTGCTCATGGTATCATCGTGGCTTAACACCCGTGAATAAGGTCCCTCATACACCAGTTGAGATGGGGACAGTTATCCCTGGGCCTCACAATTTTACACGTCCGCTTACAAGTTCTCTTAAAAACGTGTAGCTTGACCGCCATAATATATTGTTATGATATGGATTTTTTGAGTTGAGTTGTTTGTAACTAGTTTGAATTAAGGTATATTAATTTGTTATTAGGGTTATAAATTAGCAAAGTTATAGATACAGTGAAAGTAAAAGAATAAGATTATATGACGAGGGTATGAAAGGAGGTCAATGTAGATGTTGGTAGTGTTGGACAGGTACAGATGTCGTAGACTTTAGTTGATGAACATTAACAAATAAAGAACCATGAAACACTTTTTGACAATAAAATGCCATAATACTTGGTATATGCTGCATCTTGTTTTCTAAATAATGAGTTTGTGATTGAAATATGACATTGAATTTGTACTTATCGATTCTCACCAGGTTATCCTAAAAAAATTAGTGGTCTTCTGCCCCGGGGGTTCACTGAATATAGACCTTGATGGGGATCCTCGGCGCACATGAGGTACCTTTTTAGGATCTGGTATGAGAATGCCCCCACATTATGACTTTTGAGGTATGGCAATGGTCGGATTTTTCGACTTTCTGGTTGTGGAAAATATGTTACCTCACACTTGTGGTATGGCATTGGTCTAGTAGTTACCCATATCTTTGATTTGAAGTTGTTTTGGAACATTTTCCTCAAAGATCGCCTTCCTCTTGGGACCTTCTTCAGATTTAATATTAGCTGTTTTCCCGGAAAATATTTTACTTTGGACCAGTCATAACATCGGTATGGCATTGGTCCTATATTTAAACATTTGGTATGGCATTGGTCTTATATTTGGACATTTGGTATGGCTTTTGGTAGGACCTCCTACCCTTTTACACCTGGTCTTTCGTCGTCGTTTTGATTTTTGCTCCTAGAAGAATCATAAATTCCATTGCCTGATAATAGGTCAAACCCCAGAGTAATATTACAAAAGAAAGAAAGGAATAAGGATGAGAGTGAATGGTGTTTTGAGTCTGCGTTCGAAGGATAAAAATAGGACCCACGGTCCTGTGCTCACACAGTTTGGAACCTTCAGAGGAATGTATATCCTGACTTTCAAACAAAATATTGATTTGGATTTGTAGCCTCGAACTTTGAGAAACTTAGATAGCAAAGTTGTGTGACCTAGTTTGATGACCTTTGACCTTGAAAATTTTACTTATCAGAGCTCAGTAAGGTCTTTTGTGATTAAGCTGACCAAAATTTACATCCAAAAACAATTTGAAAAGTCAACTTTTTTGACCTTTCGAAGGTCACTGAAGGTCAAGTAAAAGTCAAATCCTAAAACTAATGTCAGATTTGAACTCCTGGCAACTTGTAGATGATTTTCAAAAAACAATTGGTCAAATCGAAGCAAGTTGAAAAATAACTTATTTTTACTGTTTTTTGACGTCAAATATCTCAAAAATGGTAAAAATTTGATGCTGACATATATTGAGCAACATGTAGGAATGCTTAAATCTAGTAATGATGTAATTCATTGCAAGAAATGACTAGGTATAAGGCAAACTTTGAGAATCTTGTCAATCACAAAACCTGCCATTGACTTTATACATGAGAAAGTTTCCTGAAAATGACAAAGTCCTACTTTTTGTCAAATTTTATAGAGTAAACACCAAAAACTGTAATTCCAAGAGCTTTGAAATCTTCAGAGGACATAAGTTGCATATACAGCAACTACTACAAGTTATTTGAAAGTTCTACTTCAACAAAGTGTCTAGTATTTACAGAAAATTTGACTTTTTGACGTCAAAATACGCAATTTCTCGGAAACCGGGCGAACTTGGGAAATGGCGATGATATGTCAAATAGGCATTATGGATATGCATAAAATGAATGTGGATATGACGCAATCCGAATAGCAGTTTTAATTTGTGCGGCCAATGTTGACGGACGGACCAACGGACGGACCGACGGACGGACAGACCGACGGACGGACGGACGGACCAACGGACGGACGGACGCCTGGTCGATCCCATAGGCTCACTGTGTTAGCCAAAAACTACAAATGTGTAATAATACAGGCGCGACATTTTGCGACGCGTCACTGCATAATGCGAAATTAATACGATTTTGCTGCGTTTTTGAACTGCCCGTGGTGCAAGTCAATTGCATAATATTTATCAAGTTTCCCCCCTAGGGTATCGCGGTGCAAATTACATGTTCACACGTGTTCAACAAAAACACCTAAGCTCACTTTCACCGCTAATTACGACGATGTGTCAATCTTGTCGGCTAACCGTGTATGTCAACCGCGCGTTTGCTAGTTGCGAGTGCACCACAAGTCGATTGCAATAAACTGTGATGTCTTTAAAAAATAATTGAAGTGTAAGTGCACTTGGATGAGCTGTTTTTGTTGAAAACACATGAGAATGTACCCTTTTTTCATGGCTTATTGTTCTTTTAAGTGATACCTGGGGAAAAAACTAATTAAAATATTTAACAATTCACTTGCACCGCGGACAAACAAAAATACAGCATTTATTTCATTTTTTAATTTAGTCTTGCTTTCCTGGCAAACCCTCTAGAAATTTATCAATATAACGCATTATTCCATAATAACATGTTTTCCCGAGAAAATAACAGGGAATAAAATTAATATTAAAAAAATCCCGTATCAGATCCCGTATCAGCCAAAATCCCGTATTGGATCCCGTATCAGAACTATTCCCGGTAATTTTTCTAGTGTTATTAATCATTTATATTTTTAATCAAAACTTGTTAATAAAAGTTGATAATGTTATATGATAAATTGTATCGTTTTATGTCACAATCATTTGATGATGAGTGATGACATACAAAAATTGAAAACAAATAAGTTTTAGAAAATGATTATACGTAGGACTATCACCCTCGGTCAATTTGATATTTTCCTAGGCCAATATCATATTTTCCCTCGGAATGAAATTCATATTCCATCCCTCCCATTAAATAACCTCTATTTATACAGACAGGTTAGGTTAGCATAACTTACTAGAGAGCATCAATTAAGCACCATACTGAATACTGATTTGATCATTTTTATAACACCCCAGTCACATTTCCCATGGCCGCCGTGCGGTCTATCATTTCTGCGGCCAGTAGCTTTTCTACGCTCGCCGTAGAATTTCTGCGCTCTCATACTTCATTTCCACACACATTTCCCACGGCAGCCGCACGGTGAATTTTAAATTTCTGTTGATAAATAATACTTTTTTCATTTTATTTACATCAGGACAATTTATATTTGTTATTCATAGTGCTAGGATGTAATATCAAATGAAAAGTGATCGTGAAACATTGACAAATTATGATTCAATCTTGTTGAGCCAGTTGATTTCTACGGGGACCTCAGAAATGAACAAATATTATAACTCCGAGTTATAATTTCTACGGGGACCCTGCGGCCTGTAAAAACTGGATACGCCGTACGCACGGTGTATAACCCAAACGCTCCTACATGCACGACGGAGCGTTTCATTTACGCGGAAACGCTCCGGAGCGAAATAAAATGGCGGCTAATGGAGATTCCACTATGACCGTAAGTATTGTTTCTCTCGTTTCTCTTACATATCATATGTTATGGTGAAA